AATAGGTGCAGGTTTTGTCTGGTCAATATTCTGGATCGGTGGGACATCAGATACACCGGACTAGAGTTTCAAAGTTTAAACAAACCAGCCAGCCTGGGATATGGTATAAAAATACAAAACATTAAGAATGATTGACACAGCTACTGGACATTATCCACTTTTATATCACGATATTCAATGGAAACTTTCTTTGTCAAAGTTTGCTATAAGGGTGGCCAGTTGGAAAGCTCGCAGCTATCTGATTTCAAATAATAACATTCATCTCAAAAGTGGTTTTTAATAGTCAGACTGAACTCTATGCTGCCCGTTTTGCATTACTAAACCTGAACACACTTGGCTCTCTACACTGGGTGTCAACTCTGAATGCTAATTGGCTTAATCGTCCACTGGTGACAAATACCACTTGAGTAATTTTCCATATTAAAGTCAGGGCTCAAGGGTCTTGACTTGTTAGTCACAGCACCTTCAGAAGTACCTCTGTGCCCTTCAATGCAAAAGTCAAAACTCCTTACTAGAGAAACTCTACCACAGTATAATTGCCCTGCTAACTCACATGCCATTTTCAAGATGATATTGCCGCAGTTACAGAGCTTGATACAGAATACTCCGAGGACAATGCTGTTACCATCATTTTAAAGCTCATGCACTTTAAAAAAACACTCATAGAAAGCTAATATCTCCCTAAAAAATTGTGGAAAATGTGTTGATGACGGGAGGGTTGCTGCTGTTTGGATATGTTTCAGAGAACAGGAATAACTTTGTTAGAAAGTAGCCAATTAATGCAGTGACCCCTCTCCTGCCTCAGGAAGCCTGCTCCCTTTGAAGTTCCCAGATCCACTGAACATACAGGATATTTACTCTATACAGATTTGCTGTATTTTGGATGGACCAAGTTGAATAAAAACACATCTTACGCATACCTGCATTTTTTGGACAACCTTGAAAACCAATCGGAATGTTTAGATTTCCCAAACCCCAAACTGGAAGAGCCCGCAGTGATTGGCACGGTGTCCAGAACTGAGCAAAAGGGCAGAAGTTGGAAGGACGGAGTTTAGAGAGGTAGTGGAGCGCTTATGGGCAAAGAGATGCAGACCTGATGAAGCAGCATTTTATTAGCGAGGTGCTGGCACAGTAATTATGTTAATATTTGAGATAATCTATTGATGATGCCCTCTGAAAAATAAAACGGCACTCCTCTCAGGCACAACTTCCCTCCCTGGAGTGCATAAGGTTTATCTTTTCTATACCATTATACCAGAGATGTAGATGACGATAAACTTGGCAGATGAATAACCTAATAAAATCCCATCCGCCTCTCCTACAGTAAGAGACTTAGGCTGAAATCCAATAAGAGGTGTTGTATAGAGAGGGACTCAGACAGAATTATCAGCTTCAGACTGGGACGAGACTGGTGAGGCTTTAGTGTTCGGGGCAGACTGGTGAAACACCACCCAAAGACTTGTCAGTTTTATTACGTATGCTGTATTTTAATTTGAAGCCATGCCAGAGAGTTTGTTTTACTGCTAAATGAAGGTGAAGTCTACTTTCATGAATTCCTAATGTGAAATGGGTTGACAAAACCAAGGGAAAAACACAGACACTTGATGGTTATATGTTTGTACAGAGAATGACTGTACCGTGTGTCCTCTCTGTTCGAAAAGCTGAGTTAGGAAGAGAATGAAAATAACTGCAGCCAATCAAACGCCGAGTTGAGCTTTGAGAGCTTGCCAAGGTTTTTGACGCCTCAGTAACTGGTTAAGGATGTGGCGACATGTGATAACACACTGTGTTCCCATTCCCTTGCTATTAACACATGACCCTGCTTGCCTTGTAATAAAGATACAAGACACTTTCTCCTTCACTCTAAAATAACTGTTAATGACTCAGTAAATCAGGGACTGGTGGTGGTAATAAAGTTTTAAAGAAGGGATATGTGATGGTTTAGAATACAATCAGACCAGTCCTGCTCCGATAGGTTTTAATGAGTTGTAAAGTAGCTTGATCATCTGAGGACATTATCCAAGAAGGCATCTCAAGAAGTGTTCGTCAACAGCGCTCCTAGCCAAGTACATCTCAAATGACCCACCTCCTAGGGGCTCAATCATGGCTCCTATATCTCACTATAAGAGATCTGGTTTATTAAATCAGTCACTGCTCACAGGAGAGGCACTTTTATGTCACTCAATGAGTTCAAATCTAAACAACCTAAATAATAATAAGAGGTTAAACTTTATCTAAAAATGGTTTTAGTTATCGCTACATTAAGTTATTCTATGAATATGACTGTTAAAACCACCTGCTTGCAAATATAATGCTGCAGCGCCCTTAATCATAGTTATAGCACTGCCCCACTCAATTTAGCATAACTTTTTATTTTTATTTTTATGAGTACAAAAATTAAAACCAAAGAAAGACTGGATTACGTTTTCATAAAATTATATCCAAAAGAGCTGGTCTGAAGTTCCCTGCTGCTGCACTCTTTTTGGCGCTTGGTGTGAAATCTGCTCACCACACATGAATGAAACGCAGCACTGTATCTTTAAACAAACACCGGGCTGTGAAAAAACACTGAGGCTTTGCCACTTCAAATTTCAAGACTTGCTTTTGTTGGCATTTGATCTGAGACCTGAAGCAGAGTAGCAAAATTGTGTACACACACACGTATACACTGAATCTCCCACTCTAACACCCCCTTCTATTGGTCAGCGCTTTGAAGACAAGATTGCGCCTGACCCAGAGCAGCCTCTCAAAGACGAAGACAAATAAAGAGCAAAATAAGGCTAAAGCCCGAAATGTACTCCTGGAACGACAGTGATGTTTGATTAGCTGTGAGAGAAGAGAGGTGCTGGAGTGTAAATGAACAGAAATGCCCTCCATTACACCTGGTATACAAACACAAATATTTATTTCAGAGAACAGTCCAGACCAAGAAGCTAGGGTTTGTATCTGGAGTGTATCAGCCTTAAACATATTCAGTTTAGATAGCGGGTGTGACAGAAATAAAACATCTTAAAGGGAATACTGCTGCATTCCTGTCCTATACTGTGTGTTTGCTTCTGTTTTCTCACTGACAGGTAAAATGCTTGAGAGCAGCTGCAGTCCCAGGCAATGAAAACGTCCATGTAGCTTCTGCCAGTATTCTCCAGACTGTAAAATCTTTGTCATGCAAGCCTCGCTCCAGACTGCTGCCACCGTCAGAAGATTGAGGTTCTTCCGTTGTCCTATAAGAGCCAAAACTATTGCTTGCAATGAAACTGACATCCTCTGTTGCTAGTAGTGACACCCTGCTAAACAAACATATCAAGTGGTTTGGATGCACCTCTAGGTATGTTTCCCACTCAGGCTATCTATTGCGCTTTTCCCTGTTAAAGCTTGCAGACTCAGACGGGATGATACTTAAGCCTCCGCCAACCAGCATGTGACACTATGCAGTGAGAATTCTGGTCCATAGTCATATAGATAGTTGATCATCATATATCTAACCTGGTGTTACAATATATGTGAGGGGGAGGAACTAATCTTTGATTTTTTGTTCCTAAAAAGAAGAAAAAGGATAAGAAGTTCAGTGAAAAGCCCATCTTTGAAGCAAAACAAGCATAGTTGAACCAAAGCCTATACCCACTTACAAAGCATTTTACCTCCAAAACAGATTTGAAACCAAAACTTCTCCCCTGTGTGCAGGAAGAAAGCAAATACCACAAAACGTTCAAGGCATTTAAATCTGCTTACAATCTCTGAAAAAATGAAATAAAAGAGCTACCCACTAACAAAAACCTGACAACAATACGTCATCAGAGGGGCAGAAAACTCCAGAGACTGTTTACAGGAGTCTTAAGAAAATCTCTGCTAATGGTGAGACCTGACCCAAGTTTATGAAAGCATCAAGGCCAATGCCAGCTCAAGTACATGCATTTACAGACACACGCTCTTAAAATCAAGCCATGGCTGCCAGTCAATCTCCCACCCCCCTCCCATTGTTGACAAAATAATGCAGTCTCTTTATCCACAGGGATAAAACCATATGAGACCTTTGCATCACACGCAGACTTGCTCTGGCTCAGAAAGCCTGTCTCAGCAGCTTGTGAATGTGCTGGTTGGCATTCTGCCCAAAAAAATGGAAAAATAATTGTTTAATCTCTCAAAACTGACTGCTTTTATGATAAACAGCTGTGCGGCGTATTAAAACTGTGGAGAAAAGCAAGAAATAAAGATGTTTTTTATGAAGAAACTATTAATAAAACAAAAATGCAAGAGTTTTTGGGGAGGATAAAAAGTGAAATGACAGCCTGATGATTGATCTGATAGTTGTAGTACACTCCGCTTTCACAAACATCAGTACAAATCTGTGATTATATGTGATTTAGAGTTATAGTTTTTATGGCATCCCACCTAAACAACATAAAAGGGTGACTATAACATCATATAGAAATATCTCAAACTCACATAGAACAGTTCAAGAGAGACTGCCTGGACCAAATGTTTGCTCTACTTTTACACCTCATGCTGTTGTCACTTGAGTGGGCTTCAAGTGGTTGTTTGCTTGGGCACGTGCGCATTTGACAGAAGCAGTCGTTTCTTTAAAGAAAATCTCACTTTTGCAGTTTTCCTCCTATATTTGACTAAACTACTGCTCAATGTAGGTGCATGCGGATACATCAGGTTAGTCTACGGTGTAAGCATTGCGCTGTACCCTTGGTGCACATTGCTATGAGGTGCCAAACCCACTGGCTCACCTGTGCCAGGTGTCTCCGGTACGCGGTTGAGCGGCCCGACCAGCCGCAGCTGGAAAGCGGTCCTCACTTCATGACAACTGTAGGCGTCCACGTTGCTCACAACCACCGCGAATACGACCGCTGACAAAATCCAAAAGGACCCGCAAGAGTTCACGCGTGGGCATGTTCCTCGGGACATTGCCGCATCTCACACCTGGTACCCTCGAAGATAGCCTGCTGACTGCCAACTGTGTGTCAATGTTGAAAAACAGACGCCTCTGGTGTTCAATGCAGCAACGGTGAGTTTACACATCTGACAAACGTTCCCGTCTGATTCTCACATTATTGTCCGGGGGTGAGTGTGAGCGCCTCACAGCAGAGGATCAGTGTCTTCTCTCGGACGAATGAAGAGTGGTGTGTGTGGGCTGAAGCCAGTCTGTCCCGCGCCCAACACTTTGCAGTGGTCGGCTGTCTGCATGCCTGTTTCCAAAGCCTCGCGCGCATTCCCCTCCCTTTCTGTTTACTTCAGCTGAGTGGCCCAAGTCAAACTCAATACGGTCTCCCCTGTAAGGACGAACTGTGGCACTATCCCATTAATATCGAAAACCCCCATAACTCCTCAGTAAGCCTAATAAAGTCCAATCAAACTGTTTTAATCACCTTCATAAGCTGACATTAGTTGATTAGCTGGCATTACCATCTCCAATTGTCGACTTTTTTTTAACTCTTTCCAAGTGAAAAAAAAAAAGATATTATAAATTCAACTTTTTTGTTGCATGGCTGTTACATCCAAATGAATGACCGTCATCACAAAGTTGAACATCAATTGGACCATCAGATCAACAATTTCAAACACCATCAAATCAGATCCCCACTACCATCATGTCCCCCTTGTTTGTTTCTCTAAATTAGAAAAAAGGGACCAAAGTAACTCTGAACAAGAAAGGACGTCTTGTGCAGAGGTCACTACCTTGCCCTCCGGTTCTCATTCTACTTCATCTTAATTTAGGATGAGGAGGCCACGAAGACGAGACTGGTGGGCAGTATCTCTTCAAGACAGCCAGTGTAAATTAATAGTTTTAGAGTATGACAATATTTGAGTTGCAACTGAGTCTCCCTGCAATCCTGTGGTCAACGGTGATGAGGCCAGTTTCACAACAGTGATTTGAGTAGCGCTGCTGCCATCTACTGGTGAAAGTGTTTAATGAAGTTACAAGCACATAACCTGATGTTTTTAGGTTGTAAAACTATTTTTTAAAAACTAATGAAGAAGTATTAAAAACTAATCTCTTAGATATTTCCTTTTTAGGCACAGTGTTAACTATTTTTGTATTTGCATATTTTAGGTCTTTTTGTTAGCTGGGTGTATCAGCCGATATCCGATACCAATCCAATACAACTGTTGAATGAATGAACTGTATACCTCACCCTGTGAGTGAAGGCATCAGGCTTGACACTAGCCTTGTTTAAAAAAAGGTAACAAATTAACACAGATATAAATTTACTGAATATTATTTATTAACAAATAACAAATTGCACATTAGCAAAAAGAAGTAAGACTTCCATGTAAACATTTAGTGCAAAAGGCATAGACATAGAATACAGAGTGAACAGAATTGCTGTATATGATATTTATATAAAGAAAAAATAGACTGGATCAGAAAGCTGGATCAGCGTTATTCATCAGATATCTGATCCAGTTAATTTGTCAATATCGAAGCCGATATCTGATCCAAATATCGGATCGATGCATCACTAGTTACTTCTCATACTTAATTTGAAAAATATTTCCATTCCTCCAAAGCAAACACAGCATTATTATCATTTCAAATTTGAGCTTGAACTGCTAAATATCATCATGAGAGCAGTTCCTTTAATGGGATTGTTTTCACAGCTGTAGCGTACTCAGGAAAAGGAAACGTCACGGTAAGTGTTGGCTCTATTTGAAGATAATAGTACTTAAAAGCGGAGTATGAAACTCAGATAGCGCAGGCCATCCACTGAAACACCTTTACAGCAGACCATCATCTGGTATCTTGAGTAAATGATAACCAAAGGATTTGCCAAGCCTTGAGTGTGAGCCAGCTATGATGTCAGCAGCCTAGTTAGAGCTTCTCCTTGCCTGGGGAACTATCCATCCCAAGACTTTCACAGCACACAAATAGCTGATGCCTCAGTACACACTTCAAGAACATTAACAGAGCAGAGACTGACATCGGCTTCTCTTCCCATGGTGTGGACACAGCCAGCACTGAGAGCTTGTCTCTATGGGAGGGGTACGATCACAGAGTGGAATCAGGATTAACAACAAACAAAGTCAAATCATGAAACCGTGGAAGCTAATTTTTCTCAGTAAGCAGGAGTAAATAAGGACAAAGCTGAGCTCACAGAAAGCCTTCTTAGCTTTGTCTGTTGTAGATTTGATGCTTGTGACTACAGTACCACAAGAACTGGCATGAGGACACTTTAACAATAATAATAACAATAATGCATCAGATTTCATAAAGCACTTCATCAGAGACCTTCAAAGCGCTTTACATTGGATACATCATTCATTTGCTCACCCAGTCACACCCTGGTGGTGGTAAACTACCTTAGTAGCCCTGGGCAGACTGACAGAAACATGGCTGCCAGTTTGCACCTACGGCCACTCTGACCACCACCAAACAACACTCACATTCATACACCAGTGGAGGACACACACTGGAGGCAAGATGGCTTAAGTGTCTTGCCCAAGGACACAATGGACGGACTAAGGATAGGGGGTAATCAAACTGCCAACCTTCCAGTTATTGGACAACTGCTCTACCTCCTGAGCTACTGCCGCTCATAACGTGGTTTACATAGCCAGAGTTGCTATGCAACTCTCAACAAATAGAAATACACATATAGCTTACAGCTGTCAATATCAAAAAGTACAGGCCAAAAGACCAACACTTCAGCAGTGTCTGTGACATCTTCTGAAAACACTACACATCTGCAGCATTGATGTCTGATCTCGTACTATAGTACCAGCATTAGTTGGTCAAGAACGTTTAGTATACAGTAGTCCAGTAGAGGGAGCTCTTTAGCTCATTCGGTGTCTATTTAAGGAATTTATATATTCAAGTTCATCTTGTGCCCTCAGCCCCCAAAAGAAAAAAAACACAAGTGGGGAGAAAGAACAGCTGAAAACACTGTAAAATAATATATATAATAATAATGTTTGTGTTTTTTTACAGCATGGGGGTCATCTTCTCCTCCCACTCACAACACAGCTGCAGAGCATCACACCTGATCCTGAATCACAAAGCGTCAGGGGATGAGAAGATAAATCATCCAGTCAATAAAAGTGGGCAGCCTCCTCTCACTTCAGTGCAGCATCTTCATCACACTGAACCACCAATTCAGAAAAAAATGACCTGTGATGCCCCATGAGGCAACAAAATGCCAGACATGCCAAGATGCTGTGTTTGTCCACCTTTGGGTGCCGCAACTGCGCAACTGCAGGATTCACCAAAACCTCTATGTGTGATACCTTTGGCCAAATCAAGGCATTCTGTTGTGCTGCTGTTTCTGTTAAATTTAACATAATTTTACATGTATGACATGTGAGTACTATTCAATCCACCAGCACTTCACAGGGTAACATTTCTAGGTAAAAAAAACAATATTCAAGTCCAATTTGATGTAATTTAGCACATTCCAAACTTTAAAACTACTTTCCTCTCCTATCCACAGGTACAAGAATGGCCGTCAGCGTCCCTACAGTCTTGCACTGGGACGTCTTGTCAAGCAGAAGCTGTGGGAACGATTGGATCGTCCACAGTTCACTGAGACTGTGAACGACAACGGACTTGTCTGTGTACACACCAGCTACGGGGTTGGAGTTAATCCACCGCTGTACGACGTGGACACATCCCACGAACCAATGCCAAAGACTTCACCCAGAAAGAGAGTGAGGACATGAAAGTCTTCACTCTCTACTTGTGAATATGGCTGTTTTAACTCCGAGTTAAAACTTGTAAATATTGTGAATACTGTAGCTTAAGTTACTGTAGTTTAAGTTAGATTAAGTTTAAGTTAAGATATGAAATTATAAGTATACGGGGAAAAAATTAAGAACTGCCTAAAACAAAAAGTCCTCTCTGAAAGCAACTCAAAACACCTCAGCCGTCCTGCACCTTGAGCCTCCTCCAAACTCCTGACTCGACCAACAACTATCTCTGACCAGACTGAAAATGACAAACTATCGAACCTGCCTCCATCCTCTCCTCCAACATGTGCCAGCAGCTTTTACCACTTTAGCGCTGCACATTTGCCAACCTCCATCTCAAGCCTCTGAATAAGAACATCTGCCTCCTCTTGCAAAAAAAAAGAAGATGGCTGCCTTCACCTGCAGCCTCCATCACCAGCCTCCACCTCCTCCTCCTGTTCAAAGGTAAATTTTTCAAATCAATTAAATCCATGTGCCTCCACCTGTTTATGGACTGACAATGCCTTAAACCCAAACTTCTTTACATCAACAGCCATCACCTATGATTGCAGTCTCAGCCACACATCAGCAGCCACTAACTCCAACTGCAACCTGGACAAGCACATTGGCTCAACCATCCCTCTCTGCTAACAACCTTGAGCCACATCCAGGAGTGCAATAATATGGAAAAAAGATAGCAAGCCAACCTAAGACTCTCTTGGCAAAATATAGCTACCTCCGCCATCACCAACCAACAAGCTGCCTTCAATGCCTTGATGTCACAGACTGATACTGAAGTGCCTACAAGCCTCTGCCCAAGCAATCTACACCTGCCTCCACCTGTGGATCTGGGCCAAAGATTCACCCTCTACCTCCAGCTGGTCCTATGCAGCACACTTAAAGCCAGATTAACCAACCAAGACCTCAATCGGCACTTGCCAACTCCAGCACTGCCTGTAAACGTGACTGAAAGCTGCAGCAAAAGCCCCACCCTCAAGTAAATGGCATTCAAGAACCACCTCAACTGACAGCAACTCTCCAAGAAGTCATAGGTGATATAAACTGGGTGTTCTAACAACAACTCACACTGATATAGCCATGTAGCTAAGTTACCTTATTTACGTAGTAGCTTGTGAACCATTAATTGAGGACTATAGGTCAAAGCATCACTTTCAGTGTTATCTATCCAGCTACTGATCTCTGGTCACTTCTTTTAACAGCAAACGCTCCAAGTAAATTCAGCTGCAGCCGCAACTTCTACCTGCACAACATCAAAGAGCTGTTACCAAAGTCTTCACCTCAAGTTTCTTCCTGAAGCCTGAAATAGCAAACTGAGCTGCTCAGTCCAGTCTCATCAACTGAAGGTACCATTAATGCCTAAAACTCAAGCCTCCCTCACCAAAAAATTGTGGTATGTGGCTGCACTAATGCTTCCTATTTCAACCTCAGCTACACACCATCTACAAAATCAACTTAAAGCTTCTTCGAGGAACCAGCAGCCACCAACTCCCTGATAGAGACCTTGAACTGCAGCCGTGTGAAGCGGTATCCTTCTCTCTGGATCCTTGCTGGTATTGTACAAACTCTCTAATGCACATCACTTTGAGCTGAAGTATCTGTTTTATGACATTGTGACATTGTGCTGCAGGTGCCGCCAACTCAAGCCCAAGCCTGTACCAGGAACCTGCCTACACCTCCAGTTCCAGATGATGCTTGAAATCGACAGTCAACAAAGAAGAGCCTAAAGTTTTCTGCTGTAGCCTCTGCCAGAGACCATGGGTGTTAACGTCAACCTGTGCAAAATGAAAGACAGCTGCTGCCTCTACCTCCAATTCAGCCACTTCCAGCAAACGTCACCTGTCTTTACCGGCAGTTTGTGACTTTCAACCACAGGATCTGACAAACACTGACAGCACATGACGCCACTCGCATTTTACAGCTTAAAGCCCAAGCCCATACCTCACATTCAGTCTTTGCTAATATTCTTCTTTGTTTCCATTGCTTGCAGCTCCAGCCAGTATTCATCAGCTTGCCGCTCTACCTAAAATTTGTGGCCTCACCTGCAGCATGACCTCCAACCGAAGCCATCACCTCCAGCCGCTGCTTCCACCTGCTGAATCTACAGTCAAATGTAAGGTATAAATCAAATGCTATAGCCTGTAGTTGGTGTCTGTTGGCTTCCTCCTCCAAATATCAACCATGTCTCCACCTGCAGCACTAATGAACAGTGTTTGATGTAAGCCATGCCAGAAGCCAATGCCAGAAGTCTTTAGTCCCCGTCTCCACCTGCACCACCTCTGTCTGCATTATATATGGTAAATAATACTCATGTATTTTTTTTAACTCTAAAGTTTCTTTTTCCTTTAATTTCTCTTTTTGTCATTGTATTTATGCTGCTGTAATTTGGAATTTCCCATGGGACTAATAAAGGAATATCTTATCTTATCTTATTACATGAAAGATAGCTGCTTCCTGTGCCTTCAACCCAGTCCTGCTAGCAAAATGAAGCCTAAGTCCATGCCTCCATCTTGGGCCTCTAATAAACAGCAACTGCATCTGCTGCCTCCAGTTGGTGCCTTTGTAAGGATTGTGAGGTACCAATTTGCCCTAAAAAAATCCTCTTTGATAAAAATAATAAAATTTATTTTTAAAGTGCTTTCCATCAAAGTGCTGCACAACAAGTAAAATATGAGGAAAAGGCACATTAAAAAAAACAAGTCAAAAGCAAATTACAATCATAATGGTAACCATGAGTCTCATGCTTTACTTCTTTATTACTTGCATGCCTTTCAGCTACAGACAACCCTCCATAGAAAATGCTTCTACTTTAAAGACTTACAGCAAACTGAAAGAAAGAAACCAAATGCCCCCCCCCCCAAAAAAAAAAGGGTACAATTTTTGAATGTTTAGAACATTTTGGCCTTTATCTCCTCTTTCTACTTTTTTTGCAATGAAGTTACTGTAACAAAAAGCAATTTCTCCCTGTGGTTTATTAAATTATTTCTGATTCTGATTCTGAAAATATGCACTTCTTAAGTTTGTCAGCAGATGGCACCAATAATCATGGTTTTTAAGGACATCAGATTCTCACTTTGAATTACAATGAAATTTACAAATGACTAGTTCCCCTTTCAAAGGACAACATAGTTCAAGGTTAAGTAAATTTTTGTAATTTCATCTTCTCTGAGGTGACAGGAAGCCTTGGTTTTCCCTACAGTTACATTATACTGAAACTAATTCATCTACTGTATCCTTAGGGGTTGGAAGAAGGTCATCAGTCACATCTAGCATCTTCACAGTCTTGATATGAAACCTGGCATATCCACAGCATCAGTATTTATCACTTGAGTGCAACCAGGAATCAGAAACTTGCCTGCATCCTCATACTGAGCTTTCTTACACTCTCTGTCACTGTAGATGCCAATTGAGCTCAAACAATTCTTTGACCAGGATTACAGCAGTCATAGCGGGGGATCCATCAACTGTGTGTCCTCATACTGAGACTGAGTCCTGTGGTGAACAGACAGACTCAAGGTGCTTTAGCTCATCAGTTCTGGCCCTCTAAACTGGGGATTTAGGAGGTTTTAGTGGGGTTAAACCCCCCAAAATTGGAGCCCCCAACTGCTGGTTCAAGAGATTACACCATTCAGTCTCCCATTTTCACCTCCCTGTCTTGAGGGAGCAGCAGTAAGTGTGGAGGGCGATCGTAAAAGACATGCCTCAGCTTGACATCTCTAGTGGAAGGAAGTGGTGATAAATGAGTGTGGAGAGGCTTGATTTAGTTGAACATTACCTCATGCTGTGTAGCTGAAATCTAAGGAATGTGTGGACAGGATTTGGGGAAATTGTTGTAATCAATGCTCTTTCTTGCATTCAGAGATTTCTTAACAGGGCCTGTTAAGCATTAAATCGTAAAAGGGTGCAGAACTGTATCGTTCCAGCATGCATATATGTAAAATGCAGTGGTCATATTGCTGGCCAAAGCAGGAACCTTATGCTCCATTTCTCTTAGATAGAAGTAAGCCATGCTGCATCTTTAATGAGAGTCTGACATCTTTAGTGCCACTGTCTCACTATCTATCTTTACCTGCATGGCACTCCCAGGGAGGACAGAGAGCAGAGTGCCATTAAGCATTACAGATCCTCTTCACAACATGTCACTTACGCATTTCCAACGCTTAAAAGCAACAAATCACACCTAATGAATCTCTTTAACCAGGATCCATGCTTTATTTATAACGACTGTTTCCTGAGCGGCATTTAATTGATTGGTAAAATGGTTTTTATAGACTCTTCATTAGCCTGTTACAGCAGTGGATCAATACAGCATCATTACATGCATGAATGAATAGAGTACCCGGTCTCGCTATAGGGCATATTGGGTTGTATTAGTAGACAATCACTGTTGTCACAACCTTTAAGTTACATACGTTAACAGTCAATGATGTATTACTTGACCACTGACCTAAAAGACTGATTGGTTCAATGCAGTTTGTTTATATATTAGTAGACAATTGAGGGAGAACTTATCTGACCACCAAATAATCATATTTGTTGTGACCACCCGTCAAACTCACAAACTGGCATATGTCCCAAATTCAGGTTTAAATTTATGCAACACATTGTAAATTCATCACCAAAATATGCCAACAAATTAATTTGAATAAATTATAACTCACTTTTAATAATTATTCAAGCAGTTTGAATGCCCTTCTGTTTGTATGCAAGTCTTTGTCTCTTAGAGTGTGCACACACTGAAAACTATCCTACTCCACCCTCACTTCTGTCCCTTAGGGAGAGTCCTCCACTGTTCACGAAACAAAGTGCTGTTGTGCACGAAGGTGGAAAAGTGTGTTTAACCCATTCACCCCTGGGATTTCCTCACTGTCTGTGTTCACTGAACTCTGATGGGATCTAAATACTCCTTTAAAACGGCACATGCGGGCTGTTCGCCGAGGTCAGGCTGGACGCTTTGTGTATACGTCCATGTGCACGGGTGCATGTGCTGACTTGGTCTGGATAGAGTGACTTGCTTTGTGTTTGACTAGTCGACCACAACCCTCACATTAAGCCAAAAAAAGGGGGGTGACTACCTTTTTGACGGGGCATTTTATCTCAATGAGATCATAGCAATTGGCTCTAAATGGCATGTGGCGTGCTGTTATGAGAGGGGTGGACTGCAGGGAAATACAGTCTATCTCCCCCCTATTTAAACCCCTCCCTCCCTCCATCTCCAAAATACTCATTCTATCATTGTTTGGGATATGATTATCAAAAGAGGCATCCGTATGACCTCTGCTGTCATCATTCCAAAACAGATGCCTCTTTTCGTAATCATATGCAATCCAGCACAGCAGTTCATCCGTAGCCTTGCTGAACTCACCGGTGGGTTGTTGCTCTTTTTGGCTCCCCCTCCCCTTGCTTTATTTTTAACAACACCGTTCTCCCATCTCTGCTTAGAACCGACTTCTACATGTTTGTGAAAACTGATTCAGTTCCACTGAACTACCTACTCCAGTACCCTTTTTTTCCCCTAAAGTGTGAGACAACACCACGGCTATAGGGAGGGGGAAAGTGAGAGAGGGGGAGAAGGGGCAGGGGGGTAAGGGAAATGGAGGGAAGGGTTGATGAAAACAACAGATCTCTGCTCCCTAATCCTTTTGTGTCGACGGTGTTAATCCATCCGTGCAAACGCGGCATCACCCCCCCTCACCCAGCCACCCACCCTCCCTTAACTCCTGCATCATATACTAGGCGCTCCCTCCACATAAACAACCCACAGCAGTGTTGAAACCAATACCAGTTCCCCAGACAGTCGAGCAGAAGCTGCAGCAGCCCCCTGACAAACACACAACTCAGGCTCAACTTTGTCCCTGCTTTCATCCCACTCATCTTTGTGGCCACTGGGAACAAGCCTCTCTACTACAATGCTTTGCTTTGTTTATGCAAACATATTTGAATGTGGTATTAGCATGTTATTGGGTGTGTGTTGGAAATTGCAAATTATTGTGTCTTTTGTTTGTCTTTTGTCATGAATGCATCCATTTCTTTTTTGGGTGTTTTTTTTTTTCCAGTTTAGCTACTGTACGTATACATGGATGCACATGAGAGCAACACGGTGTATCTGCTGCAAGTGTTTTTGTGTCGTGGTCTTGTTTACGAGCTGTAAGAGAGAGGGGGGAGGGAGCGGAGGGAGGGGAGGGGGGAGGTTAGGGGAGCGGGAGCGCAGTAGTTGCCGGGGGAAGAGGAGGTTGTGTCTAATGAGGTCACACCCTGGCAACCCAGTGACTCCTCCCACTCAGCCCCCCCTCCTCTCCTCCATCCCTCCCATCCCTGCTCTTACCACTTGGCCCCCTCTGAGTGTGCCCACCCACTCAACCCCCCCCTCCCCCCCTTTACCCTCTGACAGGGAGAGCTCTCCGTGGTGCTGAAAGCAGAAAAACACATTCAGGCTCTGGTTATAGTGCAGCAGCAGAGCAGAAGCAGGCGAGACAAAAACAGAAAATAAGATGGGTTTGTAAAGAGGAAGAGTGGCATGTAGGGAAAAAGGAGGATGGAGAGAGAGGGAGAGAGGATGACGCTGAAGTGAAAGGTAGCTACAGTAGGCAGTGGGCGTGTTCATCTTGTTGTGATCTATAGCTGGGATGCCCGGTGTCATCTGCTTAAGCACAGAGCGACTCTACAGACCTTTGTGGACGAGCAGGACAAGAAGGAGCCGGCAGGGAAATCCATAACTTGAAACCCACAACATTCTGCTTTACCTCCGTCACCACCTTCACTGTGGATAAGGTTTTCTTCCCTTACCTGTGCTGTTCTGAGACATTTTCCGTTTCCTGACGTATCAAAGCCGAAGGAGAGACATTCAGCGACAGACGCATTTGAAGGTCTGTGACTGCCTTATCTGCAACTGCAAGGGGAGTTTGATGTGAAAGTGAGTGAGTGTGTTAGTGTGTATTCGTGTCATGTTTGCAGTTGCGGGTGCGGTCTGTCGCTGCACCGCATCTTTTTTTCTGTCTCTAGCATGTGCAGATGTGTGAAGCAGTGAAACTGGCTGCTGGATCGGAGTTGAACAACATCTGGACTGGAGGGGTCGCATCTCCCTTTTGTGCCCAGGGGAGGGAGCCAGGGGCTGGGCACCCGATGGCCCAGTTCCCCTCTAGCCACAGCCTCATCCTGGGTCACAAGGAGTCCTTCTAGCAAGTCAACCAGTGGGGTCATACAATGGATGGAAGTCTATGTGGATTTAAGTGGAATAGTGCACTGGTGCTCCAGCATAGGTCAGAGTTCACTAGCGTGCACTGGACTCATCAGGGGAAGACAGAAGACACGTTGGTCCAACATCCAGCAGGGACACAGCCCCATTGTAAGTATACATCAAAACAACTGCTTACACTAAACAGCAACTTAATCACCCAGGAAGAGAAATGCCAACAACTGCTCAATAATGCATGCGAAAATGATTTTCCGTGGACGTGTGCGCATGCAAATCTGAAACACAGCTGCCAAGTGTAACACCTGCACGTTCCCGGGTTTGCAGGTTAATCTTGTCTTGGGCTACTATACTGCCCTGACCGTCTGTGCATGTGTGTATTAGCATGCACAAATACCCACGCATGTTGTCACCAGACGATTGGCCTTGCAATCGTTTTGACATTGTGTCCTCAGAATCTCCATGCTGCCCTTCACCTGTGACACAGTTGCCTGGAAACAGAAACAGTGTGCCACTTTCATTTACTTTGAAAGGAGAGTGTGCACATCTGTGTTCCAACTGTTGCAACCTATGTGAACTGGGGCAACCGCAGGGGGATGAGATGAGATAGAAAAGAAAAGAAATGCATTCAGTGAAGGGGAGAGAGAGCATGCAATAGGAGAATAAGTATAGATCTACGAGGAAAACTGGTGACTGAACTGTTTTTTACAGAGATTAGAAAACAAGAATAGTGTTTTCCATTGATGAGGTATGGGAACAATCAAATGTGAAAGGCTCGGTTGGTAAAAACAGTGTGATAAACAAGCTGATTCCAGTGCAGAGTGCTGCTGCAGGCTTACAGGGATTAGGCAGGCAGGCTTAATTCAGCTCAAACACTGTTTGAACTGTGCCTTCCTACTGCTGCACCCTTAACACATCAAACCAGCGCACCTTGTTCTCGTCAGGAAACCAAGATTTACCCCCTTTGTGCGGTTTCCGATCTCTTGCTATGCCTGTTCATCAGAGATAAGACCTGATAATCAGGGGAGCAAAATCTCTACACCGCTACACACCAGGAATCTGTGCCCTAGTTTGAACTCTCCACCAAGATGGCGTTTCTGTTAGCTTTTATCAGCTCCCTCCTCCTGTCCAAAAAAAAACCTGAGCTAAGGTATGTTGAGAGGATGTCACAGTGAGTGGAATCAGCAGATAAACCCACTGACCCATGCCCTACGCAGGAGTTATTGATAGACAGACACAAAATCAGAGGGATGCTGAGGATGGCCAGACAATGGCCAGTCACTCGGTTGGCCCTAGAATCTCCATCTGGCAAGCCCCCTCCACCCTCCTCCAACCCATTCAATGCCCTTGCCACACACACACACATACACACACAAACATACATACAGTTATCAAAAGCCCCCTCCCCCTCCCCACGCATACTCACTCTCAGTGCGTCTCTCACACGTAAACAAGCATGAGTCTTAGGCTGATCTGAAAACATTGACCTACATAAAAGCGTGCACTGTCTTCCTCTCTTCCACCATTGGCCTCTCTAAATTCACATTTGGCTGCCACATGTTCATACTATGCGCCGTGCACTTGCCTATGCTTTTCCTGCACATGCATACTCTATTTGCATGCACACTGAATGGCATAACTTGCAGCTCCATGCCGGCCAGTCTTGAGTGACTGCAAACACTGCTCTGTTTTAGAAAAGAGTCGTCTTTACATGGAGTGAATCATCGTGTGGTTGCGCCAACGTTAATGTTTCTTTGAAGAGGCTTTTCCTCACAGATATATCCACGCTTCTTTTTCATGGCAGTGGTGCTGTCAGCAATCATCCTTTAACAGAATCAAAAGGCAGCAAGGAGCCGGTGAAGAGGAGTTTATTTTTAGCTCTTAGACACAAGATTGATCCTGATATCCGCATATGCAAAAACCACGCATCAGTCTACTAAGATTGGCTCATTTAATCCTTGTGGCTGGTCCCTGGAGTTCTATATTTTCACATCTGAGCCTTGCATATTACAACTGCGGAAGATGAAAGCTTTTTTTTTTCCTGTTTCATTCAGACACTCACTCGGTTAGAGACCATCATTTCAGCCAGAAAATGTGCGAACACAACTGAGAAAATGAGCAGCCGCTGCTCATCCTATCCAACAGCCAATAAGAAAACGGAAACACTGAAGGATATTAGATACTGTAACCTAATAGAAAGTCCCTTGACTGTGGTGTGTAAGTTACTGCGCACAATACAGATGTAGAAGGATGTTGCAACCCCCCTGAGGGAAGTGTTTTCCCTTGTGGCCACAGGCATGATGCAACTCTGTGTGTTGTACATGAGCCATAAACTAACAGCTACAGTAAAACATTAGCAACACCAAACATATTCACTAATGCTACATTATCAGTGTGCTGACGCAATCTTGCTACACCAGTTTCCAACTCACCAAGGCTGACCTTGAAAGATGAAGGTTAAGAGAATGAATACTGACATGATTTAGAGCTTGTTTTGCACCCATATACCACTCATTCATGATTCCCTGGTTATGCAATTTCTTGTGTCTTTCCTTGTGCCTTTTCCTTGTTATTTATATCTTACTATCAATTGTTAACATTTTCAATATGTGTTTATCAGAATGCTGTGGGAACAGTTGAAGAATGATGAGCTCCCAAGAGGAGGAAACTCTCCGTTTTTTCCAATATGTTGAGGAGAATGGGCTGAGAGCCTACAACGGCCTGGTAGCTCAGAACCTGGACCACGCCAGGAATGAGAGAAATAGAGCATTCCTGCAGGAGAAAAACGACAAGAAGAGAAAACAGGAGGAAGCCATAAGGAGGTAAGATGGGAAACCATGTGATTGATAAAAGAAAGAAAAGTTTCAGTGGCAAAACCTTTCCACAGATGTGTCGTAAACCCACATTCACCATCCTGTTCAGATTGTATAGGATGAAACATTAAGAAAACTCACGTCTTGCTACAGCGCACCATTGGGTGTCTGCTCTGTAAATGAATGAAGAATTGGGACAAGTGGCCAGAGGGTCCTTGTGGCGATGGCAGGTTGCCATATTTTTGGGGTTGCCAGTGTGGACTAGTGCACCCCATGATCTAGAGAGATAATTAATTTTTCACTTTGAGACTTATTTGGGACTTGTGCTTGGATTGAGGTCATAGCTGTTCCATTTTTAAGATGGAGAGCATTCAAAATTAAGAGGGAGGTGGGCTGGGTTGTGACAGAAAGTGAGCTGGGACGCACGGTAAGGCATGAGACACACCAATAGACTTCTGGTTATGCTACTGTGGTTGTGTTTTACTTATCCTGGTGATTTGAAGACGATCTCTCAGGTGGGCTTAAGTTTTATGATCACTCAAAAGTTACTGAAACATGTTTTAAAACTTTAAAAAAGTCAAACGCAGAGTCCACTGCACCCTGTTTTGCACGATATGATGAGCATGCAGTTCGAGCAGCGCCCCTGCACAGCAACACCTCTGTGGGGCATCCCGAAACTTGAGCGAATAGGAGGCACTCATTCAAAACGTGACCGGCACGTGGATCGAGCGTGCTTGTGTTGTGGGGTAGAACGGCGAGCAATGAGTCACAGAGTAGTTTGGATAGTAACGGGACACAGCAGAGGGGGTTCCAACACGTTTGTGGGACAACACGGACATCTGTTTCGCTCAGTTTTCCACAAAATCCACACAAAGTAGTATAAAGCAACATCAAGAAAATACGATCAGACTTTTGTTTTATTTCTAATTTATGTCTACAGTCTTTTTATTACATTTTCTATTTCATTCTAACTTTAAATTCTATCTTGGATGCCAAATTTCATCAGATAAGTAGAGCAGAAATGATTTTTTTTCTACCTTTAAATCAAACAGTTTCTCCACTGATGCAGCCCACTGAACAAACATCAGTTAGCAGCAGAAAGCCTCATGGGAAATGCCATCCAATATTGTCCCTGCGTCTAAAATCCCTCATGTTTGGTCAGTCTGTCTGACATGGCACAAAGTATTCAAGCAGCTGCCGGGAGTTTTACATGTGTGTCAGATGATTATGTTGATGCGGTTTGGAGGCTGACATCTATATGTGACCAGATGGACTTCTTCTTAACTGATTTACTGGAAGGCACTGTGAACCTTGTCACATTTCTGTCAAAAGGGTTGTGTGACCAAAAAAGCTGCTCAATCACTGCCATAGTGAATCTGTGTTTTCAACAGAATACTCACTGTATGCCAGCTCTATGATCAGAGTTGACTCAGAGTTCAACTTTGCACTTCAGATATGAGAGAGGCGGCAGAGTTAAGGTTTAAACATATCCCAGATTGTCTTTCATCGTCTGCTGGTTAAATCTCTCTGCTGCCATTGTCTGATGCTGTCCTATTCAGTAACTTGGTTGTTGGGACCGGGCGATGCCGGAGGAGAGTGGCATAGACTGTCCTGCCATCCTTCCACTCTCTTTCAGCTGTTGCTGAAGCTAAAATATTAATACTCAGTCACTGGAGAAAGAGTCTAAAAAATAACTGGATTTTTCATGAGGGCTTATAAGTAGGTCAGTGAGACGACCCATTTTTACAGTAACTGACTGAGAGTGAGAGAGAGCGTGAGGTTTCATGCTTGCATTTGCGTGTGTTCAAGCACGTACATGCTTGATTGTGTATACACGCGTGCACGGACATGAACCCCAGGAAGATTTAATTTATCAGCGCACGAGAAAGGGGAGGAAAGAACTAATGGCGATTTGATTGTGTTAGAGTGAAAGGGCTTGTTACAGCAAATGTGTTTAAGAGAGGAAGAAAGGAGAAAAAAAAACTGTTAGTGAGAGATTAAGTATGAGCTCAGTTTGCAGGAGATGTGTTCTGCCTGGTGACAGCTGGAACAGCCATAGGCCAATCAGATCAGCACGTTTGGTTTGAGTGAGGCGGGCCTTCCTGCCTGCTGCTGTCTCACTCTGAGTTTCTTTCATTGTGTTTGAGAAGAAGTCACTAACACAGTAATACGCACGCAAACGCACAGGCAGATGGCCACAAATTTACTTAGACATGCAAATGTATGTAAACACACATCCACATGCCCACACTCGCACACAAACACACAAACACACACCACAAACAAAAAGGATTAAACACACTCACATTTTCTTAGATTTGAATATGCTTGCAAATTCCAAACGGCTGCTTTCTTGGTGCAGCCAGCTCCACATAAACAGACAGATTTCCTCTACAGCCTTTTTCTCTCCAGTATTTTTTTTTGTTCTGTTTTGTTTTGTTTTGTTTCCTCTGTTGTTTTTTTCTGTTGCGCCGTGTCACAGTGAGAAAACCAGAACTGCCCGACGACACCTCAGCTTCAACCCATCCAAGTGCACCTGTGATCTGTCCTCTAGCCAATCACTGGGCAAATATCCTATAAATAATCCAGTCACCACCACTACAGTCACACTGACCCTCCCACACACACCAACAACTCATGTATATGGGCTGACTTCCTCACAATCACAGCAGATGCACATTAAAAACATATGAGAATGTAAATACTGTGCATTACTGACACCTGTGACTGAGCGCCATATATGAAGATTTTCTCCTGAGACTGATATGATTGATGCTTTCATGATCAATACATAATTTTCCATCTTTCTTTAATGTGATACTCATCATGTGACTCTACAGGTTGCTGTAAGCCCCTCCTATTTACATCTTCACTCTCCTCTTAAAACAATCCCTGTTGTGGTTATAATACGCACATGAAGTGCACGTGTCCTTTATTATTGTTGTGTGGCAGCAGCTGGTTCTGTGTCTGGTTTCTATGGGTACCCTGTTGCTAGGCAAAGTTAAGCCTCTGACCAGTAAACCCACCCTACCAAGCACCTTCTGTTAAGCAGCTGGTCTGGAGGGAGTCAGAGTCAGCAGAGTGACACACTAACCAAAACATATTCACACCAATCTGCAAGCACACTCACACGTTGGATTGAAAGTCTTGTTTCCAGACACGTAGATTCAGCCTGTTGCATGCCATGTGGTAAAATGTCTCCATCTCACACTGTGGCGTACAAATAGTGGGATTCAGTCTCAGCATTTATACAAACCATTTCACCCTGAATGCAGATCTTGAGCCCATGGTTTTTGCGTGTTTGTATTTATGGCCCACAGCCCTCTTTTCCTCCATTACCACAAAACGCTCAGACATCATTAATGCCCCACTCAAGCCAATCATCCATTTATAGGGATTGATTGTGTACTGGCGGTGGGGGTACATCCATGGTGTCAATAAGTGTGTTGTGGTGAGCGTGGTATTGGTTGTATCCGGGGTTAAACTCAAATCAATGCACTGCCCTAACAGAAACCCAGTTTTTAGTGGCACTAACATGTCTGCTGTTGTCTGTTTAGCGCAGTCAAAGTTCACATTTAATCACACATATCTTTTTCTTGTTTTGGTCATTCTTATTGCAAAGACCTTTCCAGCTCCTCTGACCATGTCCCTAACTCCTCTTCTTGTTTCCTCTCTTTCTTATTTTTTAGGACAGGGGAGGACATTGCAACCGAAGGGAAGCACTTACGCATGGGCTCTATTACCATGCCGGATCCCCAGGAACGTATGCCCATGCCTCACCCGCATGCCCTGGCCTGTGGGCAGGGCTTCTCCGTCCGCTCCCAGTCCCTCCACTCTGTCGGCGGTGGGAACACTGGAGGTGGAGGAGGCGGAGGGGAGGAAGAGGTTGGGAGCCCGACCTCTAGGAAACAGCCCCCACCTAAGCCTAGGAGGGACCCAGCTACCAAGCTGAGCATGTCGTCTGAGGCGGTGGACCACAGTCCCATGTCCACCTGCCGAGGGGAGAGATGTGATGGTGAGTGGTGGTGGCACTTCACACCAAACTGCTGGGCTATATATAGCTGCTCTCTGCAGTGACCTCCTCAACAGAGTTTCTCCTGCAATGACGTGACATCTAGCTATTCACTGCATACTTCAAACAAAGCAGCACTCTGATATGAAAATAAGCATTGTTGAACTAAAGGGGTCAAAAATGGGTGGAAAAAAAAACTGCAAAACAACAAAAATGTGGCAGCCTGCAGCCCAGTAGACGACATAAAAGTGAAAACTTAAATAACCTGTCATGATTTAGGCTAATGTGTAAAAGTCGATACCTTAATTTTACCTGCTAATATGGCACAAATTTACAATGCTCACATATTTCCCTCATTATGCAGATAATCAAACGGTACAGGATTGAAAATCCTGTATTCACATGTTGATCCAGGAGTTCAGATATCAAATTAGGACAGACTTAACTGACCTGACCGTGAAGCTCATACAGTCACTAGGGGTGGGAGAGTAATTGATACAGGATAGTATTGTGATATTTTGTCAGGTGATATATCATATTGTCTTATTCACCAAGTTTTAATTTTTCAAATTGATTGCTAATATGAAGTCAAATCTATGATCATGGAAAAATACAATCAACTGTTTGTCCAGTGAGGTTGGCAGAGGTGACATCATAGAGCAGGAGAAAGTTAGTGCAACAAATAAGGTTTGCAAGATGTGCAACACGAAAATAAAATAGAGCGTAAATAAGACAAACATAAAGGAAAGACAAATGCTAATTTAGCTAAAAAGTCAAAAAAGTTGTATAAATCGCAATATATTGTATCACCATACTCACTGTATTGCAAAATGTTAAGCAAAATATATTGTAGCACAAGTATCGTGATAATATCATATCGTGGGGCCACTGGTGATTCCCACCCCTGACAGTCACTGGTTAAACCTGGTCCCCGTGTATATGAAGAGTGCAGACATGCCTTGACAATTAATATCCCAGCTGGGTATATTACCAATGAAGGCCAAACCTTTAACTTCCAGTCAAATTCGGCAAGGATGAAAGAGAAAGATGTCTTGATAAAAATATTGTAGAAAACCCCTGCAGCAATTTTCAGAAGCAAAATAAACAAACACGATGCGCCTATTTGGCCATGAAAGAAAAAAGGGTATAATTAGAGTGAATCAACTCAGTGTAGGGAAAGTTTAATGATGAGACAAGAATTAATTAAACTAAAGAGATGTTTTCCACAACAAGACACAGATTCAACCACTGCTGGAGCAAATGCAGGATGCACACATGATCGTGTGGCTTTATGCAGTGAGTCAAGCTGAGAAGCACTGAAAAATTAGACTGACATGGAGATTATTGTAATGGTCCATAAAGCAGGGGGCTGTGAGAGCAAGAAGAATTCACAGGTGTCAGAAAGCTTTGACTCCATTTCAGTCAGGATGTTTCGTTGCCGACGTGATGTTTGGGGAGTCGCCCAGCCTGCCGCAGATTGGTGGGGATCTCTCTGTGTGCACACAGATCTTCCTGGGCACCACAGCAACCATCCCACAGAAACAAGACCCCCTGCAGCTCAGCCAATCACAGAATCACTGAGCAGCCCGAGCCAATAGGGCTCCAGAGATGCTGAAGTCTGAGGCTTCTGAGCCAATCGGAATGTGAGTGTGGGGGTGTCCCTTTCTGAGGGGAGGGTTGCGTGCTCTGAAGCTGGCGCTGTAGCGGGAAGGGGAGGAGCTTGTTCGAGTAGAATTCATTCAGGAGGAGCGATTGACCTAGATTCGTTTTCCCCAGGAGGAGATGGAGGGGGAGGGGGTTGCGGGTAAACACATCCGCTACAAGGGGGAGGGGGAGAAGAGGGAGCAATAGAAAGGGGTAGAGAAGGAGTAGGACATGTTTTGAGGGATGAACTCATCATCTGCACTGAAACAGATCCCCAAATCCGTCATACAAACCTGTTGGTGCAAGAATGCATTTGCTGAATGTTAAAAAAAAAAAAAGGCACAGATACACCGATTTATGCACGACTGTATGCACAAATACATGCATGCACATACATGCATAAAGAAGGGATGGAGCGCACAAGAATATCAGTATCATCAGTTCAATTAAACACGTATAAGACGACATCTGGCTTGAATTAAAACCTTTATTAACACCTTGTTGATTATTCGTAATGAGGAGAAAATGCAGAACAGAGGGTCCTCTTCATCCTTCAAATTAGAATCATATAAACCAGTGCAAAGCCTTTTTCTCTTGTATATCAGATTGTCTTTTTAATATGAAGTCTCTTGCTTTTTCTCTAATTGGATAAAAAGCTGTAATCCCTTTATCTTTTCTTATCAATCTGATTTTGTGCCATTCTGCAAAGTTATACTGTAAATTCAAAGGCAACAGATAAGAGTGACAGAATTAGACTTCCAAATCTTTAAAGGATTGACTGTAAGGCTGTCAGATAATAATTGTGTACGAGGCCGCCTTCATTTTCCCGTATGTATGTGTGGGCATTTGCCATGAGGGGATGAGTGTGTCGGTGCATGTAGCAATGTTGGTGAGTCATACGGTTACGGGAAGTATGCATGTGTCGGGGCCATCTGGCATCTAAATTATTAAAGGTGTAAAATCTGCAGTTTGAAGATTTCAGACATGGTCCGGCTCTTAACTTCACTTATCTCCCCTCCATCATATTAAGGGCCACTCCTATCCAAACATCTCAGAGACTGACCTAGAAATACACAGAATAGAGAATTTTCCAGTAAGTGACGAGCATTAGGACCGTACTGACAGCAGAGCAATCTACGTAAATGTGAACATAGTAGCATAGCCTCACTGCACCACTTCTAAAGAGATTCACACTGCAATGCTACGTCACCACTATCAGAAAGAAGCTCCACAGTGTGTGTGACCCAGATATTATACTCACATACTACACCACAGCCTTATATGTGACCTAGAAACATGCATAAGGCTCAACTATTCCCACATATCTGAGTCAAGATATTGCTCGCAACTATACGCGATGACCTACATCTGACCCGTCACACCGCAGAGGGCTTTATATGAATGATAAATGATTTACAAAAATAGATTTGGTCTAGTTTATTATTGCATTATGTTCTATATGAAAGCAATGGAGTGGCTACAAAAGGGAATTAGGACATCATTTATTTGTTCAACGCCATAAAGATAGCCCTGCCTTCACTCAACATAATGGTCGGTAATGAACTTGAAATCAGGTCTTAATCATCTTCTTTATCAGATTGTGTTTGTGATAGTGTTTTTCTCCAAAGAATTGTATTTTGACCTTCCTTTTTTGGTCTTTTAATAGCTCAAGGATGCAGTGAGGACTGCAGGAGGGTGCCCCCACCCAAACCTAAAAGAAACCCCAACACCCAACTGAGTGTTTCCTTTGACGAGTCCTACATCAAGAGCCATGGAGGTGGCGGTGTATGTTCCTCCAAACCTCTCCATCACATCACCTCGAACTGCGAACGAAACCCCTCGCCTCCACAAAGCGACGAGAGCCCCACCGATGACTGCGAGGATGAGCCTGTTTACATAGAGATGGGCGGGATTGATGTCGGAGCGCGAGAACCGCTAAAGAGCGAGGATGAAGAGCCTGGAGAGTCAGTGTACGAGGAGATGAAGTACCCAGTTCTGGATGATATGGAGTACCGTACTGACCCTGTGGGGTGTCGCTCTGCATGCCCCACTCCGGCGCCCTATGATCCTGAACCTCTCAGCCGCTGCTCCACACCTCGAAACATTCCCCTCTGTGACATTCCTGCACCCTTCCCTAATTTGCTCACCCACCGGCCTCCTCTGCTGGTGTTCCCACCGGCGCCTGCTCAGTGCTCACCCAACTCAGACGAGTCACCCCTCACCCCTCTTGATGTAGCTAAACTGCCCATGCTGGAGAACCAATCCTACAGCAAATCCCCCACATCCTCCACCGAGCCCCCCTCTTCTGCACACATCCGCAGGGAACTCACTGCCACCCCGACACTCACTGTATCCGGCCGCTCCTCTGCGCCTCCCCTTCCCTGTACTCTCTACAAATCCTCCTCTTCTTCTTCTTATCAGCGCAGCCACTCCGCCTGCCCGTCACCGGTCAGCATGGGCCGCTGTCTCACCCCTCTCAGTCTCATGCGTACGCCTCCCTTTGATGCCCCCATGCCATTTCCTGGAGGTCTGCCACGTAGCGCCTCTGCCACCCCTCATGGCAAAGGCTCGCCACCTCAAGACAGCGTGGGTCGACTCCATGGCTCTATGCAGAATGTGTCAACAGGGCGATCAAGGACACCCACCAGCCCACTGGATGAACTAACCAACCTGTTCACGACTGGCAGAAATATGTTGAAGAAAAACGCCAGTGGCAGGAAGTCAAAAGAGCCCGGAGAAAGTGAGTCAATTCACACTTTTGTCTTATTTTGGTACTTCTAAAGCAGAAGGCACAAACACATCTCGTCATGATTGTTCATCCGTCCCTTTGATTCCTAGAGATTGCACACATCTTGTTACTAAATTTATTTCTAAAAATACGACTGTTCATCTTTTCATTTTGTGTGCTGGAGTGACTAAACTAAGAGAAGTGATGAGAAGGCGACCTCGCCGTCACCACAGAAGATTGAAAAGTCTCAGAAAATGAATCCTCAAAATAGGATCAGCATCTTAGACTGTGTTTGGACAGCATAGTTGAGGTCAGAGCAGAAAAACTTTGACTGGATTTGGAACAAACAAAATGAAGTGGTCCTCAGTGACAGTGTAGTTTATCCCTCATTTGTGTCACCACGCTTTTCAAACCTGCTAAATTAGGAGGCTGTGCAGAGATTGCGTCACTTTCGCAGAACCATAAATAGTGTTTGTGCCGCTCTCTGAGACTTTCTGTTTATTTAATCGAGACCTAGCGAGCCAAGTCTGATACTGATCGTATGATTTAATCTGAAAGGATTAGAGACCAAAGCGGACAGCAGGTCTGTCAAACCTACTCATGGCATTAGGCCATCAGGCAGCATTACTTTTTAAATATGTAAACATGGTGTGTAAACACTGATAGCCATGCCACACTCAAGACTATGCCAAAATACATGCAGCTGTAAATGAAAGCAGAATTTGCTTAAAATCATTAGAAAATCAAATAACGTGGAAAAAAAACACACCAATGCTCCCATTATCATATAGCAAGTGCACTCATGCATAATACATTGATTATTTTTTGTTAAAATAGTGATGTTAAAAATCTAATGTAATGCAAATGAATAAATGACGGCTGAGGCATCAAACCATAAATGTTTCAGAAATGCACAAAGCTTTGTTTAGTTCATGCAGAGGTACATTATGTGTTGACCTCTAAGCTGGAATCTCAAACGTGAAAAAAAATCTTCAAATTTGAGCAAAGATACTCACTTTAGTGCTCCAAGTTAAGTAAAGCAGTTTCACATAAATAAAAAATTAAAGACGGGTTCAAAAAAGTCTACACATTCATCCTTACTTGACGCTCTTAGCAACTACATCATAGCAACAGTGGAAGGAGCAGAAATCCCTGTTTCTTATTTGCAGTTTCCCACCCCATGAGTAATGCAGCCAATCAGAGCTCAGGGCATGCCGGTTTACAACAGAGCAGTGAGCTCCTGATGGGGAGCAGCCACAGCTCTGAACTCAAATTTACACCTGATCAGAGGATTTCAGACTCTCTTTTTTGTCCAATCAGCATGTACTCTCCTCATGATTAGACCAATCAGAGAGCTGCGTCTGCTGTGTAGATGAGGATAGTTGAAGAGGAGACTTCTCATGATTTCTTACTGTTATGACTTCACTGAAATATGTTTGTTCCAGTTGGTGTATGCATGGGGAAAGTGGTGCGCATTCCTACTATACCCTGCTGGTTGCATGCGCTGCTTTGCATATAGATGTGGAGATACTTGTTTATCATAAATGATGGTTGGATTATCAAAGGATGCATCCAGGTGTCAGGAAATCCCAGCAATGTCTTACCAAGAGTCACATGACAGCATTTTGTTCTCTCGCCCCATATGGCTTGTAAACAGTTTGCATATGCTTTCTATACATCAGACTGGGCTCTTTTAATCAAACACCTGTGTACACCACATGGGGTTGTGTAGCTGACAGGTTGTGTGTTCTGCTCTGTGACTGGCTACAAGCACACGGTGTGTAAAGAATGCATGAACCTAACAGGATGAATGAAAGATCATTTTTTCTCGCTCTGCCTTTCCGAGGCGATGGAGGCAGCAACAGCTAGTCTGACCCACTTACCAACCGGTTAATCGCCACACTCGCACTCATACGTACACGTGCGCAAACACTAGAAATCTATGTATGATGACGCATGACATGGCAAGGGGTATGGATGACCAGGGATGTTTGTGCATGGTACTGTATGTTAAAGCTCATATAGGAACCATATAGAAGAGCAGCTTACATGGAATAAATCATGCATGTATATTTATATGTGTGGTTATGATCTATAATGTCTATACTTAGCCTTGGTTCTGTGACATACATGCATCCTTGATCCTTGTCAGTGTGTGCGATGCATACTGGTTGGAATCTTAGATGTATGTTTGCTATAGGATAGTTGTTGTACAGTGTGAACAGACTGATTAGTTAATAATAGAAATATATAAAATGCCAGATCATATTTTTTTACATGTTATGCAGTTATTTTATGACATACAGACCAAGATTACACCTTTTTAGTTAAAGAAAATAACCAACAGATGTTTACAGTTGAACTGATTGACCTAAAAAAACATAAAACAGCTTGTGGTACTGTGTGCTAATTTTTCACAATGAACACTTCATAGCTGCTAGCCCACATATTGACTCATCTGACTGCGGTTGCACGCTGCAGCTTTTTGAAGAGTAGAGAGTGACACCTAGAGGATATATTAAGGTACTGCAAATATCTAGTAGAAAAACAACATCACACTCTGCAGCTTTTTTTTTCTCACAAGTGCGCAACCAGCAATACAAATTTGAACATTTAGTTAACTTAAGTGTGATTTTGGGATTATTATTAGATTTTTTTTTGCCATAATCATCCTTTATATTTTCAAATACAGAGAAATTAGCTCAGATTTATGAGTCTTACAAGTACTAGGTTTTTAATCTTTTTGTTGTTTTTTTCAACAGCTGAATCCAAAAGCAAGTCTCACAGCGAATCCAAGCGTGAAGGCAAAGAGCGCCACAGTCACAGCAAGGAGTCAAAGCGTGACTCCAAGGAGCGCCACAGCAAAGAGTCTTCCCACCGCAGAGACAGAGACAGAGACAAAGAGAAAGAAAAAGACAGGGACAGGGACAAAGAAAAGGACAGAGGCAGCAGCAACATGGAGCAACAGTCCCACAGACGAAACAGCAAAGACCGTACTTGTAGCAGCGTAGATGCACCACCTGTTCGCAGGGACAGCAGGGACCAGAGCTGCAGCAGTGTGGAGCCCATCTCTTTGATAAGAAGAGACTCTAAGGACAGAGGGATCAGCAATAGTGAGTTGATGCCGAGGAGAGACAGCAAAGATCGTAGCGGGGGACTAGGAATGGAGCCTTTGCTGAGACAAGACAGCAAAGAAAGAGAGAGACTGCTGGATCAGCCGCCTGAGCTGTTACCAAGACAGGACAGCAAGGAAAGGGTAAGAAACGGTTTAGACTGTAGACATGAAAGCCGAGAAAAACTGCTGGATCAGCCGCCTGAGCTCTTACCCCGCCAGGATAGCAAAGAGAGAGCCAGGAACGGTGTGGACTCAAAGCATGAAAGCAGAGACAGGCCCCCTGAGCTTTTACCCCGACAAGACAGCAAAGAGAGAGTTAGAACTGGAGCAGAATACAGGCATGATAACAAAGATCAACGTCCTGATCTGTTACCCCGGCAGGATAGCAAAGAGAGAGTGAGGAATGATTTAGAGCACAGACACGAAGGTAGGATAGACCAACCACCTGAGATCGTCCCCCGGCAAGAAACCTCCAGAAGCAGCAACAGCAAGGACAGACTTAGCACTGAATCAAAGCATGATGGGAGAGATCGGAGCTGCCACAACGGAGCAGATCTCCCTCCTCCTCCCCAGCCTCGACAGGATGGTAAAGACCTGAGCAGAACAGGACTGGAAATGAGAAGGGACAGCAAAGACAGAAGTCTGAACGGCTCAGAGGCGCATCAGTATGATGCAAAGATCACAAAGAGCCCTTCTGCAACAGAGTACAGGAGTGATGGTAAAGAACGAGGATACAGACCAGATGGCACACCCAAGCGGGATCACAGACCGAGTTATAGCACGGACCAATCAAAAGCACAGGAGAGGAATGGCAGCACAACGTCAGGACAGCATTCATCCACAACCACACCGACTCACCACAGACTGTCTGGTAGCCCACCGATGACAGCAGGAACAGGAAATGGTGAGGATAAGTTTCACAGGATATTCTGATAATGATGATATATTATTTAATGATGTGACTGAAATATAAAGCAAAATCAATGCATCTCTTTTTTGTAACACTATGTCTGATTTAATGACTTTTTTTTAGATGTGAAAGCAGTGCCCAAGTATGCTCGCTCTCCTTCTATGCCTGCTAACCCCTCCCCTATGGGAACACCACAAAGAAGAGCAGTGGAGTCACAACAAAGTCAGGTATGTAAAATTGACTGTAGTTTGAAAACACCTTTATTTTTATGTTAGTGAGTAATAGGGCTGAACGATTTTAGGAGAGGACTGAATTGCGATATTTCTGGCAGACATTGCAAATTCAATTCGATTAACAATTTTCTTTAAATCAAGCTGCAGTGCAACATTCACAATGTTTAAAGTAACGTCTAGACATTAAGCTATACCTTTGATGCAAGAATGAAAACTAAAGGTAAGTTCACATTTAAAGAAAATGAAGTCATCCCTAGAGGTGATGTGCTCAAGGAACTACCCACACCACAAAGACTTGGTGGTTAAACCAGAAGGGAGCATAACTTCATATTCGCCTGCAGCATTGTTGATTCATAGATTGGTTTAGAGAACTGCAGCTGATAATGTTCTAAACGTACTCATGTGGTGCTAAAGGCCTTATTATGGAGAAGTGGGCTCTGATGTTGTAACATCTTTCAATAAATGTTAAATAAGTAATTTTGTACTGAATTCATCTTACTTTATATAACATTACTGTTTGTAAGATTAAAATGGTGTGTTTTACTTCAATAATCTACGGCACCATTTACTGGGGGCAAGTTGTGCCACAAGAACACTTGTTTCTAAAGCTATATTTCTCAAATAGTTAATTGAAGATCCAAAGTGATTGTTCCCAGGGATGCACCACATCCTAAACTATGTGTAGGGGAAAGTGGGGTAAGATGAGCCATTTTTCATATTTTGGATCACTACATCAAGGCAATCATAGTTTTGTCTCCAACTCGTGTACCTGCATATGTGTCAAGATGTTGTGCATCCCTGCAAACCAACAGAATGACTCAACTTACCCCACTCTCCCCTATTATGTCATGGTAGTCGTTATCTTCAGGTGTCAAAAGATGGCAAAAGATGTTGTAATTGTCGCCTGTTTGCTCATGTTTGCTAGACTTTTCCCCGGACTTTTTCGTTATGCACGCCTCATGCAAGTGTCCGGTATAAGTTGGTTGTGTCTCCGCTCGATGTAGCAATCGAGCAACTTTAGCGCGACAGGTTTTACGCAGTAGCCTACCTGTATCTGGTGCACGTCTGCAGCCTCAAAAATACTCCCAGATGACCGCCGTGCCTCTATTCTTGGAGATTAAATCGCCTAACTCCGCTCGTGGTTGCGCTGAAGCCGTTTTAGAAACACGTTCCCGTTTCAAATCACGGAGAGCAGATTCATACTGATTGGTTCATGTGACCTGTCCATGAGGAGCATATGCCGCTTCTGACTGGTAAGCTTGGCAAGGAGGTGGGGAGACATATGAAAAACTACGGTGGCTGAGAACCGCCACTGCTGCAAAAAAAAAAAAAAAAACAGAATGCAAAAAAAGAAGCCACAACGGAAGTTACATATGCAAAACAAAAGAAATCGAAGCCCACAGCAAATAAAAAAGAAACCGTGCAGATTTTTTTTTTAAAAAAAAAAGCCTTTTCGTCGACTTCCCAATGAGCAATAGCAATTTTTATTTTTTTGGACCTAATTTCAACCATCTAGATTCTGTATATTTTTAGACGTCATAGGTGTTGCACGTTAACCCATTATTCAATAACTATTTATTTCAAAAAGCAACTGTGAGTGGCATAACTGATCTCCAAGTACTTAACCAAAATGATCATGGTAGCGGTTAAGCAATATACACTTAGACCTTTGTTAGCCGGCTAGTCTAAACTTGGTCTAAATTTAGATGTCTAAAAAAACTTTTAATTTTTGGACATGTGGTAGCCAGATTTTTGACTAGTCGTCAAGGCTACATTTAGACATCTATTTTTTTTTCCTTATTTTTTTTTTGCATCTTTCATTTTCACAGTAAGTAATTTTTTTTTTTTTTATTTTTTTGCATTGCAAACTTTCATTGTGGCTTGTTTTTTTCTCTGCACCATCTCTGTTTTTGTTCACAGTGGCCTTTGGTTTCCTTTTTTTTTTTTTTTTTATTGCAGCAGTGGCGGTTTTCAGCCACTGTATAAAATAGCTGACACACAACAGATCCTGAGTCAGTCAGAAGAGCAGCAAAAGAACAACAACAACAAAAAAAGGCTTTGGCGTTCACATGATGTGCTGTCTGAAATCACAATTTCGATCAGAAAATGATGAAACCGTTCATCCCTAGTGGGTAATATTTCTACAACAGCTGATCCCAAAATTAAGATTTTTGTCTTTGCTCTTCTTGCTGGTTAGAAATATGTAAAGCTTGCCATGGAAACATGTGCATTTGGCACCTCTATATGAACTGATGAAGGTCAGCTTTATACTCATAAAGGATTGTACGGTTTTGCGATATTCCGATTTTCTCTTTCTTCAAAGGGAGGGTAAAAAAAATTAGTATAGTTGTATTCATGTAATTTGATGTCTCTGGCTCTCAGATGCCCCAGATGCCGTGGATCTGTGGAGACACCACCATGCTGGAACAGATTGAGAGGAAGCGTACCCTCTGCATGGAAATCCGCTCCAGACAGCATCCCCACCTCCAGAGATATCTGGAGAGGCCTCCCCCACCTCCAGACAGAAACGAGGAGAGGCACCAGGAACGGAGTCAGTGCAAACAGGAGAGCGCATCAGTCCTCCCAGGCTGGGTGAAAAGCAGCGGGGCCAAAAAAATCCGTCCTCCCCCTTACCCTACACAAAAAACTGTCTTCTGGGACACGGCCATCTAACTACACACTCACACCTCCCTGCCACACAACCCCAGACACCCTCTCCCTCTTTCCTCTGGGCTGTGCTGATGCCTACCTGAAACATCAGGGGTGTCAGGACAGCCACCGAGAGCACCAAGGAGATGATACTCGCTGATGTCAATGGACAATGGTGGTTACCATAGCAATATTTCTGCTCGTTCAGGTTGTCATGTTTTCTTATCATCACTGGTGATATTTGATATTTTTCTATTTCCTGTGATTGGATTCTTGTAATATAATTAGTAGAATAGATATTTGATGAATAGATATTTTCTAAATGAGATGGGAATTAAAAAGCAGCTTAAATGATGTATAGTAGATGTAGATGCGATCTAATGTTTGTTTTTGTTATTTTTATTTGGCTTATTTTACATTTCAAAGCTTAATCTATCAATACTTGTACTGTAGTAGCATAATTTTCTTATGCCCGACTCTTTTTTGTGCCGAAAACGAGCACTGAAAGTGAATGGACTACTCAATTCTGTCTATATATACTTTACAATTTTCACTGTTGTATTGTAAGTTGAGGAGTTAATGTCAACGTGCTTTAGATTCCAGCGCCCTCCATGCCTGGTCCAGTATGTTCTACAATGTACAACAGTGGTCCTAGAACAGAGACAGGAAACTTTGTGTGGTTTGTATATTACAGTTTGAAGCTGTGTAGTCACTACGTCAAAGCCTTTTAAAGCGGTCGAATCGTTTTCTATAGGAAAAACCTGTTGGCTGGCATGTTGTAGAGGAAAGTGTGTAATGTTTCTGCTGTAATCTAAGATACACTATGAGGGTGGGTTGGGGAGGTAGTAAATTAGAGCATACATTATTAACAGTATAATTTCCAAAACCAGCCAAAGCCTGTGAAAGCGAGATAAGGGTGTGGTTGCACTTTGGAAGGTTGGTTATTTGAAATGGGGTCGGTGGCAATAGCTGGTGAGTCCCAGCGCCTTTACTTTGCCATGCACACTGAGAGCACCACAACACAGTGTAAATACTTGATGCCAACGACCAGCCCGTACAATCAACACCTGAGCTTTTAGAACATTTCTTAATTTAACTGCAGATTATAATAGCCATATGCACTTGCTTAAGAATTAACTCTCAAGATTATGCTTATATATATATTTTTGAAAATGTTAAAGGTAGCTGTGCCATGTAAGTTTTAATTTATTGGCGAGAGGAGGTAAAAGCCGAAGGAGGCTGGCTGTGTGTGACATGCAGTCATCTATGATTGGTTGTCTCGGACAATATTCACAATTTAATTGGCTGGCAACCGTTTTAGAGATAAAAGGACCTATAACATGGCAACAGCTCGACCCAGTCAAACAGACAGGGATGCACAAGGGCCTACAAATCTTTGAGGCTTTGTAAAAAGGAAAAGAAATGCACTACCCATCATATTCCATTACATTCAATCAGGCAGATTACATACTTGTCCCTCTCCCCCTGCTCTCTCCCTCTACCTCAACCTCCTGCTTACGTCATCCAAATTGGTTCTCGCTAGCACATTAAAATGCAATGTTGTCATTGCCAAAACGGTCCGGGTTGGACAAGTGAGCTAACCTTCAGAGTGGAATGCAAGTGCAGTAACCCTTCTTTGGTGAGAATCAACTGTGTTGTACCTGTGTGTGTGTGTGAGAGGGAGAGAGCCGTGAGTGTTCGTGTGAGCCAAGCTACACTGTATGCAAGTTGAATCTTTAAAAATGATTGTTTTAAGACATTCACTTTGCCCTCTCCATGACACATGGAGGGTAAAGGTTAGAAATGTAATAATGATGATGTACAATCTCTTTGTGTGTATAAACGTGCACTGTGAAAAGGTAGAGAGAGCACCGCACTGTCAGAGTCCTCTGTCTTATTGCACTGAGTGTTCTCTTGTTTTTGCGTAAGAAAAAAAGAAAAGGAAAAAAACATGTTTGAGGAAAAAAAAGTACTGTATTCTGATTGTCACTTGGGTTCTGTTGAGAGAAATAAATAAATATGAACTTGAAACCCGCTATGGAAATATGACTCTTGTTGAATTTATTCAGTTTGTACGGTCTTTTCAATAATATAAGTTATTATTTTTCCAAGAGTTGAATCCAAAATGACTTCAGCTATTAAAAGTTTTTAAATATTTCAATTTAGCACCTGCAAGTTCATTTATATAGAAATTTTTAAACAAATAGCAACAACATATCATTGGAAATAACTAAAAAAAAAAGATAAAAGGACAGCAAAGCTAAAGATTTCTATTGAAAATCACTTATTTTCATCTGTCTGAACTTATGAGTGGTGACGACTATTAAATTGTTTAAACACGTATGGCCTCATTAGGTAAAAGAAACTCATTAAATTGTAACAAAAAGCAAAAAGGTGGACGTTACAACTCTCTGATGCACACATGACATTGACTGGCTTTGCGCCGCTGTTGGTCAGCTGATTTGATGGTCCCAGGAATCGGAGTGACAAACTGCTCTGTTTTACTGATAGTAGTCAACCAAAAGCTGTACAGATTAGTAAAGTAGTGGCAGGAACCACGTGCACCTTGGCACTCTATGAAAGGATGAGCCCGGAAATCCTTAAGGCAGCTACCTGTAGAAGTCAGAGACTGGCCCCCGCCCTCATCGCCTGCCCCTGTGTGCTAAACAGAAAGAAAAGCAGGTAAATGTTAGCTTAGCTTTCGACGTAAAAAGTGAAGCTTTTTCTCACACTCACCAAAAGGAACGAGTATCCCATCCACAGGCTCCTCCAGCCAGGAGGGCATTGGGGGATGGTGTAATCCTGGCTGTGGAAAGCCGCTCCAGGTGATGCTGTCTCACACACTACACAGCGGCTGATATGGGATTTAATCTCCTGGCCTAACAGTGGCATCATAGGTATTGAAGCAGTGGTGGAGAGCCAGTAAGATTTGTCGTTGCGGCTGGAGTAGTGGCAGGCTGCTTTGTTGCAATAGGAGAAAGGCATGGTGGAGAAAATAGGGAGGCAGGAGCCAGCCTGGCCTGTAGGAAAAAATGAGCGGAAGAGAAAGAGGGTGGAACAAACAAGATGGAGGATTTTGTTACTTTGTTTTAAGACTGGAGAGTACAGCAGTCTAATGAAACTTAGTTCAACAAGCTTATCTTTGTAGATCCTAACCCAGGTCTTGAGTGTGGGCCTTTTCTTGTCCCTCCAAGTAGACCAGACTGTAGCCTTCCCAGAGGAGACTGCTGCCCTCGGGACACTGTGGCACTAGAACAGACTGGCTGTGAATCACCAAAAGGTGGCCTGACCCTATGGTCCCTCTGTGGCCGGGTGGACCTGGATCACCAGTCGGACCTGAGGTACCTGAGGAAAGGAGGGGCAGATATAGCCTCAAACAAGAGAAGTGAAAAACTGATAGATGCCAAGTAGATACAAGTCTACCTCGGCAAGCAAGTGCAATGACTGAAACTGTGTCTTGATTGTGTCTGCTTATTGACCTTGAGGCCCTGGATAGCCTTGTTGGCCAGCATTGCCTGGGTCTCCAGCAGGACCAGTGCGACCAGGAGGACCTGTAGTGCCAGTGAGGCCCAGAGAACCCATTGCACCCTTTTCTCCTTTAACACACAGATACAAGCAAGATAAAATAAACATACAAATACCTGAGGAGTTTACACATACACGTTCATAGACAGAGATTTGATCAAACTCCCTTACCTTTGAGTCCCGGTGCACCTGAAGGACCACTAAGACCAGGAGACCCTGGAAATCCTGGATGACCACGTGGTCCTGGGGGTCCAGGGGGAACAATCACTATCATTTGAACTTCACCAGGAGGACCTCTTGCACCTTAAAGAAAGACATCAAACCATTGATAAAAATACACCTGTCATCATTTATGTATCTGTCTTTTATTTATGGGGCCTTTTACCTCTGTCACCAGGTGCACCTCTCACTCCCTTTGGACCCCAAGGTCCCAGGCTACCTTTATGACCTTTGGGTCCTTCAGGACCTCTGGGACCAGCAGGGCCTCTGTCACCTGTCAAAATCCAACAACATTTAGAGTGCACTCAATTAATCTTTATAGTGTAAATAATGCTCATAGAAGTTTTGCAATGTTATCTACCTTTGGGGCCTGTGTGACCTGGGTATCCTTGGATTCCAGTAGGTCCTGGGAGTCCTTTACTCCCCTTCCAACCTCTTAATCCAGGAAGACCGACAGGACCTGGATCTCCTTTGGAAGAAAAGCTGGTCCCTGGACGGCCAGGGAGTCCAGGCGGACCTGGAACACCAACAAAAAAATCGAAGTTGTGGACAAACAGATGAAAAAGAAACAATGCTTGGAGTTGAACATGAGCATGTTTTCAAAAGCGTTCAATCTTCGGGTGCAGATAGCCAAGTGGTTTAAGTATATCCATGTGGGCAGCCTGGGTTTGTTAGCCACACCAAAACAGTTCTGGTTGTAGTCAAAAAGATGGACATCATAGGTCACACACACCTGAGGGTCCAGAAGGTCCTCCATATCCTGTATCTCCATGAGGTCCTGGTACAAGTGTATGGCATTCTTTGCCAGGATAACCGGGTTCACCTGGACAACCTGGGGAACCTGGGGAACAGAGTATGGACAAGAGGACAACAATTGACCATTAAAAGGATTGGATAATTAAAAATATTCAACAAAAGAAAAAGAAAAGGAAAGAAGCAAAAAAGGCAATACAATAATAACAATAATGCAATACAATCTAAATATATCAAACAGTACAGTCTCTCATGGTGAAATATTTTATTTGTTGTGTTTTTATCGATAAAACTTGAAGAACCTCCAAACTAACAAACTGAAATACAAGCTAGGTTTTCAGGTTTTCTGAACTGTGATTCTGGCGGATTTTTAGTACTAATCATAAGGTGTCCCTGATGTCTCTCCCAAAAAAGACACCTGACATTGGAAAACAACTATTTACAATGAAAGATATGATACCTATACTGCCTGGTGGGCCCATCTGGCCTTTAGGACCTGGGTAAGAGGATCCTGGAAGTCCTGGGGGACCTGTAAAACCCTTGGCTCCAGGAAAACCCTGTGGTCCTGGAGGACCAGGGACTCCGATGCCTTAAAGTGAGACAAAAAAATTAGGAGACTGTTTACATAAAATGTTATGATTAGAGATCTTCTGTTTTGGGTAAATTAAGTTTCTCTGAGGTGTCTGACGTTTTTCAGTGAGAGGTTCCAAATTGAGCTAAAATGAGGAAAATATGGCAAAATATTGCTGAACATCTTTATCCTTCTTACCGTTTGCCCCTTTCATTCCTTTCGATCCTCTGAGACCATCCAGTCCATCCAGACCTGGTGGACCAGGGGGTCCTAAAATAGAATCACAACACAAAATCAGACTAACATTGTTGGATGAATGTCTTATTAAAAATTTCTCAGCCTTGGAGTTTTGAATTTTGCCTTTTTTTTTCCATCTAAAAATGTATTAAATTTATAAGTAGTATGTAAATATATATATATATATATATATATATATATATATATATATATATATATATATATATATATATATATTTGCCCTTTTCAGGTCAGTTTTATGTCCAACTTTTCATAGGTAGATAAATCTATGAAAACTAGAAGTTCAGGTCAAATAGGTAAGACAGGTTTGTGCAAGTGACTACAGAAACTAGCAATTCTGGTCCCTGCCTGTCTAATGATGGGGAAAAAAAACTGATACTATGTTGGTACCTGGAGGTCCGTATTGGCCAGGTGGACCAGGTGGTCCTATACCTCTACTATCCCCAGGAGCACCCGGTAATCCTGGACGACCCTGTGGGCCACGTGGCCCTGGAAAACCTGCAGTGACACACATAAAAGAGCTCAAACCTGAAGATTTACACAAAACACCAAATCTTTTGTTAGGAGGAAATAGAGTCCATATTTTACAGTTTGAAAGATGTGATCAGAGTCATAATGCTCTGACACCTGAGTCTGTCATTTCTCTGAATTTCTCTCTTTTTGTGTAGAACTGTAAAATGACACACAACAGGCTGTAATTTCCCCCTTTTTTTAGCGTCTATTATTTACATATTCACAATAAATCACCTGGTCCTCCTTGTGCTCCTGGATCTCCTGGGTAGCCTGGTGATCCAGGCTGTCCAGACCTTCCAGGTGGTCCTGGGTCACCTGGATCTCCTGGACTCCCTCTGCCAGCTTAAAGGTACGACTATGTATGAATTTATTATTTACATGAGGGGCTTCTCTGCTCATCATTAAAGCATCTTTACTCACCATTGTACCCATCCTCCCCTGGCAATCCTTTGGGTCCAGGTGGACCAGGTTGTCCATAAGACTGTCCTGGTTCACCTTGGACAGGTCAGGACAGTTTTTATCAGTTTCAGTTGAATCAAAGAACACAGATATGCCTGAGACATTTGGCTGTATCCTTTCATAAATCACTGTGCTGTAGATTCACATTTTGTAGCATGAAAATTCATACACCAGAATAAATTGGTGAATGATCTTTTTCTTTTCTGCTCACCTTTGGCCCCTGGAAGTCCTGGTGGACCTAGGATTCCTGGATATCCATAAGGCCCTGGATCTCCCTTAAACAGACATCAATATAAAAACTGTTGAACTAATCTTTAAATGATTAAAGGTTTCTCATGTACAGTAAATTCACTCTTGTGCAAATTTAACTTAATAACTCAAGAAAACAAGAAATGTGCTGTGTTTGGACGGTGGGAGGACTGTGCATGCATGGGAAGAACATACGAACTGTACTATATGGGAAGGCTGAGGATTCAAACTAGGTACCCTCTTGCTATTAGGACAGAAAGTTCTAACCACTGAAGCACCGGGCAGCCCACGATTCAGGTCTCAGCATGGATTAAGAAAACAGACAGAGACAACTCTTCAAGACAGCCCTTCAATTAAATAACAAATAAGTGGTTCATTGTATACCGGATCTCCAAGATTTCCAGGATTTCCCCTTGGACCAGGGAAACCCTTTTGTCCAGGAGGTCCAGGAAATCCTGGTCTTCCTCCTCTGCCTGGAACACCAGGATTTCCTTGAAACCCTGGAGGGCCAGGCCATCCATCCGGCCCCGAATCACCTGGAACACCCCTTTGGCCTTTCAAACCTATGAGCAATAAAAATCAAGTAGAATATCATTATGTTATCTTTAATTATATGATTAAATGAAAAAATAGAAACATTGAAAGAGGTTTGAGTTAACCTTGTGGTCCCTGTTGTCCTGGTTGTCCTTTGCTCCCTGGTATTCCTGGTGCCCCTTTTATTATTATCCCTTTCTGTGGAGGTCCTGGTATTCCTGGTGGACCAGGTGAACCTGTTGGAAACACATATGTACTCAATGTTTGTCAGATTCATAGAGAATATTGGAAGTGTCCTAAAAATCCAAATAAAAGAGTGAAAGTTTGCTTATATTCTTCTTCCTGGTTTGTCCTTATACACAACACTGTGTGCTAGTTGTGGTTCAGGTGGTGAGACCAGTCCCACAGAGAAATGTGAATGATCATTCTGACTACAGGGCATGCTGTATATCTAATTATTAGATGATTTGTGGTTATTTGCCAAATGCTTTAATTTGTTAACAGAAAACTGAGCTACATTACTTCACAAGACTAAATACAGGACTTACCTCTGAGACCAGGCAGACCTGGGTCTCCCACAGAACCTGGGAGGCCATTATAGCCCCTCTCTCCCTGTTTGCCTGTTGGTCCAGGAAGTCCAGGACGACCTGGTAAACCTGCGGTCCCAGGTCTGCCGGCGTACCCCCTTTGTCCTTGGCATATGGGAATTCAAAGTATCAGTGAAGACAGAGCGTCATGGAGAGTTTGCATATGAAGATCTGATTAATGATATCAGTGATTTACCTTTCTGCCCACGTAGACCATCCACCCCAGGATCTCCTGATTGGCCAGTTGTTCCTCTTGGTCCAACTGCACCTGGCAAACCAGGAGGACCAGGGAAACCTTGTGGTCCCTTATGTCCATGACCATCTGGACCTGTATCTCCTTTATAACCCTTCTGACCAGGGAAACCTGTGCAACATTAAAACATCAATGAGACAATGGTTAGTTGGTGAAACCCTCACAACAGATATGTAATGGAAGTGTTCAGAGAGGAAGTTTTAAATCAACATCAAGAGTATAAGCAGGATATCAAGAAAACGGAATATGCTGCCAAGTGCTCACCTGGTGTTCCCTTCAGTCCAGGGTTTCCTGGTAATCCTGGAGGGCCTTGAGGCCCATGTAGGTCACACAGGGTGCAAGGTGGGCCCGGGGGACCAATGTCTCCATGGTCACCCATGTCTCCTGGCTCTCCTTTACAACCAGGGCGTCCAGGTTGGCCTGGTACACCTGCAATGCAGAGGCACCAATGGTCAACCAGTTCCAATGTAAAGTAAAGAACAGGAAGTAGATTGTGCAGACATCTCTTCTGTGGTAGAACCCTTAATTTATTGTTTGACCCTTAATCAGAACAAATCTCACCTGGAGATCCTGAGTGTCCACGAGGGCCAGGAAATCCTTTAACTCCCACAGCTCCAGGGTGGCCGGGTGGACCTGGAGCACCTGGCCTTGCTGAGAAGACATCGCCGGGTGGACCTTTTCTGCCTGGTGGTCCTGGCGGTCCTGGTAATCCAGGAGGGCCTTCCTGGCTTAATCCACCAGGACCTGGATTACCTGGATCCCCGTTGAAGCCTGGAGGTCCTTTCATAAATAAGAGTATATACAGTATATTCATCAGTTTATTCAACAGGGACATTCCATGTAAGCATTGTTGAATCTAAAGAGCAACCAAAGCAGTATAGAAAGGACACTTCGGCATGGCCTGTGCTTGTCCCTGGTTAGGGAGTGACCGGTGAGATTCCAGACAATATTCATTTTACCATCTGTGTAACTGTGTGGATAGAATTGTAATTATCTCCTAACATTAAGCTACATTAAGCAACATAACTCAACCAGTATTTTGGTTTAAATAACTGTGATCATTGTATTGAATGCCGTCAACAATAGAAGGCTGAAACTTTCCTTCTGATAAATGTTCGCATCAAACAACCAGTCAGAGTTAGATCACTTAAAACCAGCAAACCACATCGACTCTACAAATGTGCATCATCTAGTGCCTATGAGGCCTAGATCAGCATCTCTTTCTCTTAATCTCATCTGCTCCCTCTTGGTAATGCTGTAAGTAAAGTGGGCACACACACCAGTTGCTCCTTTTGAACATTTTTAGCACGCTAGTTCGGTGCATCATTTGGTTGGTTGGACTCATCAGCGTGACACAGGGTAATAGAGGGAGCAGCAGAGGATCTTTTTTTTCCACTGAAATATTAATATCGCTTACTTCTATATGATACCGTCACCCACCAGTCAAGAAAGATCTTTTAAAGTGGAAACATCTTCAAGAGGAATTACCTGGTGGTCCAACCCCTCCACTTGTAGCATCTTCTCCTTTCATTCCTTTGGGACCTGGAAGTCCCTGAACTCCAGGGGGACCAACTCTTCCTGGTACACCATGAAACCCTACAAGAGCCCAGTTAAAACCTTTCACACCAGCTATGTTTTAGGGTAATTAATTATGTTTCCTTTGTGACACTTGATTTTTTTATCATTTAAAAAAAGCACCAACATAAGAGCTGTTATCTTAAAAAAACCATCACTTAAATTAGAAAAATTGTTATACAGTATTTAACTCTCATGGATGAAAAATAAGAAAAATATCTTACCTTCTCAAGTGTCTGTATTAATAAGATTTTTTTTTTAATGATGCACCTACATCTATAACACTTACCTGGTAGTCCTGGGTCCCCCTTACGACCAGGTGGCCCGATCTCAATTTCATGACAGCATGGCTCAGTTTCACCTGATGGCACATATAAGAACCAAGACCATGATTTTGTTGTGATTGTGTGTATCCATGGAAGGCTCTTTTGTTGAAAGCACTTTAAAAAACATATTATTCTTTCATTTTTATCAACCCTGAGCCCATGTCACCATGGTTTTACGTAAACCAGCTCATTTATCCTTAAATTTAACACAGTCACTGACCTGGTGGGCCTGGTCGTCCAGGTAGCCCAGGGTGGCCAGGAATTCCCTCATCTCCTCTAAGTCCAGGTAACCCTTTAGGGCCTGGAAAACCAGGACCTGCAGGGCCTGCATACCCAGGTAACCCTTTAGGTCCAGGTAAACCAGGATAACCTTTGGGACCAGGTGGTCCTCCATGCCCACCACCACCACCCTACAAAAAACATGATACCACGATTGCAGAGGCAAAACAGACAGTGCCTAGTAAAGAAGTTTATATGTATATATATATAATTAACCAGATCCTATTAAAAGACTGCTTGTAATGTCTGTAACAACCACGATTGTGGGGCTCCTCATGTACACACTCACTGGTGGTCCACGGTCTCCTGCTGGACCAGGCAGGCCATCACGTCCTGGTGTACCTGTTACTCCAGGAGGACCAGGATATCCCGTGATTCCTCTGTTACCCTTGGCACCTTTAAATAATAAAAAAAAACACGAAAAGGAGACACAAAGCTACAAATGTTGAATTGCCGTTTGCTGAAAAATGTATAAACTGTTTTTTATTGTACATGAAAATGGAGTTATCAACAATAATAATGCTGTGTAAAGCACAGATTTGGCTTTAACAGCTGCTTACCTTTACCATCAACCGTGTAAGAGTCTCCTTTTTGACCCTTTTGTCCTTTTAAACCATGATGTCCTTGAAAGCCCTTAAAAAAAAAACAAAAGTCTTATAATTTTTTCCACCTGTCACATTTGTAGTTTTGTGCAAAAGCCCCATGGTAATTTCCTTGAATGTGAAAACCTACACCTGAACCTACACCTGAATTTGATTCTGCGTCAATAACCCACTCATAACGCACTCACTTGTTGTCCTCTTAGACCCTCATCTCCCTTTGGTCCTGGGTTTCCCCTTGGTCCATCAGTTCCAGGTAGTCCAGGAGGCCCTGTATTACCAGGAGGACCAGGGGGACCTGGGTTGCCCCCACCTGACCTACACTCGCAATCCCCTACGCAACCTTTGGGGGACACAGATGCAAAAGAAAAGCAAGAATGTGTTAGCATGTTCAGGCAGAATATAACTAAACTTATCTACACATTTCCTACTTGTGAGATAAACTAAAGCATACAACAGTTTCTAGATTACCTTTGATTCCCTTAAGTCCTGGATTTCCACGGGGTCCCTTAGGTCCTGGGTCACCAGGGTCGCCAGGGTAACCAGGCTCACAGTAATAATCTGAGGACAAATTGGGCAATGCTTATTAAAAAAGTACTTGTGACGCAAAATTGGGTATCAAAATTGATGGACTTGTTTGATCAAAAGCAACTGAAGAACTCACCTCCACATCCTGATCCAAACACGTCAATATTCCACATGCAAGCAGACAATTCAGAAAGTAAGTCTAAGTTCAAATGGACATATAAAATACTGTGTACACTCGCTTAGGTTTAAAATAAAGGAAACTCAGACATACCTGGAGGACCTGGGGGTCCTTGGTCACCTTTACGTCCAGGGAGTCCTTTAGTGCCCTTTGGACCAGGATATGGGTTGATATCAAAGTCACTGTATCTTCCTGGCTCTCCCTTGTAACCCTTTTCACCAGTCGGTCCTCGTGGACCAGGTTGAGCAAGCCCATCTAAGAATATTTAAGAGACAGAGTCAAACTTTAAACAAGACCAGATATTGAGTGATGTCCTCCATATGATAATCCAGAAAGTTAGAGACCAAAGACAAAAGCTAAACCTGACCTGGTATTCTTAATCCCGGTAGGCCTGGGAGTCCACGTATGCCCATTAATCCAGGATCACCTGGGAGTCCAGGTTGTCCAGGGAAACCACGGTCCCCTTTAGGACCTGAGCCAGAAAAAAAGGACATCCAATGAGGAAACAATGGCTGATTTATCTCAAACAGTATGATGATTACGAATTTAAAGCTCCTGTGAGGAACATTCAGTTTGTGTTCATCCTGACCTCCCCTGTGGACACAGCAGTCTTTACGTTTACTCTTTTGGTTGTATGAGTGCTGTTTCTGTGCCTGAAACTGGTCCAAGTGGGTAGGTGTCAGCAAAGTGGCTGAAGAAAGAGCCTCGTTTTTACATATTCTTTACAAAATATTCACATTAAATATTAAATTAATAAAGTTTTTTGTTTGTTCGTTTGTTTCAGAGGACACTTTTCAAGCAAGTAAAGGATAAGATAAGAAAATTTGTCTCAGTGGGGCACCAAAACTGACACAAACCAAATGTCCCTCACAGGAGCTTTAACTGAAGTGGTCACCCCTCTCGTTCATGGTCTACTTTGCTTTTTTAAATCACAAACAGCCAAAAAGCTCAATATGTCTGTTTCAAAACCAGCTAATATTTTATAACAGGAGCCTGAACTTAAGTGTAAAGAATAGGTATCACATACAGTATTAAGTACACATATCCCAAACTATGTTCCACTTAAAGTTTGGTTTTGGGACATTTTTTGGTGGAAAAAAAAAAAGAAAGAAAAAGGTTTATTATTTGAAAAGTGCAACCATATATATTCTTCACTTCTTGCTCATTCATTTGTTTTGGAAAACGTGATAGAAATCAACCAAAATAATTATGTATAACACCTCTCATCTTCATTAAATCCCTTAGTGGATGAGAGTTAGATACCCCTTCAGAAAATAAGGAGTCTGTTTGGAGTATTATTTGAGAATAAACTGTTTCACCAATAACATGTGGTTTAACAGACCCAACAGTAAGATAAGACAAAAAAATATCAAGGAACAAACATATTACCAGAATACTATTCAAATGAACAAAATGTTGTTATCACATGGTTCTAACAGTAAAGAGGGTGTAGGTGTGTCTTCACCTCTGGCATCACTGCCATCTTGATACCGAGGGGAACCAGGGAGACCAGGATCTCCTGGGTAACCCTGATGGATGGGAAGACCGGCATTGAAAACCAAAAAGTGATACATGTATGTAACATTTCTAAAGATGGAAAGAAAAGTTAGTTTTTAAAAGACAGCTTATCAATTGACTGATTTCATAAATGGACAGTGCATCTCTATGCAAAGGTTTTGAATATATACCGCCTATGAAACTTGTCTCATGATCAGACTGAGCTTATCAAGTTTATAATGGTATATTCTCACAAAAAAAATTGTCCTTTTTTGGTACATGACACCAGCTGTCTTATTCAAATCTAACAGTGATGCAGACTCCTTTCTTGTTTATGCAAAACTCACTTTTGGTCCAACTCTTCCTATGAGACCTGGAAGTCCTTTCTCTCCAAGCAAACCCTAAAAACAAACCAGTTTGTTGTTTAACCTTAGAATATATGTGCATGAACATTTCAGAACAGGAAACGCTTCATCATATCATAGGTGTACCTCAGATCCTGGTGGTCCATCCCTTCCCGGGAATCCTGAGAGACCCTAGAGATGGTAACAACAGGGAGATAATTGTATATGTGTGTATGAATGTTTTTTTTTTTTTTTTTTTTTTGTTATGGTGTCTGGTTTAATTCAATTACCCGAGCTCCAGGAAAACCAACAATTCCTCTTTCTCCTTTAATTTCTTGGATGTTGTCATCTCCTCTGCCTCCCTGACAAGGAAGAATAAAACAATTAAAATCTATTTCTATCCCTCAGACATACTTCTATGATTAGTTTTAAAACTTACTCTTACGCCCTTTGGCCCACATTGTCCTGGAAAGCCCTTCTCTCCCTGAGAAGCAGAAAAAAGACAGTAGAAGCTATGGCATAATGAGGATTACACATGAATGATGCACGGATAATGATTTTTCTTCACCTTGTAACCTTTGGGTGGAAGAAAGTCTGGAGGTAGTTCTATAACTTCTTCAGGTCCTTGTGGGCCAGGAGGGCCTTGCTCTCCCTGGAATAAAGAATTGAAGGGGTGGTACATCAATACGTGCTCACCTGCGCAAAACCTCAGCACATAGCTTCCAAAAACCAATATGACATCTTACATCTTCTCCTTTATCGCCTGCAAGTGATGCTCCAGGGTCACCCTACACGACAACCACAAGTTCAGTCAGATTTTGTGTTTGTGTAAATATATGAATGAATGCATGTACAAAAATAGACTTTAAAGCAGGCACTCACTGGTGGTCCTCTCACACCGTTAGCTCCAGTTAAGCCCTGATGAAATCACATAGTTCATCAGTTCGTTTGTAATATTAGTGAAGTAATGTAAAGTTGCATACTTTGCATGGACACCATCATTTCTTCTTAACTGTTGTTACTTTTACAAATAAATGAATAAAAACAGTGAAATCTATTTTACCTCAAAGCCAGGAGGGCCAGGAAGGCCAGTGAAGCCTTTGGCCCCTCTGTTTCCTTTTCTTCCCTGAATAAAGAAAAAGCAACATTATACAACTATAACAAACTAAAGAGTAATCAGGGTCATCAAAATGTAACCCTTGCTTCATGTATCTGCAGATTGTTTCAAATTAAAAAATGAAAACCCACGGGGTGACCGCTTTCTCCATCTGCACCACGTTCCCCCTTGAAGGACAAGACAAGATGAAGATAAATAAGGATGATGGGAATTTAGGATTATAACATATACAAATACTCTTCACTTAAAAACCCTGACAGATAGACTGACTCATAAAACCTAATCTGTCATTGATGAGATCCTCGAAACTGGTGGAACTTACTGGGCGTCCTGGAAGTGCACCATCATACAAAGGTTCCCCTTTGAGTCCTTTGGGTCCAGGTAATCCCTACCAAGAGGAAAGGAAAATGTTCTCAAGAGGCAAATTATAAGTGATGTCTAATTAAATAACGGACCTGAAGTGATATTTCATCACACAAATGACATCTAGTGAAAGTTAATTGGTGAATTTAGTCAAAGCACCTGACAGATTAACACTAATACTTAAAAATGAGTGCTGACATCTTTCTGTACACCTCTGATTTGAAAATAGCAGGAATATCAGAAGAACGGCTTCAACTCACCGGTGGCCCGGGGCGACCATCCAAACCAGGGCCACCATCTTCTCCTGGTCGACCCCTTGTCCCATTACAGCCATCAGGTCCGGTTAAACCAGACTCACCACTCGCTCCAGGGTGGCCCTGAAATACACAAACAGTTATGTCAACTAAGTGTAATCACATGGTATTGGAGGCTACATTTATTACCCCCTGACTCTATCTGAGAATTGATACACAATTATTCGTAATTACATACAGGTTCAGATGAACAACTTCAACAACTTCAATTTTAGTCAACACAAACACTTGAGTTGTAAAGAGGCAGCTGCCTAAGGCACTGAAAGAGATCAAACCCTCACTTACCATGTACCATGATGTGTCCACTAGAGGGCACACTAGATAAATGCTTCAAATCACTTTACTACTCACTGAGAGATCTCTAATTATACAGTACCTTGACAGGGGGATATTATGGGATATATTAACAATTAAGGAATAGTCGAGGAATCAAATTATGTTTATTTTTATGGGCTAAAATTTTCAGGAGAGATTTTGGAGTGACTGTGAAGAATGTAAACCTCAAACTAACCTGGAAATAGGATAAAACCCATCAAACTGTTTTACTTCTCAGAGGACATTTCAGAGTATGCAGTACTCTTTTAAAAATTTGAATTACAACATTGGTTTACTCACTGGTAAGCCATCAGCCCCAGTGTAACCAGGGAGACCAGTCTTGCCCTGTAATGTAAAAAAATGGGAGCACCATTAAGTTTTGTAGGGTTAAATTTTCCTTCCATTTGCACTATTACAGACAATCCACGACACATATCACACATCAGTGTAGATGTACAATGTATGATGAATCCTCCTATCTTTTATGTAATGCATACACAGGTATGTATATCCTTACACGGTCTCCTTTGGGACCTGCAGGGCCATGTGGTCCCTCTGCTCCTCTCCTGCCTTTCTCTCCAGGCGACCCCACACGTCCCACTGGTCCCATCGCTCCCTTGTAACCCTGCTGGCCTGGCTTTCCTGGGGCCCCCTGTAAAGACAAGAATCAATGTTTATTTCCAACAGTTGGAAAAAAAACAACGCTTAATTAAAATTTAGAAACATGTTTTCAGTGGCTTGGATGACAGTTGAACAGCACAGTTAAGATACATCATATTAGTCTGATTTATTGTAACTGTGTGTTATGCAAGCCATTTGAAACTAAATCTTTTTTTATTCCATCATCACCACCACATCCTTAGCACAACTAAGGATGACTTTATGATTTATTACAGTAAAAGAAGAGTTCTTACCCGGGCACCTTTGGCTGGAAGACAGCGACATTCACGACAGTCTCTCCCTTCACATGGACCCTCATTTCCACCCTGAAACAAACAAACAAAAAGATCCAAATCAAAGATCATGAATACAGGAAAATTCTCTATCTGTATTTTGAGAAAAAAAGGAGACAGTATTGGGCTGTGTTAGATGTGTTTCCATGCAGAGTGAATGACAAAACAGGCATATCAGATAAGGTAGTGTTTTGGGCTTATCTGTCATTCCTGAGTGTTTTTCAGTGCTCAGAACCAGCCTTGAGACTTTGAGCCCCACAGGAACTGGCCAGTCTTGATTAGAAAATTCAACACAATTTACCATTAAAAGACTCCAGTGTTAGTAAGTTCTCAGACCTTGATAAGAAAAAGGTCTCACAGTGCTTCTCCAGTCTCAGAATGAACTTACACTGTCCTGAAAGCAACTCATCTCTAAACCCACACTTCCAGGTGCCAAATGTTCCCATATAAGTGTGTGAACATGAGCCTGTGTGACACTAACATTTAGCAGTGTTTTCTCAAAGCTTGCTAAATATTTGGAAAGGTTTATGTTCAGGAAATTTCTTTTCCACATCTGCTGTCCAACTTTCACTTTTGATCCAAACACATTAGTTAGTCTATATCCTGCATCTGCCAAAAAAAAAAATCATAGATAAAATGTAACCACCAGTAGTTTGGATTGAAGACTACCATCAGCAATTAAATGCAGTTGTGAAAATGAAATAAAAAAAAAAAATAAAATAATAATAATAATAATAATAAATACAAATAAAAGAAATTATCTTTAAACTGTCCTGTCAAGCATCAACAGAATTTGTCAAAAAACAAAACAAATAAAATAATAAAAAAAAAAAAAAAGTGCAGAGAGTCGCTGTGATGACGCTCAACTCAAACAGCGTATTCCCCGGATGAGCTACACAATCTTCGTACGCCCATAGGCTGTATCAAGTGTCAATCATAGAAAACATGAACCCCCTGATAACTTTTTAAAATGGAGCTGTACAGAAAAAAAGAGGACTTGAGCACAAACCAGTCTTACAATAGCTACATGTCAACATCGCAAGCAGGGGGGAGAAAAATATGTTCTGTGTAATAAATTTCTAAAGTTTGTCCACAGCCCCGTGAGCTTTGCTGGCGGTGGCGGGATTTATGACCTATACTGCAGCCTGTCACCAGAGGGTGCTGTTCTCAGCGTGGCTTCATCAAGCAAGGAGGCAGACAACGTCCATTCTATATACAGTCTATGTTGTGAACCTTGTTCAGCCTTTTTCATTGTGCTTGCTTTAGTTTATCTAAGAAGCACACATGATGACTAATCATATGCTGTTTCTAAATAACGACTTTTGGCTTGGTTAGTTACAGAGGTCCTGCATAACAGATCGTCAAAATGCTAATCATTCAACATCTAAAACCACCATCAGAATTATTTCACATACTTTGATAACAAATGCATATGCACAGATGTAATGTTTGTGAAAGAAAACGAAACTCTAATATGCTGTAAACAATATAAGACTCATTTGTGCTCTAGGTTAAGAACTGTGCTGTGAAAATCAGCCTATTCTTAAGGTATCTATTTTCATACATAATGGCTTTGGGCTCATTTAAGCTCCCCTTAAGTGTGAGTCAGCAGTTTATGTTGTCGCAGGTAAATACCCAAGTGATGAACACTTACAGTTCTGCCAGGGGCCTGGCTTTCACCGTCTAGAAATAAATTCTGACAAACTTCTAGTCTCTGACTGTTTCTTATTTCAATTTATGTCATCAACCAACCAGCACTGTACCAATCAACATTAGATTGTCTACGATTAGATAATATGTTAAAGAGGGCGGGGTTTACCAAACAGTTTTATTTTATAAAAGATTTCTCTGAACACGTAAATAGATGTCGGTGTTGGGACACTGGTCCGCTTCATGACATTTTGCTATTTTATGTGCGGCCGATTAAAAGAACATTATTGAATCAAAGGAGCATCTACTTTTGGCAAAACTATCATATTTCTAAATGCAGTTTTTACTCACCATAAAGGTCAATTTTCATATCTGAATTTAGGATGAATGCATTTTGGTTGTCCTTTGCAGTATCACAATATAGCCAATATTTTTCTATTTTTGTGTATACTTTTTTTTTATTCAAACATATATTTGATCAAAAATGTCTGATGTTCAGATAACGAGGTTTCAGATTTTAGTTTTGTCATTGTGGCAGTATAATGTGTTTCTTGAAATGAGTATAACAAATGATAACGTAAAACTTAAAAAGTCTTACTGCTCTGAGTTCCCGCACCAAAAGAGCCAAGACGAGGGTCCACCTGTAAATATGGAAGTAAAAGAATCAATCACAGTTCTCTTAAACCTCATCTGATGGACACATATAAATGTTGATCACATAGATTGCATAACAAAAACATGTGTTTCATGTCTAATATAATTCTCTGGGTAACTTCCATGAAGATCTAGCTAACCTATAGTCTCCTCACACTGCAGGTTGTTGGAGGTACATTATTTGTTTCTCAGCGTTGTGATGGAGATCAGTTTTTTTATACAAATTCTACACATTGGAATGCAGTTTAGACGACTTGTTGAACATATGAGTAAACATACAAGAAGTGTGTTTGCCTTTGGGTAAATAGATTAACAAAATAAAGGGTTTTAATACGATCCAACTTTACATACCTTCCTCATAAATCTCACTTATTAGTCTACTTTTATTTAAAATGGTGCTCAGCTACTTGTAGTCTACAGTATTCTGCTTATTCATTTGTTTTTCAAGGTGCTGATATGTCTTTTTTGAATACTAAATACCACTTTAGCTGATGCTAGTCTTTAATTAATTAGATTTTCTGTGAATAAAAAAAACAAATTCTGATTGTGTGAAAGATACAAGGCTTTAGGGTTTTTAATACTTGGGTGTGTAGGGTTATGAGGCAGCACAGCTATCATTAGATGTGTATGTTAGCAGATATGGGTCAAAACAAGATGATGATAGAATTTTAGTACCTCTGAAAATAATTATGCAGTTTTTGATTTATTTTAAAATAGAGAAACTCACATGAGGGGGAACAGCATGGAAGAAGCAAAAGAGGACCCCATCTCCTATCTCATCAGTCGGCGTGACAGGTGAGCGCTGGCCTCAGTGCTGCCCCTTGTGATCGAAAAAAGAAGCATTTAACACCAGACACCTGCCAGCTATAAGGTCATGTTATATATCGGACTGTAAAATGAACTTGCAATCTCCTTATGAACATGCATTTTCTACACATAAAGAATATTTAAAAAATACCCTGACCTCCCATCCAGATGGCATCTTTTTATAAAAGCCTTAATCACATATAGCCTGTAGGTTGCGGCCCATCATGCATGCAAAAAAAGAAGTTACAACTCACCGACATACAGTAGCTCCAATCAATCTATGTGTGCACTGTCATGCATCCTCAGCAGAAAAGTCTCCGACAAGTTTCGAACTAACCTTCTGCCCCCTGAATCAGTAAAAACTAAACAGAGTGTCTGCCACTGTTTGTAAGTTTTGGGAACTGCATGAAGACAGTGAAGATGATTGGGGTTGAACACATCAGCCAACTCCCTCTTCAGGGTCACACTAAACATCATCTATGGGCTGTCCGACCTATCAGGGCTCTTGAACACAGATAGGAAGTTTTTATTTAACTCAAACCATGGCCTGAGATCACCCATAGTGCAGCAGTGGATTGATGCAATGTGAAGGCAGGTTGTCGTGGAGGACACTGAAAAAGGCATGTGGTAACTCCTGAGCTTTTGGTCCACCGGGAGGGAGGGAGAGCCATGGGGAAGCCTGTGTCTGCAGTTCTTCTGATCCTGTTTGCAGTGATGCTGATGGGCACTGGGGCCAAAAATGTAAGCTATCTCTTTTTTATCCTGCTGATATGACATTATGCAGAAAATATCAGATTCCATTAAACCAACAGCAGCAACTCTAATCTGCACAGCTCTTGCCTTTTTCTTAAATCCTTCATGTTTTTATTTAGTTCATGTAATGACACAATGACTCAACCTTGTTTGAAGCTTTTTAAGGATTGTATTGTTGCTTATTCAACAGTATCGCAGGGTGCAACACATGCAGCATCAGTAGAGTTTAGTTTCTCATTATTTCTTCGCTAAACTAAACCTGATGCTCTCCCAGCGAGTCACTGTTTATAGGAGACGAGCGTCTTTCTAAAACAGAGTGTTTCCTGTTGCGTTTAGCGTTCGCACCATTCATCCTCACAGCCTTTACTTTGATATACAACCCTGTGGTCTGTTTGCAACTGTAGTGTCTATGCCTCTCTGCAAACATCTCGTATCCTGAAGAGATGCACGTTTCTCACAGTCTGTTTGCGCATGTTGTGTACAAAATCCTTCAGATGGCTATGTTGGTGGGCCTTTTAATAGAAGGTCATTGAAAAGGGACAGAATTTAAAAGGGAAACAAGCTGCCACAAGGGAAAGCAGTAAGAACTATTGACCAGTTATGATGTTGCTCTAAATAATGTTATAATTTATTAGACTGAAACAGAAATAATTAACTACAGAGCTCAGCTTAAATGAGTAAACCCCTTTGGAGTTGTCTGAAAACCTTTAGTTTCCTTTCAAAACCAACATTTTCTATGTCAGGTTATACAACAAAATACTCCCCCAAATGTTGGCCATTGATTACACCAAGATTTTTTAAGTTGCATACAAAAAATGATTTTTTTTTATTTTTTTCAATGTAAAAACAGGATGCAAAAGTGAGTACACCCTAATCAAAGTTCTAGGAGCAAAGCTAAATTTTAGTAACCATATTACCTTTATTTTAATCTTATGGTGAATAAAATGTGATGTTAAACTCAGCTTTGTCAACATTTTGGAAATTGTACTTTTGCTCATTTAGATATTGAGTAATATATTACTTTTGATAAGGGGTGTACTGACCTTTGCTGGGTACTGTATATGCAGCACAGATACCGTTACACTTCCAACACTGTTATAGCAATAGCAAAGAAGATCCCCTTCTTATTGAATAAAGATAAGCATTAAATGAATATCTGGTGTAATTAGCTTCATCTTATTATCATTTCATGTGTTTTAAGAATTTAAAAACAGTAAAAATACCACAATCAAAACACCTAGTTTCAAAATACAGTATATAACTCATAGTGCTAAGCCTGTTTTCTGTTCTTCTTTTTTTTTCCACAAAGGTTTGTTGAATCTGAAATGTAATGCATCTCAAATGACTTGGCAAAAACTTATAATGGTTCATTATATCAGAAGATGAAAGCCTATGCTAATCTAATTCAGTCCAAAGGCGATCCATTTTGTGACTTTCTCCCTTTTTTACTGTGTTTGCATCAATTAACCTTTCACTCTGAGGATAAGCAGTGGTGTTACAGCCCTCAAATTTAAAGCCACCGTGTTGAGCAGAGACACAGGAGGTATTAGCTCGTAGCACTGGAGAGTTATAGGTGTTGTTTGGGCAAATTGCTTCTATAAATCCCCTACAAATCCCTCCAAAGTAAACTTTCTCCCCTGTGGTATAACAGTTTATTGATTAACACCATGTTTGTAAAAGCAGCGATTTATTGTGTACAATTTGGATCACTGAAATGGGCAGACTGCCCTCAGTGTCTGTGCTTCCAATCTGCGGGATGAAACTTTGTGGAGTTTGTTCATGTTCAGATGGACAAGTTTGTTTAGTTTCTGCATGGTCGGTGGTTATGAATAATTCAATCCGCTGACGGTAGTATAGGATGCATGTTTTTCTTCTTGACCGGTGTGACACCCTTTGTTTGCAATTTATCTGTTACCGTGTATTTCTGATCGAACGATGTAACTTCTTCTTCTCAGTGTGTGTGCAATGGAAAATCAAGATGTCACTGTGAAGGAGTGAAAGGCAGTAAGGTGAGTGTATAATTTACTTTCTGTGAAAAACACATGGTTTATCATGATTTAATTTATGCTCATAGAGGTTAGCAAGCCTTTGTTTTTAAAATATTATCAGTTTTCTGTCAGTAGTCTTTGACAGAACAGATTCTTGTGTTGATTCAAAGCTGATACTCAAGGCTTAGAGAAAGTCCAATGACCCGTGTTAGTGTTTGCCAATTTTCTCACCATTTCTCCTCCACTCTGATTGTCCATTAAATGAGTTGTATTTGTCAACCAGTAGACAACCACCTGGGAGAGCTCTAAAATTGGTTGAAGCTAAAGTTTTGGCTTTAACAAGGGTAGCTGTCATGCTGTCAATGATTTATACAGTATATAAGTAAACCATGTGAGACCTTCTGAGTGCTTGTTTGAGCTCCTTTGGCATTTTATTTATTAAACTTAAGACTTGTATTTTAAATATGTAGAAAGAAATATCCACTGGTAGGACTCCAAAACTGAAACAGCCACATGCAGTTCAGCTGACTATATTAAAATTGTTTACATGTGCTTTAACTGTATCATATAAGTCTTTTCTATGTCATGTCAGGTCGGTAAATCTTGCTTTTAACATCTTGAAGTCAAGTGTCGAGTGTCACAGTGTCAAGTAGGTTTTAGGTTTTATTTGGCCTATTTCAGAAATCTTTCATTAAAATTTACTTTGTCAAGAGAGACCGTCACAAGAAATGGCACATCGTCGGTCGAAAGCAGGTGAAACCCAGCTTTGGACTACAAACAGTCTTGTATACATTCAGTTGATAACTTTATTGACCAACTTAGGAGCATTAGGAAGTGAACAAAGTCTGCAAAGTGAAATTAGTCAGGGCATTTCTAGTCCAAACAACCTGCTTATAACAGGTTTGTCTACAGCAGTAATATTTGACTTTATGAAGCCATGAAGACGAATGTTTTTAGCGAAATATGTGAATATCAGCTCCTGGTACAGGCTCTCTTGATATCATGCATCGACTACTGCAACTCCTTACTGGCAGACCTCCCTGCATGCACAGTCAAACCTCTCTCTTCAAACCCAGTCCAACCCAACCTCACTCACCAGACTCTTCTCCTCTGTTGTCCCCCGTTGGTGGAATAAATTATCACACTCTTATCAGCTCAACAGAGTCCCTTTCCATGTTTAAGGAAAAGCTAAAGACTAAGGTCTTTAGGGAACACCTGTGAACTTAAGTTTGGTTCTTCTCCATCGTAGCTGCCATTGCTAAATTGACTTATACAACCTCTTTGCTTTAAACAGTCCCCTTCTACTTCTGAGACACTTATTGGTCCAGTTCTTTGTGAAAAACTTTCTAACTTAGAGGGTTTGGCATTTATGGTTATGGTGTTGTGTATATTGGTCATGATGATGATGATGATGCAATTTATAAAAACTTCCTTGAAACTCCACAACATCATTATGTCCAACTAGAGGCAGTTTTTGGCACTTACTCATGTTTGGTCCTTCTGTTTAGATTGTTGCTCGTGTTTTATTTACTCTTAAATGTACGTCGCTTTGGACAAGAGCATCTACTAAATGACTTTTTAACATTATAACATCTGCTCTTATTGGCTCCATGCTGTCTCATTCAACAGCAGGGATTTTAAACAGCAGTCCTCTGGTAGTATTTGAGCATTCAGCAGCATTTCAACAAACATCCAGTGAACTCTTTGTATCCCTAAAGGCACTGTGAGAGGTTTTTAACTGGTTGAGAAACAGGCTAAGACTGATACTGTTGTCTTTTTATGACCTTCGAAAGCAAATAAGACCATCAGGAATGAGACTGATGTGTCCTTTCCTGAAACTGCTGTGAGACCAGATGGCATCAGGATGAAACAGCTGTCTTTTTTACTTTTTTTCTGGTATATACTTGCAGTGAGTGATACATTTCACTGTTGCAAGAAAAGAATGATGATTTTTTTAGTTTGAAAAGACTACTATCACATGGACAAAATAAGAGGTATCTCTTCGTGTACAGAGGGCACCAAAAGTGAGAGAAACCAAAAGTTCCTAAGATGACAGATCTTTATTTTGAAACTTTAGACAACCTTTTTTGGAAAAAACGTTCTGTTATTGTTTTGTATGGTCTGCTGCCAACTTGTGCCTTTTCTTTACCTGTGCCTGTCTCTAATCATACACAGGGAGAGAAAGGTTCTCCAGGAGAAAGAGGTTTCCAAGGGGCCTCAGGTCGTCCAGGATCAGATGGCCATGCTGGGCCAATGGGACCAAAGGTATGATTTCTTTATCTTGATCACAAGCAGATTTTATGACCCCAAAATTTATCACTGATTTCAGAGGACAATTTTTCCTTTTTTAGATACTAACATTTTAGTTATGCTGTGTTAATTTATTTGTGACAGGGTAATATTGGAGCTGTAGGACCTGTGGGGCCAAAAGGCGACCCGGTAACGAAACTCTGCTCCTTGATATCTCTTTGGTTGTTTAAGTATCTTTATGCTTTAAATTACTTGTGTAAAATATTTATTTGGATGTGTATTGGAAGAGTGCAAACATAGCAGCTGCCTTGAAAACTCTCTGTGGAGCCCTTGTTGGCTTTCAGATCAAAATCTTGTTTTGATTCTCTGATTTTAGGGGCCTGAGGGTAAAGACGGGTTTGCCGGATCTTATGGTTTACCGGTAAGATGTTTTATTCTCTGTAATACATTTTTGTTTGCTTGTATGGGAGCATATACCTACGTATGTCAATCAATTCTGTTGATAATGTCTTTCAGGGTGTTCCGGGTTTACAAGGGCCTCCAGGACCCCAAGGGGCCTCAGGCTGCAATGGAACAGAGGTCAGAGAAACACACATTTTAGTGTCTGTAAAGTTTTAGAGTTTTCACTGGTTTCTCAGTGAGCTTATAAGGTCACTCTTCTTTCTGTCTTTAACCCTAAAATACCTGAAACCACAAATTATGGCCAGAAAAGTAAAATGTTTTGGAGCTGAAATGTTTATTTCACTTACTATTGAAAACCAAAAAATTAGAAAATGTCCTTAAAATTTTACAAATATATATATTTATTTATTTATCTTATTTGATACATCAGATGTTTTTGGAAACTGATAAACCACAAGAGGACATTTTTATCATTTATCGGACTGTGTTAAGATGTTTTTTTAGTAATTTGTTGATCATATTGATTGATAGAAGTATTGTATCAAATATGATACAAAAGACAATAAAGGGTTAAAAAAAACTCAGTGTAGTTTCTGTATGTACATTCAGGGAGAAGTTGGACTTCCTGGTATTTACGGAGCCCGTGGCGCTGATGGACATCAAGTAAGGCTCAATATCAAGAGAATTTCTATCAGTTTTAAAACTATAATAACATTCACTGTTTTGATTTGTTATAAGTCTTCAACTGTTGTCTAATTTTCTCGATTATGTAGTGTCTTAACAGCCATCAAGGCAGATGTCTAAAAGCTGCTAATCTCTGCTTTGCAGGGTTCACCAGGCCCGCGTGGACACAAGGTAACAAACGAATGTCTCACCATCACAGGCCCAGCTGTTTTTTTTTTCTTCAGTGAAAGGGTGAAACTGCAGAACTGCTCAGCAATCACTGCTTTTAAGACATTTGCTAGCTTCATCATGATGCATCAAGTACAAGAAATAACATGACACAGCAGCAGCAAGTGTCCTCTCAGCCTCCCCGAACTCCCAGAGCTAATTTTGTACTTAATCCATGTGAGACCTATAACTTGTTTAGGACTTTTTTTATTTGAGTGTGGTTTTCCTTCTGTACAGTCTGTCCCTTATATTTTTCTGCTCACCCTCACATCTGATTCAAGAGTTAAGAAACCTTCTTGGATCATGCTTTCATTCATAACTTTTTTCTATAAATACAGTCAAAACTTGAGGAAGAAATTCTACTTCAGGTTAACAGTTCTGTAAATAATCAGCTCGGATTATGCAGCGACTTACAGGAGAAGCCGCCCAGGTGCTGAATATACTCATTGTAAATCTGAGCACGTAGATGCATGTCGTGTTCGCAGAAACATAAAGATGAGTTGTGAAAGCTAATGCAGAGCCTGCGGACTACTAGTACATCGCACCTTCGCACATTGTATTCCAAGAACAACACCTTCCCCTCGACATTACAGTATTTCAGCTGTTTCTAACACTGGATTCTGTACTCTTAGGAGCTGAAACTTAAAGCAAGCTCTCTCTCTTCTACAGGGTGAATCCAGGCTGTCATTGCATCCATCACCAGGGACACGTGGACCCCCTGGGAGGGATGGAGACCCGGTAACAATGACATGATAGAATTGCGAACACTACATCTCGCCTTGTACAAAATCTTCCATTGCGGTTCATGACACCATCAATTTGTATCTCAGGGGGATCCAGGTGTCCGAGGAGAGTATGGACCAGCAGGTGATCAAGGATCACCAGGCGCTGTTGTCAGTAAAGTTATTGATCGTCCTGCACAATGTCAGTATAGCATTCTGGGAGTGATTGTGATGGCTGTTATATCTGTCTGAACAGGGGTTTCCTGGAGGTCGGGGGGGTCCAGGGTCTAAGGTAATTTCAGATTAGTCTTTAGATTTGTGCATGAATGTGGAAGTTGGAGTATTTTCTATTTTCTGTCTGTTTAAAAATTCATCATCAGCAGATTTACCCTGCCCAGGAAAGTGGCAGCATTTCCCAGCCGTTCTCATTCCCTTAAAGTGCCCTCTTTGGAGGAGCAGTGTTTTGGGATGTATTGTGCACATCTGCCATGTTGTTGCCCCCTGGTTCTGTGTGAAACTCCTCTACACACATGAGCTGTGGTGATAAGATAAGGAGGAATAAAAACAATCTCAACCAGTTGGTGCGAGTTAGTAGGAACTCAAGTATTGAACGTAAGGACCTGACTGCAGCCAAAGTTGGAAAAAAAAGTTAGAAACACGCAGAATGTTTTGGGAAAGTCTGGGAGATCTGATTATACAAACAAGTTGCAAGTTTTTTCCATCCTCCAGGGTCAAGAAGGAACAGGAGGTGTCCCAGGACCTCGTGGGCTACAGGTGATTTTTTTATTTTTTATTTTTTAACACATAACCATAATAAGATAGATAGTGCCACTTCTTATGAATACCTGTTTCTAACCAGATGAAATCTCCTCAAATAAAAACATGCTCAAAAAATATATCTCAATTTGTGTCAATGCAGGGCAGACGAGGACCACTAGGCCCCCCAGGACCACCAGGTCGAATCAAAGAGTTTTTCTCTGAGAGTCGTTCGTTAAAGGTACAGTAAAAGACTTTGAGCAAGTCACTGGGGATGCTATCTATTCTCATCATTAAAGGGGGCAATGCTATGCTAATGCTATGCAATGCTATTGCATTATACAGTAAAACGAGTGATTCTAAGCATTATGCGGCATTATCATGTCTTAAATCTTTGTATAAGCGTAGCATAGCATGAATAAACCGTCATATTTATTGTGGTTGATCAGCTTTTGTGTGTGTTTGTGTGCGTGTGTGTGTGTGTGTGTGAGAGAGAAAGAGAGAGAGAGAGAGAGAGAGAGAGAGAGAGAGAGAGAGAGCACAGGAGGCGACATGTCTCACACTTGGTTTGAATTTTCACACATCAAAACAAACATGAGTCCAACAGTGAAATATTTCACAAGATTTAACTGTTATCGAAAATGTTTCACCGGCTGGCTTCACACCTCTGCTTTAAAGTCACGGTTTAAAATACTTGCTAAAAAAAAAAAATACTGATCTCTCCTCATAAATAGAACAAGGACAAAAGAGAAAGAGAAAAGAAGCTCATTTTCGGTTCAGTATAGTTAACTTATGCCATGTCTAGTGCTGAATTGGAAATGATTATCTGACAGATGCACTATGATAAAGGTCATAAGAGCATTAAAGATACCTGTACCCATCCTCTCTGGACTGCTCATGTCCACAGTTTTTGACATATCTTGATCTTGATCTTGCGAATCAAAAATTTTAGCAGCTGCAGGTTCTGGACATAGAGGGTTTAAGACATCACTTCACCACTGCTTAACTTACAACTGGGAGGAGTGATGAGGTTAGAGCATAGATACAGAGGACAGAGAAATTTCTGCTGCTGCAGTAAAGAGTTCAAATAAAACACAAGCTATCTGACTGAACTTAAGTTTCACTTCCACACAGGGTGAAAAAGGAGATCATGGAGAAAAGGGCTGCAAGGGTGCAATAGTGAGTTGCTTTTTGAAATAATTCATACTAATTACTTTACGGTATCACATTACAAATACTAGAAATATTTACCTGTTTTAATCTTTAATTCTCCAAATCTTATTTTACAGTCTTAGTACTGTACATTTGCTGTATCTCACTTCATCTTTTCATTCTATCAATCACCTCTCAGGGAGACCCTGCTTATGGCTACAGCACTAAAGGGGTCAAAGGAGACAGAGGACCAGAGGGTCCAGAAGTAAGATCACTCATGTTGATTGATCAGACTCCTCTAACTCTTGAGACTGTGTTTCTGATGTTTCTGTGCTCATGTGATTTGTGTTGAAAAACAAAAACTTTTTGTGATTTCTTTGACTGTTGTATTCTATTGTTTCTTCTCAAAATATGTTTCCACTTATTTAAATTTCCTTTATAGGACTGGCAGTCTATAAAAGCAATAGCTCAGTAACAGGGATGAACAGCAGAGGGCACTAATGCAGCATCAAAGTCAATCTAGTTTCCTGTTTAACAGGAAAGGGAAGAGGACAAAGAAAGAACACAGCCACTACCTTTTTTTATTTTGGTTATTTGTTCATTTGCTTTTTTATTTTTAAGTAACTATTTCTTGGAAGTTATCATGAGCACATGAACAACTTCAGCATGACTCTATTTTTTTAAAACTACTGTAGAAATTGTGCCTCGCTTTAACTTTTAATTTGTCTTTACAGGGAAGGCTGGGGAAGGAGGGTGACCCTGGAGCACTTGGATCTCAGGTATTTCACTTTGTAGAGTTGTTGTGTTACTAAATGCATTGTATGCCTTTGAATACACTATAGTTTTTTTTTTTTTTAGGGAAGGCCTGGCTATAGAGGTGATCCGGGATATCCAGGGACACAGGGAGAGATGGTCAGTAATCCGTCAGTGTCAGGAACAACACGGTCTTAGGTGGATGTGTAGATTTTATACTGTTTCATCACTCTTTGACTGTTCGTTGTTATATTTAGGGTGAAAAGGGGAATAGAGGTCCCCCTGGTCCACCTGGAGATGTGAGTCTTTTCATTTTTTTACACTCAGATTTTTTTTGTTATTTTTCAGTTTCTGACTCACTCAGAAAGCCAGTTTTCATTTCTGAAACAGTTTACCTTTGGATACAGCTGCAGGAGTCTTTTTCATGCTTCCTGGTGTTTTGTTTACAGATCAGGCATGGGCCGGAGCCTCTCAAAGGCTACCATGGAGATCCTGGCCCTCCAGGCCAACGTGGGCCTCCTGGGCGCCAAGGTATACTGACAAAAGAGGCAGAAGATGTCACGTTTTGGCATTAAACAAAAAGGAAAAGGACCCAAATGCAGGGTGACAAAAACTTACTGAGAATGTCCAACAGAAAATTTTCCAAAGGCAAAAAACACAAGCGGTAAAATCCAAGGAACAAAAAAAATCACAGGAGACTCACTGGGAACACATATACATACCATGCACAGAAGCATTGACACACAGAAAGAAACAGGGGAAGACAGGGACTTTAAATACACAGGGAAACGAGCAACGAGAGGCAGGTGAGACACTGAGACACAGGTGCAAACAATCACAGAGGAGTGAAAACAGGAAGTAAAACAAGACTAGAAACAAAGGGAATAAACTACTACAAAATAAAACAGGAAACACTTCAAACTGATAATGAATAAAACTGAGAACAAGAGGGAACTGGGGTCAGACACAAACTGAAAACTCACAAGATAGGACTACAGGGGAACAGGAACACTCGGGCACAGAAACACTGGGAAAAATCATAAAGAAAATACACTCAAAGGACCAAAACCAGAGGAAACTAAATACCAGAACATATATCATGACAGAAGAAAGTCTAAGTTTTGTTTTTGACAACATTATTTGTCAAGAAATAACACTGTTTACTTGTACTTTTCAGGTGTTGCGGGGTTTCCTGGACCGGATGGCCCTCCAGGTCTGAAGTGAAGAAATAAATTAACCATTTTATTTTTATCTTTATTAATTATCACTCAGACTTTATTAGAATTATGGAGAACAGAAATAATTTTGTTTCAGCTAAATCTGTTCTTGTGTCTGACTTGGAATTTTACAGGACAGATTTCTGGGGGTTATGTGCCAGGTCCACAGGGTCCCCGTGGGTTTCCAGGCCCAAAAGGAGATCCTGGGGACCCAGGACATCGTTATGCTACACTTCCAGGTCTGGATGGAGATCCTGGTGATCAAGGGCCTCGTGGGGATCCTGGCCCACCCGGACCTCCTGAAGACAGAAGTGTGTGCTAACTTTCTTCTTAAGTGAACGAACCAAACTGTGGGAACTTTTCCTAAATCTGCTGTAACTATTGATGCTGCATCTGCTTCCTGATCCTATAACTGCAGTGTTTATCTCAAATACCGTTCTAATTTCAAAAATAAAGTTCATGGCTTTGAGTGTTTTAAGTTGTGTAAACCTTAGTGTTGTGTTTGACAGTATGTGAAGCAGTCAGTTTGTTGCGCAGAAACAGAAGTATTGACTCAATCCAATGGAAAAGCTCATAGTTCTTTGTGTACATATGTTGATTTAGTACTGAAGAAAAAGTTTTTGGTATAAGTGTGGTTATGTTGGAAAATCATAAACAGACTGATGGACGTTGTTGTTTTTCTTGTAGCTAACAGAGTCACCAAGGGTCTTCCAGGAATGAAGGGAGTAAGGGGGCAGCCTGGAGACCCTGGATATGATGGGACATTTGGAATGAAAGGTGGGGAACTCATATGCGAAAACACATTTTTACAATTTTGTGACCTGCATTACTTTTTCTGGAACAGCTCGATCAAGTTCAGTTCAAGAAAACATTACATTATGCAACAATTCTGAGTTTCATAAAAACACTACGGTTCTTCTGTACAGGAGAAAAAGGGGAGCCTTGTTATGACTGTTACACATCTGGATCCCCTGGACCACCTGGTCCACCTGGTCCACCTGGAAGACCTGGTAAAACCACTGTCTGTTAAAAAACACACAGACTTCAGCTTCTTTGCCCTTAAATTAAATAAAGTTTCATGTGTCATTCTTGTGCGTACAGGTGTTTTTCAAATCAGTAACAAATCTATTTTATAATGTATTTGACCAGGTATTAATCAAGGACCAGGTGCTAAAGGTGATCCAGGCTTCCCAGGACCAAGAGGTCCACCAGGAATCCCAGTAAGAGAGCATGTTCAGAAAGGAGGACGGTTGTTGTGTTATCTGTTTTGTGTTTGTTATTTTGTAAAACTTAAAAGATAATCTCTCCTAAAGGGACCTCTTGGTGAAACTGGATATCGAGGCCCTCCTGGACAAAAGGGGGACCCTTCTACTCACACCGCCCCTGGGATTAAGGGAGAAACAGGAGACCAAGGACAACCAGGAAGACCTGGTGCAGATGGCCGCCCTGGGTTTCCTGGTCCACCTGGTCATAAAGGCCTACAAGGACCTCCAGGGGACTCAGTGAGAAAGATTTAACAGTCTTCCTTAAACTTGTTCAGTTTTCATCTATGTGCTACATCATACAACATGCAAACATTTTTTTTTTGGTTTTATGTCTCTGTAGTATCCCTACCAAGGAGGAGAGGGTGACCGTGGTTTCCCTGGTCCACCAGGGCCTCAAGGCATCCCAGGACCAGTCGGCGATCCTGGGCCAGCGGGGTATGGGCCTGCAGGATTCCCAGGAATTAAGGGAGATGTTGGAGTACCTGGCCTGCCAGGACAGCCTGGAATTCCAGGTGAAGAAACATAATTACTCACTGCAAATCATTCGGTTCTTACCAAGACAAAAAAAAACTTGGATTTAGATGTTGGATAATTTCTCTTGTTTTAAGACTTAATTTTCTTATTTTAAGTGTTTGACTTTACACTATAATCTTATATCAAGCACAACTTTGTCTTTTTAGTCTCAAATAGGCAAGAAATCTTAAGATGAGGAAAGTAACTGTTAAAATAAGTTATATTCCATCTTTCTTCCAAAGTCTCATCAAAAGGAATCTTGTTTTAAGGTTAAGTACGCCTTGTTTCAAGATAAGCCTGCATGGATTGAGACAGAGTTTAGTAATTCTTCACTAATACTGGTTATTTTTTCTCTAAATTTCTATTTTTTTTGTTAAACATATCTTAATTTGGTGAAAGTAAGAAAACATAAAATGTAATTGCTTATGTTTGGTATATTTCACTTTTTTTTAAGGCTGTGACAAAATTAACTTTTTAAGTTATCTCATCTTAAAACCAGCATTGTCTCCTTACCTTATACTGATATTTAGTACATTTCACTTATTTTAGGGCTGTAAAAGTTAAATTTTAAGTAATCTGATCTTAAAACCAGCATTTTATACTTATTTTATACTGATATTTAGTATATTCAGTTTATTTTGGGGGCTGGAAAAGTTACATTTTAAGTAATATAATCTTAAAACCAGCATTTTTGGCTAACTTTGAACCTCCCAAATACATTTGTTGACGGGCTTATTTCTAAATTTAACAATCTTCATTCAAGAAATCTTGTCAAGTGAAATTATCTTGCTACATGGACAGATAATTCCCCTTGTTTTAGTACCTTCTCCCTCAGATTTAGTGTTTTTATCTTGTTTTTAGACCACCTTTTTGCAGTGCAACTCTTACAAAAACAGACTTGTGGACAAACAGAAAGATATCAGTGTCACCGCTTTTTCTCCTTTACTCACTGGCAGGCCAGAAAGGGGAATCAAGCCACGTACATGTTAAAGGACTGCCTGGACCTCCTGGGTTTAAAGGTCAACCTGGCATAGATGGGAATCCAGGTAAGCATGGCTGTATGACTGGTTGAAATACATATATGGCTGAGTAGATAACTTATCCAATATCATAAAGAGTCGAGGATTGAATCATCTTTCATACAGGCAGTGTCGGGGTGCCAGGCAACCCTGGACAGCCAGGTCCCAAAGGAGAGAAAGGAGAAAGAGGCAGTGTTACATTTCCTGGAGGACCTGGAATCCAAGGGCCAAAAGGTAAACCACATGTCAAAGAAGTAATGCATAAAGTAAACAACTTCATACCACTGAGACTGAAGGTTTTCAGAGGACGTTTTTGTAATATCAGGGGGTTTATGACCGCCCACAGGAATGTAAAAAAAAAAGGGTACTGAATGTATCATTTTTGTTTCTGTCAATGTTTTTGTTGATCTGTCTTTCTTGTTCAGGTGACAAGGGGTATCCAGGTCCCATAGGCCTTCATAGACGAGGTTTGCCTGGTCAGCAAGGTCCACCTGGTCCTCCCGGTCCTCTAGGACCAACGGTCAGAGACACAGACAATGTCTTCTACATACATATACTTGATTATGAAAACTGTCTAATAAACAAATAGCATGGACGTTTTTTTCTTCTTCTGTACACACACAGACTTCTTTATGTTATCTGTTGTAAAACTCTGTCTTATGCTGAGCTAACTGACCTATGACTCGGGCGTCATATCTATCATACAGAAAAAAGGAAGGGTAACACTGCTTCTATAGAAACATTTCTGATTATATGAAGCTTACATGTGAGGAAAGGGAGGTTCAGGAACAGGCAGCTGTTTTTGAATCACAGACAGCTCCCACTGATTCTCCATGTTTGATGTAAAGTGATATGTCATGACAGATATATTCACAGCACAATGTGGAAGTGCAGAAACAGGAAATATTTAATTTAAACACATATGCAACAGTTAAGTGTATGTTTATGATTAACAGGGTGATGGTGGTCCTGGATTCCCTGGACCCCCTGGACCCCCAGGGCCTCCAGGAGCAGATGGAACCCAAGGGCCAACAGGAGATCATGGCTCCCCCGGCCTACCTGGGAACCCAGGACAAGACGGCAATCCGGGATTCCTGGGGCAAAAAGGTACAAGACCTTTAAATGAAACACAAGGCTGTTGTCCATGGAGGAACAGAAACACATGTGAAGTTAATAGCTCAACACACAAATGCACACTCATACACGCTTACCTGACCAACAGTGGACTATCAGCCCAGACTGATGAAGAGTGGACCTCTATTTCTGGTCATTTTAATAAAACAACAATATAATAGATTTTTTTCTTTTGTGGTCTTTTACCATAATGTTACTTGAAATGTGGCTTTTGATGTTTTTTTTTAACTGCCAAGAGGGGACATGGATCCTTAAGTAAGACACACACACACACACACACACACACACACACACACACACACACACACACACACACACACACACATTTGCAATATTTGTATTGGCCTTTTATGTACTGCTGTTTCCTGCTTTATTCTATGCTGCATTCAGGGAGTAAAGGATCTACAGGTCCACCTGGGCCACCTGGCGATAAAGACTCTTGTAAAGGTGAACCAGGACCAATGGGGTCACCAGGACCAGATGGTTATCCAGGAGATCCAGGTCGGTTTGTATTGAAGTCATCAGATGAACTTTACTGTAAAATGTAGAGGCATGGTAAATTAAGAAAATGAGCAACAAAAGGAGATTGAATGTCAAATCTAATCCTTTCTACAATTCACAGTTCAATAAATTTCAACTGTTTTTCATGTTCGATATAAAAGTCGTTTCTAGTTTCTTCAGCTACCCAGCTTCATGTGGTTCCATCTCTTTGGCTCTCCTCTCCCAGGACCTCATGGATCACCTGGTGAGAAGGGGAATGTAGGTTTGCCAGGGTTTGGTCGTCCTGGTGCACCTGGTGAGCCAGGTCTCATTGGACCATCAGTGCCAGGTCTACATGGGCCTCCTGGACAAAAAGGGTTAAAGGGACAAAGTGGTCGGCCTGGAATACCAGGTAACAGATTGATGATGATGATGATGATGATGATGATGATGATGATGATGATGAATTCTCAGTATATTAATGATGCAAATTTTAAGATTTCAGCTTTTTCCAACATCTTTAAAGTTTCTAACAAATATCTTCATTTGAATAAAAACAATTGCAAAAATACTATGAATGAATTTTGAAACGGTAATGCTTCCATGCACAGACAATGACAGAATATATTTGAAAATATTTAAATTGATTTTATCTTTAAATGTTATACTTGGACTTTTTTAGGACCAAGAGGAGACCCTGGAATAGATGGGATAGCAGGATATGGACCTGATGGGTTACCTGGAATTCCAGGACCACCTGGCCAAATAGGTAAGACACAAAAACAAACATGCACATTTTCAGAGAAACAAATCACCTTTTGTCTTCTTTGTAATAAGCAAACTTGAGTTCGCATTAGTGACAAAAACTTATTCAGCTCTTATTCCAGTTCCTACAAAGCTGAGGCTTTCTGTTGGTTTTCAATGAAGCTGTTGGCAAGTCACAGTTATAGCTGAGATAATAATCTCCACCAATGTTTACAGGTGACCGTGGCCCAAATGGAGCCAAAGGACACCCTGGTCCCCCAGGCATGACAGGGGACCCCGGTCCCAGGGGTCTTCCAGGCCCTGTATTGCCACCAAGGGAAATACCTGGACCCCAGGGCGACCCTGGTAATCCAGGTCAGCTGAACTGTAAACATTTCTCGTACAAATACAAAACACCAATGACTTCCTGTAAGATCGGGCTGTTTCCTGTTGGGCTGGTGTTTTATTTTGGATGAATAACTTGACTTCAAACTTTGGTTGCGCTGGACTTTTTTAGGCCAATTTGTTTAAGATTCAAAGTCATACTGTCTTGCTTTAAATTCCTTCTTTCAGGTCATCCTGGTCTACCTGGTCTCCATGGTGACCCTGGAAAATTGGGATCACAGGGACAACGGGGGAGAGGGGGAGCACCAGGAGGTCCTGGACAAAGAGGTCAGACATTTTTAATATACAGCACTATGAATCATACACGAATCAGGATTTTGGTTCATCTGATTCCTACTTTTTCTTTTATCGACAATGTGGCATACTTCATTTAAGTGTTCTGTGATTATACGTGTTCAGGTCCCCCAGGTAATCCAGGTACTAATACAACAGCTATGGATGGAAGTACAGGACCGGCTGGAGCCCCAGGAGATCCAGGAGTCAGGGGACCTCCTGGTAAAAGCCACAGTTTGCTCTAAGACTAGACACACTCAAAAAAAAAGATAAAAGTTATGAAGTTTTTTGGTCTTTTTTGTACAAAGTTTGCATTTGGTTTAACTTTCCAAGGTCTAAAAGGACTAAATGGAGAGCCAGGATTCCCTGGAGGGACTGGTCCTCATGGTACACCAGGTCCACCAGGCTCCAAAGGGGCACAAGGAGACCCAAGCTTTTATGGTTCTGGACGGCCTGGACCCCCGGGACAAAAAGTATTGATAAAAATAATCAGGAACTTTTGTAGCTAATTCAGAGAGTAATTCTTAACCATGAAGTTACTTTACTGATTTATTATTATTATTATTATTTATTTATTTATTTTTAATTTATTTATTTATTTACTGATTTATGATTACTTAACCATAAAAGTTTTTTCTCTGTTTCATTTATTCCTTTTACTGTCCTCAGGGTGAACCAGGATTGGTTAGCACTTACACCATGAAGGGTCAAAAAGGTGAACCTGGTCTAGGTGGACCCTCAGGTACACCAGGATACAGTGGAGCCAAAGGAGACCAGGGACCTAGGGGACAGCCTGGTAACAACCACACATCACTGAAATAAATCAGCCCATGATTTGTTGTTCATTTTGTTTACTGTGTAAACCTCTCCACCCTGCCCCCTTTTATTACAGGTCCACCAGGCTATCAAGGGCCCAAAGGTTCAGATGGTCCTCCGGGGAGCAAAGGACACACGGGACCTTTTGGACCACCAGGCAATCTTTTTGGAATAATCCTTTTAAAAATGACCTTACATTGCTTTTTCCCTTCGATTATGCAGCTTATTTTAGGTTTAATCCAAGCCTTGTTGTTGTTGTAATGTCTGTTTACCTCAGGTAGTCCAGGTGGTATAGGTGTCGGTGGTCCCCCAGGTCCAAAAGGTGACCAGGGTCGAGATGGGATTCCTGGACCACCAGGGCAAAAGGGAGAGACTAGTAAGAGAAATTCCGATGCAAATTTTCTTTGACTTTGAAAGCTTGTGCACAACCTGTCAGAAACAAAGCTTTATGGTCTGTACAGCATCTATTCACTTTCTATTCCCTGCAGTACTAACAGGAGGACCACCCGGTGTACGTGGCATAACAGGTCCACAAGGTGAGTCTCAGGTAAACATGTTATCCCTTTAGAGAATTTAGTAAACTTTTCTTACTTTTGTCAGTTTCCCTCAACTCTAAAAGGAATTTTATGCTTCAACATTTGTCAATGTCAGATGATTTGCTTCAGCATCAAAGACATAGGGTATGTCTTACCTTACAGAGCCATGGGCATTTAGCGAATGAGAGAGAGGGGCCAGCATCATACCTAAGAAACCAACAGGGAAATGATTACGGAAGGGCAACTAAACACATACAAAAGTAGGGGGTTAAGTGTCTGAAAGGGGGAGGACATTAGTGACACAGATTAGAAAAGTAAATTTAAACTGACAATTGAATTTTAAAGCGATATTCAAACCGTTTCGCTTTTGATGATGGCTGTCCAAGTCAGTTAATTTTTTTCTTCTGTAGGTCCCCCAGGAGACCCTGGTCCCTCCTCACCCAACTGCTTTCCTGCACCACCTGGACCAACAGGAGACAGAGGAGATCCAGGTCCACCTGGTGTCTGTGGTCCAAGAGGACTACCAGGCAGAGATGGCACTTGTACCCCAGGGCCAAAAGGAAGCCCTGGCTATCCTGGAGCACCTGGAAACCCAGGTAGGGATGCACTAGGGATGGAGCCACTACTATTGGACTTGATTGACCCTTTGATAAAAGAGACCCTGAATCTGACCAATGACTGACTATTCATACTAAATGACATTAAACTAAAGATTGAACTGCTTTGTATGTAGGTTTTCCCGGTCCACCTGGTCCTCCAGGCCCCTCAGGGCCGGGGTTAAAGGGAGAAAGAGGGGACCCTGGAAGTACAGGGAGCCCAGGCCATGGTGGACCCCCAGGAGATCCAGGCCCTCAAGGACCCCCTGTAAGTGAAAAAGAAGATGATGGTTGAGTTTCAGTTTTCAGGGATTAGACTTTTATGGATGTGTGATTTTTTTAAAGTCGAGTTTTTTATTAGAAATATTCATAATACCATGGGCGCTTTTACATGTGCTTTCTGTATAGTTAGACAGATTACCAAGATAAGATAACTTTTAAAACAGTTTTACATTTTCATCACAGACAATACTCTCGCTCAGAGTTCTCGAATAGTCACAGCAACTCTTAAAGTTCAATTTTTCAACCTCTCCTTTGTTGCTTTTGCATTCCAGGGTGTAGGAGGCAGACCTGGAGGCCCAGGACCAAGAGGTGATCTCGGTCCTTATGGATTCCAAGGCCCCCTTGGTAATCTATCACTTCACTTCAGCCGATAGATGAAGATTTCTCTTTGACTTTCCCCAGACAAAGTCAGATGTGTCACCACAGAAGAGTAATAGTCGGGGATTGATTTATGTTCCTGCACCTGAGGTGAAAAACAAACAGGACAGAGAATAAAAGGGAGGAGACACTAAGATACATGAGGATTGATTTTACTTCTTTCTTTGATGCCTGATGATGTGAATTTTCAATGTGATGATAATAAAAGAGACTTTCTTCTCAATTTGAATTATAACCTTTGTGTTTTAGGTGACAGAGGAGAGCCCGGATACAACCCAGGCCCACGTGGTCCGCCTGGGGGGAAAGGTTTTCCTGGACGACCTGGTGTGGCAAATATCTGTTTCACTTTATAGCTCACAAAAATCAGAACCACGACCTTGTAATGTCATAAAAACTCAATCTATCAGCACATCCTTCATGGAATATCAATCTGACATAGCGGCTTTTTATTCACTCCTGCTCTTCCCTTTTAGGCCAAAAAGGTGATCCACGCTCTCCTGATGGGATACCTATACCAGGAGATCCTGGCTCACCTGGTCTACCTGGAGTTACAGGAGTTACAGGAAGCTCTGGGCCACCAGGACCACCAGGACCACCAGGTCCAAAATCTTAATTGTGCACAATAGTGATATTAGTTTGCAGTAAAACGACCAGTTTTTGCATGTTCATTGAAAGATCATGGATAACTGTAGAGCGGTGTGTGGTTTGAAAATCCTGTCAGTCCTGAACTGCTTTATGGACTATTTCTGACTCTCAAACTTTATCAAACAGGCCAGCCAGGCATTAAAGGACAACGTGGCACCAGCCCAGCTGGCCAGCCAGGATTTCCAGGCCTCAAAGGAGACAAAGGAAGGGCAGGCACACCAGGTGTGTGCATGTTGGGGTGTTGGTGTATGAGGGCAAATTTTCATGTGTGTTGATGAGCAAGGAGTTTCCGTTAATATCTCACTGTGTAACCTCACATTGTGGAGGATATGGATGACAGTAAAACAAGTGCATTAAAAACTGGTTCCATTAAATGCTGAATTTTGAAATCTTGGTTGTACATTAAAGCTTGTATCAAGGATGCATCTTTAAAAAAAACCTCTGTGATGGTTCTTAATGACAATGTCTGTTTCTTCTCCAGGTTTGGAAGGACCACGGGGAAACCCAGGCCAAAAGGGTCCACCAGGGTGGCCAGGCAAAGCTGGTCCAGGCTACGTTGACAGTTTCCTGATAGCGAGACACAGTCAGAGCAAGCGTGAACCTGACTGTCCTAGTGGCAGCACCCGCATCTACACTGGTTACTCCTTTCTCTTCATTAATGGCAATGAAAGAGCACACGGTCAGGACCTTGGTAAGAGCATAAAAACTGAAATACTGGGAGTATTTGCAGAGTAGAAAATAAATGTTTCCTTGAGATGTTAAATGAAAACCATTCTTAAAACTCTCATTATTTCCAGGCACCTCAGGAAGCTGTCTCCCTCGTTTCTCCACCATGCCCTTCATGTTCTGTGACACAGAAACAAACTGCCGCTATGCTTCTCGTAACGACTACTCCTACTGGTTGTCAACTGATACGCCTATGCCGGCAAACATGGAGTCCATCTCAGGGGACATGCTGGCCTCCTACATCAGCAGGTGGTGGACTTTGGTCACACAGGTTCTCAGAATCTGGGTTTTATTGTTATATGTAAATAATGTTTTTTAAGCCGAGTCATATAGAAAGAATATACCTGCTGAACATCTTACAAACCAGGTTTTAAAATAACTCTTGGTGGAATGTGAGAACTCTCAAAGGCCCAAAACTTCTAAAGTAGTCTCGTCATGTCTAAAACTAAAAGCCCTTTTGGAAAAATTCATGAAAACTTGTGCGTTTTATCAGTTTTAAGTCCATGCATTTGCAGGTCAGGATGATTGGTTCTCTTCAATTTGATCGTCATTGGCAGAAATTTCTCATTTTTTGGTCACAACTGCGAACTATATTGGTAAATGTCTGTGTATACATTCCGTTCTAGGTGTTCAGTATGTGAAATCACCTCCAAAGTCATAGCGGTACACAGCCAGACAACTCAGCTACCTGCATGTCCTAGAGACTGGGAGTCCCTGTGGACAGGATACTCATTCGTCATGGTAAAGAAGTCACTTTTCCCCCTCCTTGAAAATCTGTACTGTCTCATAAGCTGTTTTCGATATCATTTTCTTTTTTTGACCTTCATCCCCTTTAGCAAACAGGTGCTGGAGCAGAGGGCTCCTCCCAGCCCCTGGTGTCCTCCGGCTCATGTCTGGAAAGTTTTCGCCAAGTGCCCTTCATTGAATGTCACGGCAGAGGGACATGTAACTACTACCCGGATTCTTATAGCTATTGGCTGGCCTCCATAGACTCCACCAAAATGTTCAGGTAAACAGCTGCCTTCAGTTTGAGCGCTCATTGAGAGAAGTAGAACAATTAAAATGCAATTTCTAAGACTTTTTCAACCTACTGATAGTCAGTAGTATCTTACTGTCTTGTCTGTATTTGTGTAATTTGGTAACAGTCTCGTGAGAAACATTTCACTAAGTGTTCATCCAAAACTATCTTGTTTAAAATAGCCTTTTTTTTTCTTCTAAAGAATATTTTCGGGGGTACTTTTTTTGCCTTATTAAAAAGTAACAGCAGGTAATGGAGAGGAAAGTAAAAGGAGAGTGAGGGTGGCACAGAGCAAAGGACTGGGGATGGAATTGAATTCAGTGGTGCGATAAGAGCTGGGCCTTAAATGGCTTGTGCCTTACCAGGTGATCTGCCCCAGCCCCATATAATTACATTCCTAACAGGCTGATTGTGTGCATGTGTGTGTGTGTTTGTGTGTGCGTGTTTTACTGTCTCCTTCAGTAAACCTGTTCCTCGGACAGTGAAAGGACCTTCTCTACAAAATGTAATCAGCCGATGCCGTGTCTGCAAGAAAAGACCGTTGCAACATATTGTAGATAATCAACGTGGGGACAGTTTCTAAAATTAAGTTTTGTTTTTTTGTTAATCTCAAGTATAAATATATTGGAAGTGTGAGACTGAGTGTTCATATAAATTGTAAATTGAGTTATATGTGTCTTTGCACTGAATAAACTGACTGAAACTCATTTCTACCAGCTTGAACAATCATCTTTTTTGGTCATGTGCATTAGAATCAACAGGCAGTGTTGTGAATTATCAGTATCTTGAGCTGTAGTCTGAAACTGTATGTTACGTCCCACCCGAAGGTGGCCCTATGGGGCTAACAAGTATCCTCACCTTTCCACCCATTAAATCAGTGGTTCTCAAGTCCAGTCCTCGAGTCCAAAATTAATTATTTACAGTAAAATTTAACACCTGCAGCTATTTAGATATGTTACACATAACGCAATAGTATTAGAAAAATGAGTATTAAAGACTAGTTTTGATCTACACATGACTAAAAGTGCTTTCAACAAAAACGTGACTCTGATGTCGGAATTGTCCTGCCACCAATACCTTACTGAGATGGAATTATCCCGTCTTTTCACTCGTGTGTTTGCTTTGTTTCCCGAGTGAATTCACAGGATGGATGCGGTCTGTTAAGTGCGTGCCCTAAAAAGTATGAGGTCACAGCACATGACACACCACAATGACGTGTGTGTTTGTGTGTGTACTGTGACATTGAGAGGGACATCGTGTTTCTCTGGAATTGTTTAGTTGCTGTTTACCTGCACAAACATTGAGTAATTTGTACCTTCATCACCCTCTCTCTCCCCTTAAATTCCAGCATGTTAAATGGAGCACGGGAATTATTGCATCCGATGACTCATACTGCCTGCAACTTTTTCCACTCAATTCCAAATGAACTGATGGGAGGCAAATCTTTGGCTGTCTTTGGGGCTTGGGGACTTCAAATGTACATTTATATCTTAGACTTCTTGTAATTTTTTCCAAATGTAGAATCCTTCTTTTGTAGGTCAGCTAATTTGGGAAAATATATTCGAATAAAAATGAAGCAAATGCTAATTCTTCATATGTTAATCAGCACCTCGCTTCCAATGTGTGGCCGGGGATTTAAAAGAAGCCGTTATCGAAGTTAAGCACATATTTTCCATCTTTATCAGCCTCATCTCAAACATTCTGTATCTCTTTGCTACTGGCTCATAATGCTATTCACACAGCAATCTGCCCCGAAGGAACAGTCATTCAAGTGTACCCATCCAAATCTGTCACTGTGATCAATAGATGCAACCCTCCCCTCCCCTCCATACATAAACCTGGATGTAAAAAAGGCACAATAATGTCCTGAAACCACTCTGTGTTCAAACTACTGTTGCTTTTTGGCACGCAGATGTTCCAAGATATCGATTGCTTGCAGTCAGAAATAACAAACAGCCTCATATGCTTATGTAAGAAAGTCAGCTCCCACAAGATACAGCTGAAGAATAGCTGAACCCTTTTGTGTGAATTAGCAACATACCGTCAGACTTAGTTTCCAACTAATTTCTGACATTTCCTCTCACAAATATAGTCCGATATACTACGAGTCGCGGCGTCTTGAATGCCACCTTGAATCAAATCAGCCTCGCATGTCCTGGTGCAGACACTTGTCAGCATGGATGGAAACACTGGAGCTGTAAAGTGCTCTCTGAAACCGTCCTAACAAGATTATTCTGCTTCTGACAGTGCACTTACTAATTATTTATGCAGCCATATCAGGCTTCTACACCCCTCTAATTGGGTTAAAATAGCGATTTGTTGAAAGGTTGAGGCAATTCAAGGTTGTCGCGCATTTAAGAAGGACACGTCCTCGGCATTTTCCACATACATGTCTTATGTGGACTGGAGAGACCTCTGTTCATACTCTAACACAGTGGTTCTGAAGTCCAGTCCTCGAGCCCCCACACCTGATTCAAATGATCAGCTCGTTATCAAGCCATTCCAGAGCTTGATAACGAGCTGATCATTTGAATCAGGTGTGTTGGAGCAGGGAAACATCCAAAACATGCAGGACTCGAGGCCTGGACTTGAAAACCACTACTCTAATAGGATGGCTCTATTTGTAAGGCACAGCATCAAACTGTGAAAAAACACATTAAGAAATGTTGGTTTACTCATATGTGGAATTTGTCATAGTGTTTGGTGCAGAATTGATAGATGCAGATGTTGAATGCAAACATAAAAATCTAGTAAATAGCAGTCAACTTACTTACTCACTGAACTTACTGAAGGGACTTGGTAGCATTTTATTACCTGCATTAAGTATGAGGCTAATTTTTTGTTCACTTCAGATTATTGTGATGATAATAAGACTCATCTTCAAGCTCCTGTGTAGATTCTGACACTGCCTGATATCTTTGCCGATCTTTTCCTTAATAAGTATTGCGTAGTGTTTTCCAACAAATTATTCCAACCACCTTTCATTTAACAGTCGGATGTATCACCCACTGTTTGTTGAGGAAATTTAAAGAAAAGGCTTTCACTCCGGCATGTTGTTAGTCATCCAGTCTGACTCCTACCCCCTCACAGTGATGACTGGCATTATAAATTACAATCCAGAAATTGCTGGTCTTGCTTCTTTGGTAGGTCATAAAAAGCACCAGTTTTAATTTCAGTCTGCCTCACATGGGCTTACAAATAGGTAATGAATGATTTATTTAAATAAGGGATTGCAAAGATTTGGTTGTAAACATATTAAGGATAAAAGCAGAGTGTGCTAGAGCGTCTTGATTTATCTCACTAGGATGACACTACACCCTAAGTACCTTTTTAGCATTAAAACAAGATCATTTCAAAAGCAAGGATGACTTCATTTTCTATCTATGCATGTACCACTACAAAATCATTACAGCCTTTGACAAATACACCGTCATTCAGATGCAGAAGGACTGTTAAGTGAAACAGAGCAGAAATCTCATTAAAGAGATGCCCCAAACAAAAATCAGGAGGGTGTAACAAATGATAAATTGACCTTTATGGCCTCTGGATATCCCAGTATCTCAGTGCTGTCTGGTGATTCATCTTTACGACACGGTGGGGTTAATGAAATCATTGTTTCCCTCATGTCAGCGTCATTTATGCTTTATTTTACATGGGTGCACATCATGCTTTGCTTACTGAGATTTGCTTTCAGTTAAGAAGACGGAGAGGATTTCTTCACATTTTTAAGTTACACCAATGACAGCACCAAGATGACCTTCACTTATACAACCAGATTACAGTGTGATTATGTTAATTATGACACTAGGAGAGACCAGGATGGGGAAAATGTCCTTATTTAGACCTTCTGTCTCATTCCTAATGACGGTTGTAAATTACACAGTCCATGCCTCGGTGCATTGATGGGACAAACGCAAAGTCCAGGATGGTCTTTATGCAAATAACCTGTCTGTTCCTCCTCCCTTTTTTGGGCCCAGGTGCCACTTTAAAAACAGACCTCTCACAAAGCTGTACATTTAAGGTGAACATCAACAGTGGATGTCGTCCGGTCTCACTAAGAGTATTCGTCTGAAGAAAGAAGACAAGCCAAAGATTTCCCAAAACAGGATGGCCCATACTTTGTGTGTTTTGGCACTTGTGTGTTTCGCATTTTGTGCTGTGGCAAGTGCAGACTCAGAGCTGGGATTAGAGGACATCCAACTTCAGGAAGACTCGTTGTCATGGCTCGACAAATCACAGGACAAACAGGTAAGATATCTTAATTTATACCTGATAAGTTTCTCTAATAATTTCTATTTTGACATGAACCACATGCATGTGATGATCAAAATCACTCTGATCCCAGCTACCACTAAAATGTTGCCCACTGCTCTCCCTTTAGCTGTTCAATTTACTGCCTGTGTGCACCCATTTTATTGATCTTGATTTGTTACAAGTGTAATTTTATTTTCAGTGATTCATTCCGGATGCTCCACAAACTGCATTACATTTATCATTTTATTATTATCACAGTTGAACTCCTGGAAAAATGAAGATTAAAGATTGGAGTTGCATTGCATTTTCCTTCATAGCCACCAGCAACTGAAGCAAAAGTTCTACAAAATAAATCCATATTCATCTTCACTTTGCTATCACCATTTCCCTTGAAGGAAATAGGCCTATTACTATTTCAAATTTACCAGGTATGACATAAAAGACACCATCTATGATTGAAGTCTGAGTATTTACATAATGTCACATTTTTTTGTCTCCATAGGAATCAAAAGAGAACCAGAGCCTGGTAGACCTGCTTTACAAAATCTCCCAAATCCTCCAAGGACCCTTCAATAAAGAGAAACAGGAGAAGAGACGTGGACTGTCAGCCCATACTAGAGGACCCAACTGCAGATTTTTCTTCTGGAAAGCTTTGACAACTTGCTAACAGTGCTTTCAATGAGATGTTGGACAGTCTGACCTGGAAATGGAAAATGTAACCCTTCTCCTGTGTTAGGGTCTGCACTGACCCGTTTTTGATTTTAAATGCATAAAAGAACCACATGAATTAGTTTATTTGCATCAAGACTTTTTGACTTTGTCAGGAACCTCTATTTCAACAAAATAAAAAATGTAATTGACTGAAAAATGCTCTCATTAAAATTATGGCACTTGTCGTATTAGGGTTACTGTTGACCCGGTTGGATCAATATCTGATAATTAGAGCAAAAACTGAAACCATATGTGCACTGTCAGGCTCCACACTGACAGTCAGATCCTCTTCCAATCATGTGAGATTTAGGAAATTCTTGTTTTTCCACAAATTTCCCTGCACAAAAAAACACATTTTCATGGATAATGAAGCCGAACAAGGTAACCTAGAGATGAGAACCAACTTGGATGATAGAGAATTGTTTTTAGTGTAATTTACAGCTGATTTGAGACACGGGTTAAAACCGACCCTTAACACAGTGGGTGCGTAGTAAAAGCTAACACAGGAGGAAGGTTAAGTCTCAGCTTTTCTAAAGATAATCAGATATATTTATGTAGATATCCTCTTTGAATACTCTTTGAATCTTTGCTGCTTTTAGATCTACAAACAACCATTTCTAGATGCCATTGTGTTTAGACATGCTAAGGAAATCCTGTGTTTCTAGCTTCCCATGCTAACACAAACACCATCAAAATAAAGCCTATTTAAAGTCACATAATAAAATAGGGGAGCTGTTAAAAGGTACCACCTTCAAATTAAATTGTTAATGAAGTATTAACATGAAGAAACAGTTTAAAATTACGTATGAATGAATTACTTTAAGACCCTCTCTATTCTTCCTGCATTATTTACAATACACCTGACTGTCTGGTGGAGGTGTATACAATGAAGTGGGCTCTGAATATTTAATGATAAGTAAATGAACAGTTACAGTGCAGCCAAACCCTCCTCATCCCGCCTGTCAGAGAGACGTGGATAAAAGATCCGGAGAGAGGCGAGCAACTCTGCAGGCTTCTTTGAAGGCCAGCTGTGCTCCACTGGCCTGCAGAAAGTACAGTGTTGCATTTGATTATGTTTTAGATTCATTTTAAATCAATCAAACTCTCCCACAGTCATTCATCAAACACATCAAAGTCTCTCCCTCTGTATCCACTTTGCCACGTTATTTCATTCCAGCAGAGGAGGCTGTTCTTCTCTTTGTTAAATCCAGATAGACTTTGAATGTAATTAATGTCTGCAGTGTGTTTGATGTTTCCCTGCCATCTCCATGGTGAACCAGAAAAGCAGTAAACCAACAGCTTTACGACACGTTCCCGTTTTTGATGTTCCTTCAAATTTTGTGCAAATGACTGCAGCTTATTTTTGCACAGATGTTGGTGCACAGTAATTTCGGGATGCAATCTGCAGGGTAACATTGATTTTCTGTTGCATATTCCTTAACACATGCCAGTGTTTGCTGCTGTGCATGAAAAGATGCCTGGCGCCAGCGCAGTGCTGCATTGATATGCATTGATGCATTTAGGTATGCACAGAAGCCTCTCTGTATAAAAAAAAAAAAAAAAATGCAGTCATCGCCATAATGTGCATATGCATGCAGAAGTGTGAGGTAAATCTGGAGAAAATTACATGAATTCATTAACCGTGAACAAGTAAAGAGCACAAGGTGGAAGATATTAAAGGAATAAAGATGAAGACTTGATTTGATATATAGAGAAGTAGGTTTGAAAGTAATGTGATAGAGAGCTGTTGAGGGAATAGAGATTAGGAAAGTGAGAGCATAGAAGACGGGAGGGAAAGAGGTGCAAAGAGGATGAACGGGGGGATGAGAGAAAATTATTAAAGTAGCACTGTTGGAGCGTAACTGCAGTCAAAGCTTGGCTTAGTATCTTTTCTGTCCCTGGGCTATTGGGATTCAACAGAACATCTTCCCGCTGTAACAGGAACCACTGCCAGCACATTATCATGCTCATACTGCAGAGTGTCTTCAGCAAAGTGGGAGAGAGAAAGAGAGAGTGAGAGTAACAAATACAAAGTGTGTGGGTGGGTGGGTGTGTGGGCGAGCGGCTGGGTGAGTGGGATTGCAGTGTGTGTGGGTTCATGGGCATGAACTTTTATGTGTCTCATCAGTGAGCGTGTTTGCTTGCATCTTTCCTCTCAGTGCTCATCTGGAGACAAGAGAAGCCAAATCATGGAGACAAAGAAAATGTAGAAAACCTCTGTTTTTCTTGTCACAAAGTACAGCAGAAGAGATGTATTTAACCATCAGAACTACTTTCATCCAAACATTTATAATCCCGCTCAAGCAGCTCTTCCCCCCTTCTCTTTTTGTCCGCCTTTAAACACATTGCAACCAATCGGCCAATACTTTTGCCAACTCCGAGCGCTTGATTTAGATGTAAAAGACGCTCATAAAAACACTAAGCCAACTACATCAAAAGCAGCAACACTGAGCCATAATTGAACAGAGACCAATTATTTTTAATGAGTCGAACCGAACGCCCCACTTCTGAGCAGGAATTCCCTCATTCTCTCCGAAGGGAGGATGGGAAAAAAGAGAAACAAGCAGAGTCCCTGTGGCAGAGGCCTGCATCAAAACAACAGGGCGGAAAGGAGAAGGTAAGAAAGGAGAGGGGCCCTGGATAAAAAGTAAAGAGTCTCCAACATGTGGGCTCATAGTCTGCCGATGAAAACATAGTTATTTACAGGTCTGGGTACAGTAATGGTAGAGGATGCCATAAATAGACTGCTATGTTGTTGACCCAGCTAAATGTAAACCATAAACCATAAAGTTCTTCATTAGGTTTATCTACAGTTTATTAAAGCTGGGTGTTTATTGCAGTCATTATGATAGCTTTTACAACATGACAGCAAATACTGAAAACACAGACCATGTAATTTACAATACCCTCTCTACACAGATACGTTTGATTAACTCTAGCAGAGGCAATTTTTCATTGCAGGGATGTTGTACGCTGTGCCAGCTGCGACCTTTAAAACGCAACAACAACTGCTCAGTCTCCCGACACAAATTTTCCACATTTAAACAAAATTTAAAATATAAAAAGAAAAGAAAACAAAGCACAAGACTAGATGGAGTTAATTTAGTGCTGTTTTTAAACCACCACCTGTTTCCTCCATTAAATTAGGATTTTAGAGATCAAAGTATTAAACTGATTTATGCAACATTCACTTTTTGTGCCTAGATTTCATGGAAAAGCTGCTCGCTTAGATACATTTCAGAAGTCTTGAATTGTAATCAGATGTGAAGTAGTTTGTATATAAACTTCATAATCCGACCTGTTGAAGAAGCTCGTGTGTTGTCAAAAAAGCAAAAATTGTTCAAGGATCGAGAGAGCCTGATATTTCTCCATTTTCATGTATGTGAAAAGCCTGGCCAAATTATGGGACAAGAAAAGAGTACTGATTATTATTTTCATCCAGGTTTCATATCAATCACCCAGCTGTGTTAAATATCTTGGTAACACTTAACTTGATGCTTAGCTCTATAACGCAGTCATAATATATTTATAATGTGTTATAGCACTGTATGATTATAGTTACAAACACTCATAAATGATCATAATGCTTTATAGCAATAATCATAACACATTATAAAGCGATTTATCATTACTTACAAGGTCAGGTATTATAATGTGTTATAACTGTTAACAGTTGCATTGCATTATCTATGTGGGCTTTGTCAGTGAGTTGTTAACAGTTATAACACATTATAATACCTGACCTTGTAAGTCACGATAAAATGCTTTATAATGTGTTGTGATTATTGCTATAAAGCATTATGATCATTTATGAGTGTTTGTAACTATAGTTATACAGTGCTGTAACGTGATTATAACGCATTATAAATATATTATTAATGCGTTATAGATATTCTGGCTAGTTATTGACCCTCAGCCCATGATTAGGGAGTGATATATCGGTTATACTGTGAATCAGATGATAAAAGGGATACATCAGCAAGATTTAAAGGGCATAGTTAGTTTGTTTTTAAATTAGGATGTATGAGGCACTTGTGAATTAGGAGTATCAGCCAGCCCCACCCCTTTGTTGAGAAAGTGGCTGAGAAACTGGACCAGAAGCTAGACCATCACTGCTACAGACAGGGCCAGATCTACCACTTAATTTAGGTAATTTAAACAAACTCTAACCAAAACACCAATCTTGATGTCAATGTAAACTATATTGGGAGATTTATGAGTGCAATATTTTGCTGTCAGAAAGCCCATTTGTACATAAATGCTGTTCCACCTATTAACAATTGTTTCACATTGTTAAAATGGACTTAAAAACTGTTATATATACGCGTATAAAGAAAATTGAAATGTCAAACTTGTTTTTGTGACGAGTATTTAAAAGTTGCTTTGGCTATTTTTCAAAGAAGCTGGTTTGAAAATTGAGCTAAAAGTGACACTAAATCATTTTTTGATGTTTGTTTTGAAAGGTGCAATTTTCCTACCCTGGTCAGAGAATACATATTTCACAGAGGATAGCATTTAATGCTTTCTGCTGCCAACTTACTGTCATACACTGATCACAAAAATGTATTCCCAGAAAATCATTTCAACAAATACAAAAAGCTGCAAAAGTTAAACTTTTTGAGTGATGTCATAAATGTACTACTTTATCATGCTGTATTTGTTATTTCTAAGTATGTGCCAGCATGTTATTCAAATTCCACATGTAAGTAAAGTTTACCAAACAGCAATTATGTATGGATTGTACGACCAGTCAGGTCCATTTATTTTCCAGGGCTGCTGTTAATACAGCCATCTGGCAGGGGGGGTAGAGAGGTTGGATGTGAGAGGAGTTTCAAGGACAGGTGAAAAGAGGCGAGTGGAGAGGCCTTCACAGTGTTTGCAGTTCTTGCCCTACCTGATGTTTCTGCTGTTGCTTAAAGGTAATTACAAATGTAGAGGCTGTTACCGGTCTGCATATTGATTGTGATAAATCTAAGTATTTTTGCTTAAAGGTTGGAGGTTACTAATAAGATGGCAAGAAAATCGACTGAGTTCTTCTGCAATAAATTCTGTATAAAAATGCCCAGTATTGTTTTTTCATTGACCTTCAGTGAAATTAGTAACTTTGGAGCTAGAAGTGACAGTATTAGACGCATGTGGTCCACTCACAGTTTGCTTAGCACACATCTGAGGTACTGGGCGAGTGGCATTTTAGCCAAAAGAAATGGTCTATTCTACAGAAATTCCTATAACCATTTAAAGTGGACAGTTAAAGCTAATCTGAGACAGTCAGCCACAAAGAATCAAGATGGTAGTCGCATGTGGTCCACTCACAGTTTGCTTAGCACACACTCTTGCTGAACAGTGATTCAACTAAGGCATAATTTACCAAATAATGAAATACAGGTCTATTCTACAGAAATTCCTCCCATAACCATTTAAAGTGGAGTTCTCAGTGGGAAAAAGCCAACAGCAATCTTAAATCTGAGAAACAGGCAGCCACAAGGAATCAATGTAGGCCGATGGGAAGAACTGAGCAAGCGAAAAAAACAGGTATGGATTTCTAGGCGAGTAACATCGATACAGAGAGACGTTACCACCTTTACATTAGCTAGCTCAGTCCTCACTTACACAGTTGACAAGCAGCAGTCTTGACAAGAGCCAGAGTCTAATTGAGAACAACGTTTTTGTAGGGTATGGAAATTTTGAGGTTTTTTCATTTTAATTCCCAGACACTTTATGAAGTATATGACAAAATATTTGCTGTTTTCTTCTTTACCAAAAAAATACAGAAATTGGTTGTCTGCCCACTAAGAGGGATAAGGAATAGACAAAATATTAAGCCGGACTCAGATGACAGATCCTGCTGTTTGCCAAACAAAAGTATAATTGTGATAGTTGTGATTAACGCCTGTTAGCTAGCATGTTAGCTTGAAGTAGCTGTCGTTAAAGAAGCATTGGTGACTTAGAAAGATCCTATAATTTCTGCTGAGTTTTCAGTATTTGATTGTAGCCTTGAATAGGAAGGAAGCTAAGGATCTAGTTTGCAACCAAATACGGAACCATTTTAACACTGCAAGCATGTTAGCATGTGATTGTTGTTTCTTTAGATGTCTTTGCCAATGCTGTTTTGTGGCGGACACAGTTTGGCTAAAAGTTTTTTTTCGTAAAACAATCGAGCTTAAAGAGGCAACTTTCGATTTCAGATCCAAGTGTCTGCAAACTCACTGCATAGCTACTTTACGGTCCACTTAGATACAAGTCAGTACACTTGAAGGGAGACATCTTTAGGGACATGCACTTTAAGAACAACACATTTTCAGTGGAGAGGATCATACTTTTTCTCTTTGTTTTCTTTGCCCCATATTGATTTTTTCCGCTCTCAGGTTGCAGCTGTAACTGTACCTGAAGGCAACACTATGCAAACAGGAAAGAAAAAGGGAAGAAACTCCCCACCCCTCCTCTAACTCTGCTGTTCTCTGTGCTGCAGCAATCAGGAGAGAAGACAAGCCACGTCCTGAAAGTCAGGGGAGCCTTCATCCTCCTCCTCCTCCTCTTCCTCCTCCTCATTCTCCTTGCAGACTGCACGGAAGGTCTGTTTCCATGACAACGGGAGAATTAAGGGCGAAGGAGCACCATCCTAAAATGACACATCGGATTTAGGGGCTAGTGTGAAGATAAATCACCCCCAGTGAATTGATAAAAGGAAACAGATTTATTTTCTGAATTTGCTCCGTGTGAAAATCCGTGTTGATGGATTTAGTTTGTCGGCTCATCCTGCTGCATCGCTTGTTGCTGCAGAGTGACATTAATACAACAGATGTACACAACAGCTGTCAGCCGCACTTAACACACTGAATCAATCACTGCGTAGGTGAAAGTTTTTGATAACATAGTCTTTATTCTTAAACAATCACTAACTTCATTCTGATTTTTTATAATCAATGCATATTTTTTATTTCATCTCACAATTCATAATGCATATATGAGTGAGTTCCAATGCAGTGAAATCATCTGCAAACATAAAAATAATCAACTATACTTAACATCATGTACAACCAAAGCCCTCGCTCACTCTTTCATACATCAATAACCCCCCAGAAAGTGCATTCCTTTACTGCTTTGTCACGTCAGCTATTTTTACCTCCTCTCATCCTTAAATCCTCTCATTCTGCTGTCAACGGTTGACATCGAGTACATCCAATTACATGCATTGCTGTAAGTCCACATGTATCTCATTTACGCAAATATAAACCTCTATAAAAAAGATTCTTATATATGCTGGTCTCGCCTGCTGACTTTCAGAGTCTGATTTACTGTATGTGTCACTGGTTTGCTGTAGGTGGTGTGGAAGTTGAACTAATCTATTGTTAGTATCTGCATGTAAATTGCTCCACTTACAGACCCAACCCCCAGGTGGAAGACCTTCCAAGATCCATTGTGATACATCATTTCGGTTTGCTCTGTGCCACTGAAAGTGTGCTATTTACTGTACATACCACCAATTTGGCGTATGATTTTCATCCAGGTATAGGAGAGATGTATTAACTCGTTGCATAAAATGTTTTGACCTACTTCCCCTTAGTTCAAATCAATCTTTTTTTAATCTTTCACCTCAGAATCACACCTTTGTAACATCAACTCTTACAGTCATGCGATATTCATGCTTTGTCTCAGCACTCATTAATCCACCTCGGCCCTCCTTACCTGGCTGGGCTTAGCTGTACATCACCGTTATTAATAAAAGAACATTAACTCCATCCTAAATGTCACACTGGAGGCCAGGCTTTGTGCAACGGGTGCTGGGCAGCAAGCGGCCAAGCCTTCATGTCTGGCCCCATTCACGAAACAATTGTAGGACTTCCTGAGTTAGACGAACAAATAGGGGATTAGGAATGAGCCACACAGCACACACGGTGGCGTACGCCGTGTACCACTCAATTCACCTTGTTTATAAAGCCCTGTCAGCGTGTTGATTTATGAAAGAGAAGCTTTCCTCCACAATGCAGCGAATGGCTCATTTCATGGGTCACAAAACCAGGGGGGGATGGAGAGTGTATGGATTACCATGTCAGAGAAAACAAACAGTGAGATATTCTCACCGGAAAGATAAATCATCCTCCCTGAACCTGGCTTAATCCAGATTAACTGGTTCCTCAATGAGACATTCTGCGATCATTATGATGAGAAAGTCTAAATGATTGTGTCTTTACTAGGTAAATATCAACATGTCAGGTCAGTGAATTATTAAACAGTCAGGCACCCTGTCCACCAGTGTTGAGAAAACTTAAATTCTTATATGATAAAAGTAACAGAAAAAGAGCGTCCTCAAAAATAGTCAACAAATCTTTTCTGCTAAGCCTGCTGAAACAACATTCATCTTTCTTTCCCCTCCAAACCTGCAGAAGTCCTTTATCTTGGACTAATTATTCATTGATATAGTTCAGAAGCCTGAATATTGTCATAATTATCCTTTAAGAGTTGTAACCTAACTTACAGCAAAGGAGTTTGTGTCGAGTTTCTCTTGAGGTGCAAATGTGAAGGGACATTTTTGGCCATGGCTCATAGTGCTGATGCTGGTTTTCTTCCTCTCAGCTTTTGGAGAGAGAATACATTTTGCCATATTTGACAAATTTGAACATATCTTTACTTCCAACCTAATAATAATTACAAATACCAAGAGTATAATGAAGCTTTGTTAAAACCACAGATTCAAACTTTTACCTACATATTTGACTTTCTTTGTAAGCTTCCTCTGAAAACACACTAACATTAATGTGCCATCAGCTTGTTATTACTACTGGTAAGAGACATACTAGACTGCTCTCAGATATATTGCTTGTATCAGTCCCATCCTGCCATTACAGAACAACATATGGGAATTCGCGCTAGAGAATTTAAAACAGCCTTAATCATCCTATAAGTCATTGGTTACACTTACAGTACACACCTGAGTTTACTACATTCCCCCCTTAAGCGCTCTGTTTCCGCTGGAGTTTAACACAGATAACACCAAATACATTCAGTCTTACCCTCACACCAGAGCAGCTTAGTGTGACAGTGCGTTCAAGATTGAAATTTGTAAAGGAAAAGATAAAGAGTTATTGGAAAAATAATTTCTAGTTTGAAAAAAACAAACAAAAAAACAAAACAAATAAAAACGCCAGGTTAACCATGACAGTAACTGGGATGACGAGATCAACGATTTGGAAATGATGGTGATGATGACATAGTTATTACTGACAACAATAAAGCAGATGAGAGTGGGAAACCAATGTATGAAACTTGAACATGTATTAAAGCTTGTTTTTCACAGCATAAATTGAAAATGATAGATATTTGTATTTGTGTGAAGAGAGACCACCATTCCTTTGTTTATCACAGCTTTTTCTCTTTTTTGCATAAAATGTTGGTCAAGTCCTGATTGAAAATGTTTTTCTTTCATATATATATATCTCCTCTGGTTTCATAGTAATTCATCTAAAAGGTTTTCACAGGCAAGAGTTCAGTTTTGTATTATTTTTTTTGTCTTAGTTGTACAGTTATAGCTCCTCCTCGTTGCAACGCCCACTTCCTTTTCAGGGGATTGCGGCGCGTAATTTCGGGGGGGGACAGTGAGTTTTCCTATGGCCCCTGCCTCTGAGTCAGGTATAGGCCACTCCCCCAGCTGGAAAGCCCCTCCCCTGCTGCTATGTGGAGTCCTGATTGACAGCTTTCCCTCCGTTCATGGTGGGAGTCCCTGAGCTCTTCCTGGAGCGGTGCTTCTCCTCTATCTCATGCAGCGACGGCTCCCTGTACATACAAACTGTGGCAGAGATGTAAAGAGAAGAAAGGAGAGGGAGGGAAGGAGAGGAGACGAGAGGACAAAGAGAGGAGGAGCTCAGAGAGGGGACAATGGAGAGCAGATTGGGGAGATGGATGTGAAGACAAAGACAAGGTCAGGTGTGAGGCAGGAGGGACAATTATACCAGGCTGGGAGGGAAAGGACAGAGAATTAGGTCATGTCAGCACTTTTTTTATTGCATTTCATGATAGGGTTTTCAAGATAATATCTATTACACATTGCTCTTACTAGCAACGTATTAGAGGTGCTATAGAACAAGTATTCTTCATGAATCTGATATCTCTAAGACTGACGGAACAATAACCATTTAAACAATAGTTTAACATTTTGAAAACGTATTACTTCGATTCTTTTTCCTTATCGAGATTAAAAGACATCACATCGAGGGCGAAATTGAGGTGATAGCTAGCATTTAGTTTGCTTAACATTAAGATTGGAAACAGTTCAAAGCTTGTCTGGTCCTGCAACAAGCCTCTTAATCTCATTGTAAATCGAACTATAACATCCAAACATCAAACTTTTACTTAATTAAAGCTAGCACCACCAGCTTTCAGTCCGACTTGCAGGTTATTGATCACATGCCTGTGCTGGTTTTGCATTGCTCTAGTGGAGTGGTTATATGCAAGTTTAACTAGACAGAAAATTATATCTTTATTTTCTAGATCAAAATATTGCCAAACCACACACTCTGCAAGGTGACATCTATGCTTAACATAGAGCACCATTTAAATGATTGCAATAATAAAACATAATAGTAGTTAGTTTAACCAAGATTATTTCTGGTCCTGATCAGTAGTGGTGACAGCGTTTGATTGTTAAGTCTACCAAACTCAAACATCTCTCACTAACATATGAAGATTCTGAGATGTTGGTAGATCTGCTGGTTGTTTCTTCACTGCGGTTTAACTGATAAGTTTAAACCTGCTGCTTGTTGCAGCTTCATTTTAAAAGTCGTTTTGGTAACACTTTATTTGATGCCTATCTCTATAACGCATTATAAATACATGTATAATGCATTATAATCACATTATAGCACTATATAACTATAGTTATAAACACTCATAAATGATCATAATGTTTTATAGCAATAATCATAACACATTATAAAGCGTTAAATCATTACTTACAAGGTCAGGTATAGTAATGTGCTATAACTGTTAACAACTCACTGACAATGCCCACATAGATAATGCAATGCAACTGTTGTTAACAGTTATAACACATTATAATACCTGACCTTGTAAGTAATGATAAATCGCTTTATAATGTGTTATGATTATTGCTACAAAGCATTAGGATCATTTATGAGGGTTTATAACTATAGTTTTACAGTGCTATAACGTGATTATAACACATTATATCTATATTTATAATGCGTTATAGAGATAGGCATCAAGTAAAGTGTTACCATCGGTTTCCTTAACTATTCATTATTTGATTAAGAAAACTACAGGCTTGTATTTCACTCCGGTTCTTATGCGCATTTTCAATTTTAAAATGTAAATAAATCACAAGACTTAAGTCTTTGAATAGTACATTTGTACTTAAAACTAAATCTATTCTGAAACTACTCCATAAGTTGTTGTTCTTCTCTGTCCGCTTCTGCTCTTCAGTTTCAGTAATGAAACTTTTAAAGGTATGAAAATCTATTTCTTATATGAAAAAAGTGAGCAAACAAAAAGTGTTATTGTTGGAGTTCATCCAGAAAACTCTCTAAGGGGTACAGCAATCTCCAACACAATAAATGTTTGAACCAAATGTTCTGACCTGTTTTCAAGAGTGATTATAAGTACAGAAACCCCTTTTGATATCAAACAGGAAGTTAGAAATGTTTGTGCTTTTCCCAAAAATATTTTTCCCTTACCTTCAATGGGCCTTGGAACAAAGTGTGACGAGGGCTTGGTCTTTTTGACCCGGTTGCCCTTCATGACTTGGCCCTCCTTGGTGAGGCCTAGGAACCAGGCGCGGCCCGACTCCTGCTGCCGATACACAGTGGACGAGTAGATCACATAGTAGTTTTCGAAAACAGACTCCTTGAACTTGCACTCTGGCGTGAACATCTCCTGCAAAGCGACAGACAGATATAGATACATCATGTGCATGACGGTTTGCATACTAATAAAGCTGTCAAGTGAGTCAAAGCATGCACACACACACACACTCACAAAATTAAGTCTTGTTGTGTATATATATATAAATATCACAGACACACGGAGGCATAACAATCTCTGAAACAGATGACTGATTTTAATAAAGTCTGGTTTCAGGGGGGGAAAAAAAGCTGTGTCTGTGTCACTCTGCCAATATTGGCTCCCTTCGTGGGCATGTGTGTTTTGCCAAGGTCAGTAAACATACCATATTAATGTGCGCACACATACAGACACACACACATTTCTACACTAACAAAAGTGGACTGTCAGGCTCTCCTTACCGAGTCAAGACAAGGATATAACAGAAACCTGCCTCTATAAGAACCGCAGGCTGCATTTAATGTCTGTCTGTAAAGAAGGAGCCTTCGAAAAACCTCAGTGGGACCGTCTGTATCTGTTCTTTTAATGAGTGTTAATGCAAAGTCTTTTTTTTTATTCATTTAAATTAAAGAAATCAGTCTAGTTTTGCCTTCGGTTTAAGGAAAGTTAACTTTTTTGGCTTTGTTTACATAAAATAAATTCTTAAAGAAGACTCACACACACACACACCTGAGTATTAAGACTGATTGCCGTATTAGAATAGGAGCGAACAGTGGAAGATGTTTATCTCTCTGCTTCATTATCAAAGCAGTGAGTCAAGGAGAAAGTCAAGGGGACACTCACCCACACGCAGGAGGTGGGGAAGGGGGACAGAAAAACTGGAAAAGGACCAGATATTGGACACAATGTCAAGACTGAGTGCAGCGCCAGATTGTTGCCATGACATCTGATAAAACTAGAGGCGAAACAAAGTTAACTGCCTCTAACCCATGGAAAAAGTAAAGTGCAATGATTTTAGTGACTGGTTCATTTTGAAGAAGATAATGGTGTCACTGACTCTTAGATAAGAAGGAAATTGTGTCTTGACTCTATACTTGTATCTAAATCTTAATAAAGCAGGTGAGCTCATTAACATACGCCGACAAGGTGGCTGCCAAATCTCATCACCCTTACCACCCATCTCTGCTCCCTCCCTGTCTGAGCACTTCCTGTCTGAAAGAGGCTAAATTAAAAACTAACGCCAGTCAGCTTGAAGGGCGGGGAAGTCGTGTGTGTCATAAATAGATGTGGTTGATGTGGAACAGCTGGCTTGGTTAATGCTGTGCTGTCTGGGTTGAGGCGGGCCTTTTAACGTACGTGTGTGTGTGTGTGTGGGTGTCGGTGCTGTATTTCATTCATTAATATCTCCTGCAGGGTCCTGTGCCCTTTTAAGGCTGTCCATTTGACTGACAGCCCAATTCTGCTTCCTGCTGGAGGTGACTGTTTACGCGTTTGTGAGGCATATGCTTGTCGGTGCGTGTTAGACAGAGATAGAGAGCAATGGGGCCTTTAGGAGTGAAAAGAACAAAAATGAAGGACAGAGTTAGAAAATTTATGTGGACGGTTTGGGTCATCCAAATGGCAAACAAAAGAAACCTGAGGTGTTGTCTGGTCCAGTCAAGCTTACAGGTTTGACTTTATTTATCTGTCTCCAATTTCTGTGGCGTGCCAGGTGTGTATTGATAAAGGTCATCACAAAGTATGGCTTAAGTCCACCTTATACAGTTCATATGGCATAACTCTAATAAATAGCTTATTTACATGTCCAACATGAACGAAGCCTGGGTCTATTCAAGTTGGCAGTGATGGTTGGTAGTGATCATCAATCATTGGTCGTTTATGTGACTGATCAGTTTGCTATGTATGAGGATAAGTGCGTAATGGGAAGGGTGTCCTCTCTGAGTACTCATCCTTTTCTAAGAACAGGAAAATATTGAAGATATTTCAAATTGGCAGGTCTTTTCAGCAAATAAATGTAGCCAACACTAATATTTACTTTTCCCTTTGGCTTCTTTTGAACTTGTAAAAATCATACTTACTTCCGAACCCAGCCTGCTTAGTGTTTGAAACAGCGTTCAGCCTGTGTATCTGAGCCTAAAAACAGTGACTCAAACGCCAATACCTACCTCCTTTTCACCTAAAAAGCTTTCTTAGTACCATTATTTATATGTATTTAGGTTGCTTATGTGGTATTTTTAGTCTGCAAGAGTTGTGTGGTCGAGCTTTTAATGATCAGGAGCTTCGTTGGAATCATCTGCCACTTAGATAATAATCTAGGAGGTCGATTAAAGGTCAACCAATTACTGTTTTTCTATGGCTGGCGACAGATTATGAGAGAGCGGGTCAGTTGCCAATATGTAATGCTGATATCAAGGTGTTTTTTTCTTCTATGTTTTTGCATTGGACAAAAAACAATAACTTAATAACACTGAGTAATGCCAAAATTGATACATTTTCATGAATATTTAATCAAATTAATGTAGTTGGAAAAATATTTGGTTCAGTAAATTATTGCCACAAGGGAATTTTGAGTTTTTGCTCAGCTTTGTGAAATTGCTTAGAAAGTATAATTAAAATATGATATGAATATTAAAATTTAAATACCAATCAGAAAAAAGCTTTTTGTTTTTTCCATGAAAATTAAAACCTGATACATATGGTAATCTCAGCTGCTTTAGATGGACTTTTTAATGAATCAATGGAAAAGACAAATAATAGTTTATGCTATAGATTTCAGAACATGGTGGATTTTGTTGTCAATACTTAACAGGGTTATTTTATATATCATAACATAGTTTAGATAGTGTTTTAGATTTGATATGCTGTCACTGGGGATTAGGAAAAAATAGTATTTTCATTCAGAGAAGGTGATGGTGATATCGGCTATGTGAAGGTCGATGCCGATGAGACGCCGGTCTTGTCAAAAAGCTGTTAATCTGCCCCCCCATCTCTGTTTCAAATGTTCCTTTTTGATTAAACTTGGGTCTGGTCCAGGTTTGCTGAGGACCAGTCCCTAGAGATACTGCTTTATGCTTAGCCTGCTTGTGAGTTTGACACTTGACATTTCTGTTTCTCGTGACCTTTATGGTCCTTTCATACATTTTACTAACTCTGTACATTTCCTCGTGTTTTTGTGCTAGCTTGTCTCACCAGATTCATGTGAATTGTTGATGTATCACTTGCTTCTGGGGCTCTACTCTTTTTTAACCGCTATCTTCTAAGTCTGCGTTATCTAATGTAATGTTTGCTACTGTCCTTAACAATATGTCTCCTCGCTCTTTCTGTCTTGTCCCCTATCTGCTTTTTCGGGCGTCTAGTTGTGGCAGAAGCTGTCCTGAAGCTGTTTTGAGGAAATGTTTTCCTTGCTGCTGTTTCAAAGAGTGGATTTTTTTCTCCCCGACTAACATAATAAAGCATACCTGCTTTCAATGTAGTAACTTCTGTGTTGATTTGAAGCTATAAATGCTTGGTTAAGTGAGGGTACAGAGCTCAGTGATACTCCTCTGTGGGTCTGCATGTATAGGCAAAACCTTTCATATTACACCTGACATCTAATCCATAGTTCATGTAAAAATATTGATTGGTGTAGGTTAAAGCTCCACATACACACCACCTCTGTACAAGGAGTACCTGAGTATGCGTGTCTTAACTCACATGACACACCACTGCTCTGTAAATTGAGTCACAGCATTTATGACCATCCATTTTAAGACACAGCGGTGGATAGCAGGTTGTGAAAAGGACTCCGGGAAGGTGAGGTCAGATAGTTGGCGATGTGGAAACGTCCCGCTAGTCAGCAGGAGGCAGGACAAGCTCCTGGGAGGGCTGGCAGTCGAGTTTATCTGGCCTGCTGACACACTGTCAAGCAGGAGATGTCTCTCTCTCTCTCTCTCTGGCAGGGTGCCGGGGGTCACGTCGAGCCTGTCTGGCCGCGTGTGTGTTTGCGCGTGAACATATGTGTTTGAGTGGGCAGGGGGCAGACAGTGATACATTACACACCAGCAGGCTTTGTCCCTTCTTCATCCGTCTGGAGCCGAAATCAGGCCGAGAACTCACACACACCCACACAAGCGCATCAATGTGCTCTGCTATCTTACCCTTACCAATCCAACAGTCTGCTCTGCTGACACGCTGAAGAATCCCCTCCAAATTTTTTCACAAGGGCAATACTCTGTTATTGTCTACGAGGAGGCTCGGAGCAGTTTAGAAAGCACCCTGGCAGTAGCTTAGGAATGACAGGGGTGAAATCTAAGTGACTTTGAAGTCTTTGACAGAGTGTCTTGTTTGTGGATGACTGAGTAGAAATATGGGGTGAAGAGATGAGGTCGGAGTCTCTCGTGATTAATGAGATCTCCTTAATGGACACACAGGCACCACTCTAGCGCACACAGGGGAGGAAAAGCGCAGAAACACACATCCTCGAACAGACACCTGCACAGGCTAACTCAATGAAACACACATGCGGTTCATTAAAATGCACACCAACAGGTTTACCCTGTCTTTTCCTCTGCCAAAAATACCCAATCAGCCCTGTTGATACCCTCGCAGAAGCAGGGAAAATTAAACCAAGACGTGCCACAATTCAGGACTGTGCTTAGTGATTGTAAACTGATTACAAGGACGCCTATTTATATTCTGTGTCCATGTGAAGGAGAAAGGGCGAAGGACTTGTAAGTGAAACTGCGCATGTGAGACGGCCACTCTCTGGCATTAGGGGTCACAGCAGGAGGCGAAAGATAAATAAACCCACGGGGGTTCACCTGATGCCTGGAGAGCAAGCAAACAGGGATGGTGTACAAGTATTTTAGCAGTTTCAGCACACAATGTACATATTGTCACCCTATTAAAATAATGGCCTAAGTAATTTTTTGATGAAAATTAGTATTTGACCTAAATCATCTCTTGAAAAGGCTGGCCATCCCTGATAAAATCAAGGACACCTTGATCGGCATGATCGTGGCAACCTGATCATACCATGATCCTTTCAACTTAAGATTTAAGCGATTTTACTAGAGACGGTCAGCATTATCAAGAAATTATTTAGGCCAAATACATTATTTTAATAGGGTGACAGATTTAAACAAAAAAAGTGGACATATGATTTACTACAGGCGCTGATCTTAAATTAATATCAGACAGGGTACACTCTGTTTTTTTTACTAACGGTGATGCAGGGGGCAGCACTACTCACCTGAAGTGAGTCTGTAGTGGATAAGAGTCATTAAAAAATGGCAAACCACATTTTTAAGACCGACTTCAACTGTCAGATTGATATGGGGAGCCTCAAGTATTTGGGTGTTGTTGGACTGATTTGCTCTGTCCCTGTCAAACTGATCTTAGACCTCACACTGATGCAATCTTAAAGATGGTACAGCAAAGACTGCCCTTTTTTATTAGAAAACAATTCTTTTAGTGTTCCCACTAAGTTCATGACTCTCAAATATACCTGCATGATTTGGAATCCTAAACTTGAACAATATATAAAAATATACTTAAAAGTCATCTCAGGAGGTGCGAGGCCAGGCCTCTGACTGTTTTGAACGGGCAAGTCCTTCAAGCTGACACTACACTAAATCCTTTACCTGAGAGGGAGTTTCACCTCTTGTCCTCAGGCTATCATTTCAGGGCACTGGTGCAGAAGGCTGATTAAGTAAACACACATCCATGTCTTGTTTATTTAAAGTGCAATTCATTTGCATGATGGCAATCAAACTAAAGTTCCTTTGCTATCTTGACAAATTTCTCTGATTTGACTGTAGATGTTAATATTGATCTTTGGTTTTAATTGGGTCTGATTTTACCGTGAATGTCTTCCTTGTGTGTCATATCATCATGTGTGCTCCTGTTTCTAAAAATCTGCTTCACAACCTGAACCAATGGTGTGGCCATCTTGGAACCCACTGGTGACGCAAACTTTCTTTATAGTTCCTTTATACCACTTACATTAGGCTTCAATGTAGAACTGTCTATACAAAAACAGAAAATAAAATCAAGTAAGTGTGTAGAGGTACAGCAGGCAACAAAGGTGACTGACGACTGATGGATCTAAGTTCAGTGTTTCTACCTCCACCGTGAAGCTGTTCTACCAAGTCTATAAACAACAGCTACATCCCCGTCACTTACACATTATGAGTGATTGGATTGTGGGAGCTTGTGCAAAGTGTAAAGGGTAAGGTGTAGGAAAAGTGAATGACAAAGTAAGAGAGCCGGCTGTTATGGATATGAAACTGGGTTGCCAACAGAACTGGGTTGAACGCATCCTGAATCCAAATCAGATAGCCGCTCCATCTGTAAAGGGAGGCAGTTCTTTGGCTCTGCATTAAGGAGCCCTGCTGCTTCCACAGGCGTCCTTTGACTTTGGAGAAAGATGTGGAGGATATCAAAGGTAGGGGGTAGAGGGGCTCCATTTAAATATGGGCCTGAGCCATTGGTGTATCAGAAAGACTTGGCCCTGGTGAGGATCCCGGACCTGTCATGGAACTCCCGGGAAGCTCATTATTATTCTGGGAGAGATACAGGCCAGGGATTGTCTAGACATTACTTAAACCCCAAAACTCTTTCTCAATTTTTCATTCCCGTCCTCCTCTCTCCCTGTTTATCTTTATCTCTATTTCACCCTGAAAGTCAATCACTTTCAGACAAGGTTTTGTCCTTCTCCTTGACTTCCCTCGAGGGAACATTGATGGTTCATATCCAAAAAAATCAAATCACAACACATGCAACTGTGTCAAATCTAGATGGAAAAAAACCTCATTACCTAAACCTTTTCTTCTTTCTGTATTCATCTTTTTTTCTATTTTCTTGGTCCCTGTCCTTTTGTGTTTTCCCTCCCTCTTTACCTCCATAAAGCTCTCTAAATCCATTTACTGTCATCAGCACTGCCTCTGTGGACAGCTGAATAATGATCAGGTAAACTTTCAAAGCTCAGAATAAAATCAAATTAAAAATTTATGAAAAATCGCTGTCATTGATAAATCCTACAAAAGTGCCAAACACTGTCCATTATCTGCTTCTCAAATTAAAAAGTAACTGTCAACCAAAGCTTTGGAAAAACACAGATTTTCACCACTTTCCATCACTTTCCAGACGAGAATCATTTGTTCATTTGTTACCTAAAAAAAAATCTGCTGACCCAACTTTCTTTTTTAGTTCCTTAAAGTTTTTGATAGAGCACGATGAAAAAATCCTCTTTACCACTTTTGTTCTTAAAGTAGCAAAAAGATGAAGGAAAGGCAGGCAGGGCACAGAGAGACTACTCAAGGAAGCCCTTTGTCATTTGTCACAAGAACAAAACCCGAAGCTCTCCCTGACCTTCCACATCAACCCTCACTCACTCATCTCTCCAGGGTCTTCGCTGAAGGTTTTAGAGCGACACATTACTTTTTCTGTGACATAAATGAGCGCAGTAAAATTAGATGCAGACTGAAAGAAAGAGTAAGAACAGTTTAAAGGCCGCGGGGAACGTGCTACCCTATATGGATGGGTAGAAAGATGAAAGGATGGATTGATGAATAAATGGATAAATGAATTCATGAATGGATTGATATATAAATGGAGAAACTTATGGATAGATGGATGAATAAATGGATGAATGAGTTAATAAGTATATGAATATGACATCCATTGATTTATGATTGATGGATGTAAGAATGGATGGATGATGAGTGGATGAATCAATGGATAGAGAGATGGATGGATGGGTGGGATAAACAGAAATACGGATGTTTATAAATGCATGGATGAACAGTAGTGTGGATAGACAGATAGACTGATGAATTGATCAGTTGGTAGAGGGATGTGTGCATGGATTGATGAATGGATGAATGACTGAATGAATGGATGGGTGGATAGGATGATGGACAGTTGGTTGATTAGAGTAGATTAGATACAACTTTATTCATCCTTTTGGGAAGGTTCCCTTGAAGAAATTAAAAAATAAAACACTTGGGTGGATTCAAAGACAGATACATTGGTGATGGATGATTTCATAGATGGATGGATTGATAATGACGGATGGATGGACAGATGGATAGATGGGTGGATAAATTGATGGATTTAAAATCTGGAAAGATTGGTGACGGATGGTTTCATAGATGGATGGATTTACAGATGCATGATTGAACTTCTAGATCACAGCTCTATCCCGATAGTCAAACAATCTTTTGGCTGAAAGGAGTCTTAGTCGATTTTCTTTTTATGTGTCGGTTATTTGCTGGGTGACAAAAACAGAACAAACTCAAATTTAAAGTTACATCTTCACTGTGGTCTCATCAAAGCTACGGCTACCTATACTGACACACACCAAGAAGGACTTAGTGAATTACAGTATGTCAATGTTCTACATAGATACAACTTACTTGATGCAGTCTGGCAGCTTTGTTTCGGTAAAGTGTGTTCTGCCCTGAGTATCAGTAAAGAAAAGCAAACACGGTCAGGTAGATGCTTTCCATGGGTTGAGTCACAAAGATCAAGACTGACTGTCCATTCAAGGTTGGTACTCGGGTTTTGAAAAAGGCTTGAACTACAGAACCTGCTTAAAGAAACATTACCACCAAGTCCAACGTTGGGTTGAACCTGACTGAATTAAGCTTGAGAAGCAAAGTATGTCCCAGCTTAAGTTCTAGTCTTGAAGACTGGAGTTTGACAAGTGAAACTTTAATTTGAAATGCTTTGTTATTGCTGGTAATGGAGAAAGTTGATGGGTACAAAGAGGGAAGATGTCTCTCAGTGTGTTAATAAAAAGTAATTGAATACATATGTTTGAATTTAAATCATAAGTGTATAGAAAGACTTCAAATCTAGATAGATAGATAGATAGATAGCTAGATAGATAGATAGATAGCTAGATAGATAGCTAGATAGATAGCTAGATAGATAGATAGATAGATAGATAGATAGATAGATAGATAGATAGATAGATAGATAGATAGATAGATAGATAGATAGATAGATAGATAGATAGATAGATAGATAGATAGATAGATAGATAGATAGATAGATAGATAGATAGATAGATGGATGGCAGGTGAATTAATACATGGTTACATAGAAAATAAAGAGATAGAGTGTCGAATAAAGAGAACAGTGGTTACTGCCGCAGTAAACTAGGTCATATTGAGAAGTGTTATAAATAATGGAATGGAGCTCTTCATTGTGGTGCTCAGCCCCCACACACTTCATCACTAAACACTGTGCACAGGCATTATCTCCTGCAAACCAGTGGCTACATTAGCTCCACTTAATGAATTAACATTAATAGTAATACGGCCTGTAAAAGAACATCCAGATACCCGACACGTAGATGAATAACTACAGAAAGTTGTTGCGGCACAACTTCTAAGAACGCACTCAAGAGTGTACAGGGTAAAGCCTGTCACACATCCTCACTAACAAGAAAGCTGCAAAGACTGAGGGAGAAAGTAAAAGAAAAAGAAAGCTGTAGAGCTATGAAGATGTAGGAGGATATCCCTCTGTAATTATCTCCCAGGAGGGGGGTGAGAGAAAGCGAGAGAGATTGAGAGGGAGAGAGGAGCCTTTCTGCTCTCAGACGTTAGGAAGACTAAACAAGACAACAAAAACAAGCAGTGGGAAACTTGATAGCTGGAAGAAGAAACACAATGTAATGGAGACCTTTAAGAAGAGGTAGGAGAGCGAACAGAGGAAGGAGGAGGATAAAAATATGCGTAGTTAATAACAACAGTACATGTGAGTAAATAAGAAGAAATGAAAATGAAGGAGTTGTTTTATAGCTGTGTTTGCGCCAGGAGAGTTGTTATTAAGTGTGAATAAAGAAACGTTCTCTCTTCAGAGTCCTCTAGAAACCCTAATGCACTTCTCTGCGTGTCTATCACATTCATAATCTCTGTTGGTAAATAATGGAAATGAGAGGCAGAAGCGGGGGCTCCGTGTGCTTTCATCCAGCGGTTTGCATATTAATTTAGCCTCTTTATGAGCACTCGGAGGCTCTCCAAGGCTTATATGCCTCTGTGTGATCCATCCTACCACCCTGGGCTCTGCTTACCAATGCATGCTAATTTCCTACGCTCCACATCTGAGAGGCCGGACTTACTCTGTATGACCAGAGACCACTTTTGCTTGCCCTCTTGCTAAAATGCCTTCTGACTAACAACTATTCCCCTTGTAATAGAAAGGTAGAATTGAAGTCGTCCCATTAAAATGATAGTTAAAGTGATTCACAGAGACACACTGAATCACTTCTAATGAACAAAAATTATGTAGACTGACGCTGACGATGATTTCATCCATGGGTGGGAGTCTGCGTAGAGGGGGGGGTCATACTAAATCCCTAACTTTGAATCAATTTCACAAATTAAAAGAATGCTGTCTAGGCACGATTAAAATTTAATTAGACATAGAGATGTGGGTGGAGGGTTATTACAAGCCGTATAGTAGAGCTGTGAATTGAGAGCTTCTTTATGAGCATTAAGTTATGAATGAATCAGTCTACCTGGGTGAGTCATAACAGCCTGCGCATTCATCGCACGTCCCTCTCTGAACCTTGTAGTCCTTATACGTCTGTCAGGCACTGAGTTGTGTTCAAGTTGTACAAAGCAAGGTACTTGTACTTTCTGTCTTCTGAAAACGCACACACCATTCACACCATCGAGTCTGCTTCAAAATCTCCTGTGTAAAACTGGAATCTAACACAGATACAGAGACTGATATGTTGTGTTCAGGGTTTTTTATCTATTTGATTTCCAAAGTCAAAGTACTTTTTAAATGCTTGTGCTCCATAAAAGTAAGTTATTCTTTTATTATAATCGTCCTACAAGTTATTGCTGTTTGAGAGGCAGTTTGTGTTTGTACATTTGAGTCATTTGAAGTGAGACATCAAACATTTTGCTGAGATTTTACCGCAGTTTTTTTCTGATAAATAACCTACAGCTAAGACATACCAGTTCAAATTTTAAAAGTGCTTTGTCAAAGAAATATTCTCTGTTTTTAGGATCATAAACTTTGATGTTCTCAAATATTAAGAACAAAGTATAAAAACTGGAAAACGTATTTGTTTCAACCAGTACAAATACGTATAAACACACTTTCGACAGGCTCTTAAACTATTGTTTGATTTTCTATATTTCTTTCATACGCCCACAGAGGTACTTTGCTTGTATAGAAGCTTATCTTTTCCGGCTTATTGTGCAGTGAGGGTAATCACTTTGTATCCAGACAGATGCACCATAATACAGCTGCTCTGGTTTCAGAATATGATTCCAAAAAAATAAGCCTTTTTTTTTCAAAGACAACTGCACCACAATCTGCTTGATTTTCGAGTGAGGAATTTTGGGGGCTTTTTGTCGATGATCTCCTAATAAAATAGCTGCTTTGGCAATAAAAACTATATATTTGGCAATGCTAGGCAGTATTGAACATCAACTATCAATACAGTTGAACCAAACAAAATGATGTAATGCTGGCAAAGTCTTATTTGGCACTGCATTTTTAATGAGTTCCTTTCAAAAACTTGAAGCACAACGATTTATTTATTTATTTGACCTTCATTTAGCCAGAATAGTCCCACTGGGATCAAAGATTTCTTTTCTTAAGGAGGCCTGGCCAAGAAGGACTTGTTGTTAATATTGATTGCCGTTTAAAGGAAAAGAAATTGAAGTCCAAATGAAGTCAGCTGTTTCACAGGTTCTCTGCGTCATGTGGGAGGGGCTTAAAAATCAGAAGGCTTCTTATTGGATGAACATTTGTAATGCAGGATGACTCATCAACGTTTCCTTCTTTTCTTCACTGAAATCAAAAAGTTCACAAGAAAAGGGAAAAATCCTCTTTTGTATGCCATTGAAACTGAAACTCCAAGTTAAGAAAATAACTTTGAAACTTTTCTGCATTGAGACTGATTTTGATTTAAGCCATCTTTGGACTCTGAGTATGAATAGCTTAAGAAGAATATTGGCAAGTCCAATTCTCTTTTCCTCCGGGTACATAGATTTACTATTTACAGCATTAGTTGCCTTTTTTATAGCTTTTTTTATTTGTTCCTTAACAGCTGACTTTGTTTGTGGTTTGTCTCTCCAGCAGTAAAGCGTCTCCCTTATCAATAAATGTAAGATGCAATATGACAGACCCTTCCTACACCATGTCCTTCACAGATTTTATGAGTATTTTGAGAAAGGAAAAAAAGTTTTATGGGTAGTTTGTGAATTCCAGCTCTTGGCAGACATTTATCAAATCCATCTTGTTCTGAGACCAACTTGGCTAAGTCCCCCAGCAGAGGTTTGAGGGCTACACAGCCGAACCTTCTCTGCCTTTCTTCTTTAACACTTTCATGCACTGGATTTAAAAGCATGAAACTGGAGGTTACATAATCGTGCCAGCTAGGGATATCTCCCTGTCCCTTTATCTCTGCGTATGCCCCAACCCCATTTCCCTCACATGCTCTCCCCCACTGCAACTCATTTCCACTAACATGCTCTAAAAGCATCTTCAAGTGCAACAGCTACAACTCCGGCTGACATCTGTGACTGTGTCCACCCCCATTTGTGCACCTTCTACCCACACTAGCCTATACTTTCATTTCTTAACACTGTAAATAAAACATCCGTGCAACACAATATTCACTCCCCCACTGAGCCTTTAAAAGACTTCTTTGAAACTGGAAGGAGTATTTCTGCTAATGTGGTGAGACTTCGCTTTTTCCAGGCTCAGAGCGAGGCTTTTGTAATCTTAAAAAAACGTTGCTTCAAATTCCTGTAAAAACATGTACACCAGGATCAAATGAGAGCTTTGACAATTCATGCTGCATTAAAAAGACAGTGATTTTTTTTTCTTTTAGAGCAGCATGCTACAACACAGAAACAGTCCTGAGATGACACCGAGTGAGGCAAGAACGTCACATCAAAAGAGGAAGAAATTCAGAGGGAATGTCTCTTTATGGCTTCCACATAACGAGCCTGCGTTAGTAGCCCATGAAATAAGGAGAGGTAATTTTAAAAAGGGCTGAGCACTGAACTTGATGTCAAATTAAATGTAAAACATGCACGGTGTTGCTTCAACAACAAAGAGGGGGGGAATAAGTGCTGCACGGCAACACAAAGGCACATCTGAAGAGCTCTCGAATAGAGCCGAGATGAAAGGGTTTAAAGGGCTGAGTCTGTGCTGCAGCAGGATATTAGGAGTGACAACAAACTGAACAAAATACAACATGTGTAAGTGAACAAATGCACAAATGTACTCCGGTACGCAACATAACGGTGACTTACCGAGCTGTAAAGCATGCCCTCGCCGTTCATGGCAATGTAGAAGCCACTCTTCACTCCTTGGATGGCCACCACTCTCAGACCCACAGGAATAAGATTAAACAGGGCTGCAGAGACAAAGAGAAGAGGGGAGAGAGAGTCAGAGGGATGGGTTTAAGAAGGGACAACAAAAAAGGGACACATCAGAGAGAGAGAAGACAAAACAGGACGATGGAGTATTCACTTAACTCTTGTAGACATGACAGTTTCTGATCTCTGTTCTGTGGCTTTCTGTCAGCAGTGAATCGAACGGCACAGGACATGGACAATGTGAACTCTGCTGCACCAGAGTGTGAAGGATAAGCTTTAATGTTTCACCTGAAAACTCAAACTTTCTGGTGGAAGATAGCTAAATTGAATAAAGAAAGTGTGCCGGGAACCCAGAGAGCACACTTACTTTGTTTGACAGCATTTTTATTGCTTATTTAAAACAGCTCATGTCAATTTTAAATGCAAACACTCTGATATGTCCAGATATTAGTGTTACTGTCTTGCAAAGTAACCCTCTGTCATGTTAAATATTTATGACGGGCTCATTAGAATGGAAATATAAATCATGTTAGCCTGTGGTCTATTTTTCGTCCCTTTGGCAATGAGCAGTAACTCCACAAAAAGGTTTCTTTTTCTCCATATTTTACTATGAAGGTCAGGGTACAGACAAACAATGAAGAAATGTTTTACATCACTTTTTAATGCTGCAACACAAGCAAACATCCTCCAAAGTTCATTTTTAAGCCTAATTTACAAGTAAATTAACCCATGGGTAGACTGAAAGAGTGAGATCAGGGATACCAGGGGGAGAAATAAACTTCCCTTATCTGTAGCTCAGCGTAGAGCCATTGCTTTTTTGCATGATGGTTTGCAGTCTTTTGGAGGCTTTCCAGTCAAGTCAAACCACAGGCTAGACCCTGAAGTTGCCAATACTTCTGAACAGATGAAAACTCGTTACATCATCTTCTCCCAGCAGAGCCCTGCCCGCTTTAAAGCAGTCACATAATCACAGATAAAAGTGCGGGCAGAAATCTCTCATGTTAAAAACCCGAGAATGTAGTAATTTTATGTTCATGCCCAACCCCATCAATCAAAGCACTTAGCCAATTGAGTTAATTGATTTTCCAGGGTCTTGAATGTCTAATGAGGCAAAGTAAAAGTTCAGCCTTGAAACTGGGTATCTTCATGGTGTCTGCACTCATTTTCTTCATCGCTTTGTCTGCTCATGCTTCCGACTCAAATCCAGCAGTAACACTAATCTAAACATGCCATGACCTTCGTGATCCAGCCTCCATTTTCAAAACCGCTCTTCATTACAGCTGGACCCTATTGGGGAGTGTTTTCTGTGTAAGTTGTGGCAAAAGTACCCCTCAAAAATGTAATGTAACAGGGTTCAAAGCGTGTAAGACTTTTTTAGCATCCTTCTTGATAATGTCGTCTTTTTTAATAGCATTCCTTGAGATTGTTTTTTTGATCAAAAATACATACAGTACAATTTTAGACAAGAAATCCCAAATTTTTTGGAGATCGAAAAGGAGTAGGTTGAAGCTATTTAGCTTATATGTACCTACCCTCATTCTTTCCTATTCAGTTACCCTATACATGTCTCCAGAATTTCCTATGTCGCCAAAAAATAGCCAAAGCTCCAAAGGCTAACATGAATAACATCACTAGGGCTGGGTGATAAACCAAAAATTTACCAATACCGAAATTTACGACAATAACCGACGTCATTTTGCTCATGTCAATATATTTGGTGTCAAAAAAATAAATAAAAGTTGGTTTTGGTTGTGCGTAGGTAGGCCATGGTCTCATGTCCCTTTAAGACCTACATTGGAAACGTGACTCCACCCCATCCAGTCCGTAACAAAGAGGGAAAGACAAGTGAGGAGATGGAGGACGGTTCAAAAGTTGGAACGGCGGCTGAAGAAGACAAAGTTAATATGGTAGAGGGTGAGCGGCTTGTGGAGTAGTTATCATCCATTTATCGTTATCGAGGTAAACTGCTCAATATATCATGATATTGATTTGAGACCATATCGCCCAGCCCTACACAACACCCAAGAAATAAAAATCATGACAGCTAAAATACATCTTGGTTTGAACAGAGCGTGGAGCTGACAAAAAAAAAAAAAGATTTCCCACTTATCAATAAAAATGTATTTATTATGGGCTTTGAATTGTCATCAAGATGGTATCAGAAGCTCTAAAATGAGAATGTCTGAAGTAACTACACTTCTTTTCTGATGTTCATACAATCATCTAGACACTTTATCTACACTAGAAACAACAAGTCTAATTTTATTCTGCTTACTGCTCCTAGAAATGAATTCCTGTTATCTCCGGCTGTGCTGTATTGAATCTGAAGACTGAACTGTGACTTTCATGGGCTTTGGTTTAATGAGGGTGCGAGGACACGCTCGAAGCACTGCCGGCTCCGCGTATTGTTGAGATGATTGTTCTGCAAGTGGTGATGGGGACCATCAGATAAGGCTGGCAGGGATGCAAGGAGACGTGCCAACATAGGTCCGTCCTCAGAGCGGATCCAATTTCGCTCAATAAATATCGACAGGCTGCTTTCGCCTGCCAATGGCTTCACTCTGCCCTCAAGCCAGTGGTTCGGGTGACACACCGGCGACTCCTGCAGTTCGACATACCCTTGAGGGCTGGATGTTTGCGGTACAAAGGTGGGGTGTCAGTCCATTAGCACTTTGAATTTTGTTTTCACAGGCTTCTCAGTAGGCTACCCTGTTTTTCATCTTTTCTCTCTTTTTCTATTCTCAGTCATGACTCTCTGTGCGTTCCCTCGCTCGTATTTCTATTTGCCTTTCATGGCTCCTGCTGTTGTCTTTTTCGCTCTGATGACTGGCACTGTCTCCCAGAGGCACAGTCCACAGTTCTGTCACGTATCACTAAAACTCAGGAGAGCTCCACCCTGGAGAACATCCACCTATTTAAACACATTATGTTTTTAGCTGTGCAGCCAGCATTGCAATAGGGGCCCTTAAAAGACTCAGTATAATAAACCATATTTTCCTCTGTGTGGGGGCTTTTATGCAGCACTGCTGTTTTCAGAAATAAAATTAAGTAAACAAAGGAGCCCACAAATTGCAATCATTTCGCTGATTTAATGTTAATCAGTCGCTGAAATTTCAATTTGAAAGAGAAAATCAGGAGGGGCATCAGGCAATACATCAAAATTAAACGACATATTTGATAACTCATGAGCTTGACTCGAACAGATGCAGCCATCCCCTGGATTTTTACTTTTAATTGTACTGCCAGACAGAATATAGAAAATGTATTAGCTTCTGTCAGACATCTGCAAGCGTTAACTCTCAGCTTTGTTCTCATAAACAAGACAGAAAAGGGGCTAATTCTGAATGCTAACTACACAACATTTCAGACTAAATGTGTTTAAGGGATCCAAACAGGTAAGGCGTTCATTTCGACAACAGAAATGAACAGCACCCTCTGGTGATGGGCTGCAGTATAGGTCATAAATCCCGCCTCTGCCAGCAAATTTTATGGAGCTGTGGACAAACTTTAAAAATTTATTACACAGAATATACATTTTTTCGCCCCCTGCTTACGATGTTGACATGTAGTTATTGTAAGACTGGTTTGTGCTCAAGTCCTCTTTTTTCTGTACAGCTCCATTTTGAAAAGTTATTTGGGGTTCATGTTTTCTATGATTGACACTTGATACAGCCTATGGGCGTACAAGGATTGCATAGCTCACCCGGGGGGATACGCTGTTTGAGCTAAGCGTCATCACAGCGACTCTCGGCGACTCTCCCGCCGAATGCGCCCAATGCTACTGCCCAAGTGGTGAAGTGCGTACAAAGCTACTGTGCAATGTTGGTTTCAGGAAATGGAGAAAATAATGCAGAATTACCAAGAGCATTTTGGCTTCAAATCCGTATACTGACGGAAGGCGGAACCAAGTTGTCCATAGTATATACAGTCGATGGTCTGTTGGGAGGCTTGATAGCTACATTAATTGGCTATCTAATATTCTGATTCAACTTGAAGTATGGCCCAATAATTCTACAGATTTCCACAAACCAATATCTTCCCCTGCTAATTATTTATCTACCTTAAATTAAAATTAGTTTTTACCTGGACCATGCTTCACATCACTTGAAATTCAGTGACTTCAAAGGACCAAATCATCTGTGTGAATATGGCCTCTGACTTGACTTGAAAAATGAAAGCAAAGAGACAAAAAATAAGGTTCCTTTATTACTGTAATTACGGTCTGCAGTCCCCATTCCTCATTTATTTGCAGGAACGGTAAACTACTGTCAGGAACTGTCATCCAAAGACCATCTAAACGTCCTGGTTTACTATTTGCAGCTCCGGTAGTTGATAGATTCTATAATTACATCCACACCGACCGCTGACTAGTCTGAAAGCTAACCCTTCTCTCCTAATAACCTCAATTTTATCTCTCACCGGGAAAAAGATAGCAGCTGGGCTTGTTGCAGGGAGAGGTGTGAGATTTCCGGGGATCTTCTATCGTCAAAGGACCAGACAAAATGGGTTCAAACAAGCCAATAAAGGAAAAAGCCCTTCCAGTCAGCTACAAGCAAATCCTGCAGGTAGTCTAATGTAAGTGCATTAGATGTGAGGGATACTTGCGCAGCAGGAAATAAACCCTGCAGGAAAGATTTAAAGGGAAAAAAAAATGAGCCAAACTTCAAATGCCAGAGGCGAGTCTCCAAATCCAGAAAGGAGATGCAAATCCAAAGATGGGAAAGCTGGTATACTCATCGAGTCTGTTTTGTTATATAAATTGTGTCACACAGTCTCAGTGTTTGAGTCAAAAAATACTTGAAATTGGTCACTCGGTCTTCAGCTAATGAAAACAATTCCTGCTGCATCCCATAAATCAACCAGGAGCAATTTAGACAGATGGAGAGCGAGCGCCTGATACTGCAGGATTCTCATAACCAGGAACAGAGCTTCAGTGTGTGTGTGTGCAGGTAATTACTGCAGGCAATCATCTGATGACAATCAAATTAATAACTGCTCAAATTTGAACATGAGTGTTAATCAACTGAATGCTGTTTCACAGCCCTTGCTGTTAGTTTAGCCAGTCAGCCATGCGTTTCCCTGAAGCAGTGTCACATTCGCTTCATCTCATAATTAACTGAGGATTTTCAGCCATACGTTCTGATTATATGGAGTCCTGTAGTGTTAATAAAGCTAAATTCGATCCGCTTTTTTTTTTCATGCATTTTTGCAGTTGAAAGTTCAGCTTGTCATTCAGTGGAGAAATATGACGAATGATAAAAGATGGAATAGAAATGCACCCTAGGCTCAGGTCGCACCTAATATACAGGCGGCTTCACGCTCCTCAGTCCCATCCGTTCCACTGAACCTCCCTCTAAAAACAAACTACTGTATTTATTCTGTCGCTGCTGAGGATGCTGCAGGTCAGAAGGTGGTGCAGTTCAAGGGTGGGGGTAATCTATTATTCTAATAATCCAGCCAGAAAATCAATAGGTCAGTGCAATGGCTGAATACAAAACACCCTCCGTACATTTCTATCTTTTTTAATCACTCTCTCTTTGTCTTTCACTCCGTCTGTCAGCATCCGTCTTTGTCCAACAATAGCGATTCCTTTCTCTTTGGACCTCCCGCTCCCCTTTCTTTCTCCTTCTCTGTCTTCCTTCGGACTGTCTCCGAGCTTGAGGCTTCTCATACAGGGAATTATTCATTGGGTACAAACGGAGAAGGTGGTATTTTTAGTTTCCTGTGGCTGAATTATTCACCGCATCCCTCCATCCCAGGGCCAGTGGGACTGCTTAACAAGAGGATTACGGAGAGGTGGGGAATACCTCACATTCAACAAAAACCTCATCAGCCAAACCCCTCAGAAACACAATGGAGGCTCCAAAGAAAAGCAAGGTTTCAGAGGTACACAGAGAAATGCATAATGTGGACGCTGGTTTTGATCACTCTTTCTGTGCAGTGATCTTTTTGTCTTTTATGGTATGAGCAGTTTTCTCTGTAAAAATCCGTCTCTTCATGTAATATAAAAACATCCAGAGACAGTTCTTTTTCACTGCATGACTTCTCCAGTCCAGCAGCTTTGGCTCTGGCTCCTCTTAAGATTGGCAGGATGTTTGAGAGAAGAAAGGTCATGATTGGTTTCCTGTCTGGCTTTCCTCCAGACTGGCTGTGTCGTCATTATCGCTTTGGTGGACGCTCCACACTGATATATATCTCTTCTTTGATACTTCGCTTACTGGGGCCTGTTCCAAAAGCCTGGGCATTATGTTTTAATACCCAAGACACCCTACAGATTCTACGGATATTCTCCTGTCCAGGTCTTTTACGGTTCAAGAGGTATGTTCCCTTTAAGAGACAATACCCCAGAGACTATTTATCCACTGGAAGTCCACTATGGAAAGTCGATCGTCGGTGAAATATTGCTAAGAAGTGTCTAAGGGAGGGTTCTCTGTGACAGGAAGTGAAGCTGTGGGGCTACACTTGTTTCATGCGATGGGTTTTTCCGGGAAGAAATTTCTGCTGTGATAATCACACGCTTCATCGCCAAATCAATCAATACAACGTGACATTTACAATCATGCAGTGTACACAGCAGAAACAGTTTACTTAGAAAGAGCGGGGCAGAGATTGGAATTAATTTCACTCAAGGGCTTGAAATTTTAATTGAAGATGCTCCATAAATATTCTATTTACTTACCGTGAAAGGTACGCTTTGAGACGACTTGATCAGAATTTATAAAGCATCTGAGTAGATGTGGACACATTTATGTCTCCTGCATGCTATTACATAACCAGCTGCAGAAAAGAGGGCAACCTGCTTTGTTGAATTTGGTGAACAGTTGCCTTTAAAAACAGTGGGTTTTTCTATTGATAATCCAATTCAACAAGGGCATCTTGAACTAATTTTGGTGCGCTTGCGGCTGGCATCAGTTATGTAAGAATTAAAAATGATAAAACACGGCATATAAAAATGTGGTAATAGATTACATAACCAAGTGACTCATTGCCATTAAATCATTAATGCTGGAAGCTGGAGCTTCCATAGTGCTCCACTCACTGTTGTCGCTGTTCTCGTCCTTACTGCCGTCGATGGTTCCATCCGGCTGCATCTGCAGGTAGAAGCCCTGCTGGCTGAACAGTCGTGTCACGATGCCTTTCAGCTGCGGCTCTGGAACACACACAAGCACACGCACACGCGCACACACACGCACAAGGCCGTCGGCCGAACCACAGCCCCATCCCCACCAAGAATATGTCAGAGGAGTACTTTCATAACTATGACAAAAACACACAAGAGTCTACCTCTGCCTTCAGCTAAGTGTTCGCACACTCACAGCTGATATGTTTAACAAACAAATGTCTCACAAACATAAATGTATGGTGTTTAATTAGTTGGGATAAAAAAGACAAGTTGGCTGTGAAAGATGGAGGGAACCAGCAGAACAATTTTGAGTTTTTTCACTCACATAAAATCATTTACTCACAAATACTTTTAGAAATATTTAGAATTGCATGAATCAAAAGCAAAATCAATTAATGTGTGAATTAAATTAATAAACATTAAGTAAAGTCATATTGTTCGTGTGGCTCAGTCCAGCCTCTGCAGCTCTCTGCTCACAAAATAACTCAAACTTACAACACCTCACTTATTTACTTCACATGCCAGTCAGCGAATGTTTATACCTCTATGATGGACAGTTTGTAATGAGTCATCTCAGACATAATCTCAAAATACAGCAAACAGCTATTTAATTTCCAGGCCTATACAATAAGATCAACATGACAGAAAATCAATGAGGGGGTTTCCTTTCTCAGACCTATAGTACACTCAGATGAAAACGGCGTATATTTGGTATGAAGCAACCGTGCATTTTGAGGTTGAAAAGCACTGACGATCGAGAGTTTGTCAGGTTTTTTTTTTTAAGCCGACAGTTTCATTCCTAAATCTCGTCTTTACCTTAAAGCAAACAGGCCCAAACTTTCTCAATGCCATAACCCCGAAGTGACCGACAACTCTAAGGCTGTGACATTTGGCGCCTGGCCAGTATGCTGTTCAAAGCGCTCAACACTTCAGGGGGAGCAGGTGGAAACACGGATTAGCTCGGGGCAAAGAAAGCCTCCTGGCTTTGGGCGATGCCAGGAAAAAAGAAAAGAGTAAAATAAACGCTTATAGAGAAAGTGAACATTTTGTCTCCAAAACTCCCAACTGTTTGTTTGACTGTATACAAGCAGAAGCAAGCCAGACCTTCCTTCAACGTTAGGTTACGGCTTTTGACAAGAAAAAGCTCCAGACTTCAAACTTTTAGACCCACAAGACTAATCCTGAGTGTGCGTAGGAGTGGAAAGTATGTAAATGTAGCTAAAACAGTTACACTTTTCAAAAGGTTTACAGTATAGTGGAGCACCAAAGCTGAGCAGAAATGCATTGTTCTTGCACTGGCAGAGATTTCGAGACAAGCTCCATTGAAATAAGACAGCAGCTCAGATGCTGGGTGTAACTAATCCTTTGTTTATTCTGCCTAACAAAAGAAACAAATTATGTGTTTTGTCACAGTTGAACTGACGCTCAGTTTCATTTTGTGCGCCTCAACAAACACTCGCAGTCGCTGAAAGGGTGCTCTTTTCAACATGAATGGACTGAAGAGGCAGAAGTGTGCCTGATTTTCCTCCAAGGTCATGACAAAAACTTTGACGTCATGCAAATATGTGTAGTGCAGTCAGGCGAGTAAAAACCCCAAATGATTTCGCCGAGAGAAACATTTTCAGACATGGTTTCAGATCGAGTCCAGCTGCTGGTAGATTCTTGATCACTGCTATATTTACTGGAGTATACGCTCGATTTATTTTGTATCGAAGACAACCGTGTAGGAAACAAACTTCTAGAAAGACTGAAGGAGGGGACAGTGACCCCCAGCTAGAAAGAGTTCACATCACTCTGATCATCAGTCCCCAACTCACCTACCCCCTGGGATGAGGCCATCAATTCCTAGGACAGGCCCCTTCATCATCCATCACAGGCAGGGTGTGGAGATAGTGTGTGTGTGTGCTTATGCGTGTGTGAAAGCACATGGGAGTGTACACATCAGTAAATCACATGTGGTAACTACACTTCCATAAATTAAGGCCTCAACATGGGCCCAAACAGCTGCTGACGGCTCATCAGTTCCAATCATTTAGCAGAGTGTGTGTGTGTGTTTTTAAAGTGTGTGTGTGTGTGTGTTTGCAGGTCTAAATTTCAGGGTTAACAATGTGTTTATGTGTGAAAAATGTCCCTCAGTGGCAACTTACAGCAGATCATCCTGTTGTGTGTGTGCACGGGCCATTAAAATGTCAATAAATTTATGTCATACCAATACAAGAGGACAAAAACATTTAGGGAACGTCGACAAATGGCGTCATGACCGTGAAATGGTGAATGATCGCCTGTTCTGATATAGTGTTTGACAAGAGGAAACACATCATATCACCGGTGTACAGTACAGTACAGCAAAGAGCCTCTACACAGACGAACTTGACACATATTTACAGACACAGAACAAGGAGCGAGGATAAAAGACTGGATCCGACATCGGACAAAGAGGAGAATGAGGCAGAGACAAAATGAGAGGAGGCCGAGCCATAGATGAGGAGAGGAGAAGAGAGGAGAGGAAAGGAAAGACACAGGGAGCGACAAACGACGTGGCTTCAATTACAGGTACCAAAGTAAGCTGGGAATATCCACGAAAAGCCACACAGAGGAAGGAGGGGATGAGAGAAAAAAAGGAGAAGAAATCAGCGAGGGAGAGGGGTTTGTCGGCTGTCAGACAGGTGTTAAAGCCCCACGCCCCTCCCTCCCCTCCCCTCCCTTCCCTCCCTCCCTGGCCGAAAGGGGAAGTCGACATGGGCGCGAGATGGGGGTGGAGACGAGGAGAAAAAACACAGCACACACGGATGGAGGCTGAGCTACTGACCTAGCCTGCAGCCCTTATGGGACACCTGTGGAGGTTTCGAGGGGGCATCTTACGAAGTGAGGGGAAGGGGGATAGAAGGAAAAACAACAAGTCTTTTAAACAGGCAGAATTCAAGAAGTCTCCAGCGTAATCGGCTGTTTATATGCAAATATATGGCAAGGCATCAGTGGACATATAAGGCTGATCGATCAGAGGAAACAGAGAATCTTTTTGTCCGTCTGTCTGGATATAACTGTCTCACTGTCTGCGTGTGTGTGTGTGTGTGATCTGAGAGGTGTTACCTACCTGCAAACAATGTCTGGAGGCCTGACGGCTTGTTGGCTGTCTGCTTATGTCTCTAACCAAGCATTTAGTGGCATTTTTGAAGCTGAGCTTGTGTCAAATGAGGCTGCACGACAACAGGGATTTACTTCAGCCTGTCTGGCTGGCTGTCTGGGTGATTGTCTGTCTCCATTGTCCTCCCTTTCCGCTTTTAAAAAACTGCCGTCTGCCTCCCTCATAATCAGTCTGTCTGTCTGTCTGCAGGACTTCAGGACCCTGAGAGGACCTGACTGTCGGTCATCATACAACTGATTTTTTCTCTGTATTCAGGATGGGGCTGGCGTGCACTGCCAGCTTGTTATCTGTGCACCATGCAGGACAGACTCAGGGGGGGTGAAATAGGAGGGGAATGAGGCTCTACCTCTGAGTGAAGTACAGGCAGGCACAGAGCCCGTGTCTATCAATACAGCCAGAGTAGCTCTTAATCACTACAGCTAGACCTCCCTTCACTGCAGTAAAGCTCCCCTCTCTGCAATAAACATTTAACCATTAAAACATTTAATCTGAAAAGAGCCTTGGTGCACTGCGGAGCAACTTATCTCCCCTCATGTACACTCTAATCTGCAGAAATATTGAATTAGGCACGAGTGTGTTCAAGTTGTGTGTGTATACATGTGTGGTTGGTTGGAGGAGGGGGGTACATTGTCTGAATTTAAAAATCAGAGGCTGGCATAAATTGAATGGGTGCTGGAACAAAACCTGCACAAGCTTTCCAGTGGCATCACTTTTGCTCCAGGGTGATTGATTATTCTGATCTGAGCAGAATCTCAATAAATAGCCAAAGGGTAACGTCACAGTTTATGGATCATTTCCTATACATTACTGTGTTTTGGTGTGGAAAGGAAAGGGCTGTGTCGTGCAGTGGATCGACGGACAACGGGGGGAACCTGATGGAACAGGTGGATATTTTTTCACAACGCGGAGAAAAATCTACCTTCTCCGGTCCTTGACTGCAGTATAATGCCTCTGCTACTCCAAAGAGGGGCGGGGTGTGTGGGGTGGGGGGGAGTTGAGGGGAAAACCACTTCCATACGCACACATAACACACATCTGTAATAATAAATCGACATGACTGACCTGGTCGCCGCCGAACCGGTCTTTTTTTGCCACTGCAGAAACGGACTTTGCTGAAAACCCCCAAGAAATGCCTCTCGCACAGAGAGCGGGGGTCTTTGCTGGGACTGGGGCGGCGTTTCGAAGTCGAGACCCGGTCGCTGTTCGACTCCCTCGCCTGGCGTTTCTGCCGGATCAGGGAGCTGGCGATCGCAGCCATGTCTCCCCGAACCGAGTCTAGAAAAACCGAGAGTCTGGTTCGGCAGAGGCGGGATGTGGGTGCAGCTTTCTTGGCGCAAAAAAATGTAAAAAAGACGAGAGTGTTGATTTCGTGTGTCGGTCCACGAGTTTTATTATTATAATTTCTTTCTTTTTAACCAAATGTCATCCTGATCAGAAAATCCGAGTTCCGGGCATCATTACGCTTCAGGCTGCATCCTCTTGCGGGGACAGAACAGAAGCGTGAAATTCAGCTGCTGTGATTTTTTTGAGTCTGTGGCTCTCAGGGCTTTGAATCAACAGCCTCAGATCATACACAGAACATAAATCTATGGGCTACAGGCCACAGGGGGCCGACATATGAACCGTGCATACATGCAACAGTGTCGCCAAGTTGATGCAGCTGCGTGGCATGGGGGCTGCTTCAGGTATTCCAGGTGAACAGCACCGCGTCTGGCCAGCACGACTTCGTAATCCTCATCTGCACACCAGCCCTGTCCTCAGGCTTCCTCGGCGCATCAACCTAAATCCATCCACGAGTCGTTCGTGCGTGGCCGGAGAAAAGGATCCCAACTTTTCCACCCGCCTTTGTTGATTTTTTTACTCCATGCTCAAAAAAAAGGGTGAATGAAAAGGATTCGCTGACGCTCCAGTGAGCCCAGTTGTGAGCCCAGTCTCCGGTTCCGTCGATAATGGCACCGGAAAAATGGAATCCACAGCAGCAGCAGCAGCACCAGCAGCAGCAGAGGCTACTCTGCAAAGGATGCTGCAGAGATGTAATTCAAGCCTGCAGGGGGGGATTCTCGTCAGGGAAAAAAAAAGCAACAATTAGTTGTGGCGAACGCACGCCGGAGTGGTTTATGTTGTAGGGCGCAAATGATAAAGTCGGTTACGCGTTATTCCCAGTGCGTCCCGGATGGACGACGTCGGTGTGTTACATCGCCGACAGCGAGAGTGGACGGTCGCGGTCCATAGCCTCCTCTCCCTCTCTCCTTTCTCTCTCTCCCCTCCTCTCCTCTCCTCTCTCTCTCTCCCTCTCTCTCTCTTCAACTCTTTAACGCAATCATACGTGATTGAGGTTCGTATTAGGAATTCTCGAGGGGCTGTACAGGGAGAGACAGGTGATCTCCAGGGGGGGAAATAAAATGCATCCATAAACCATAAATAAAAAAGGAGTCAAGGATGCATGCTGGGTGTTTCCCCGGGTAATCTCACATATGTCTCCTTCAAGCCTGTATCCAAACAGGGAACATCGGTCAGTAAAGAGGCCACAGAATAAGCAGTGTGAATTTTAAAAAGGCAAAATCTTAATCAGCTTATGCAGCATCCTAAACCTAATAGCTTATTCTAATTCTGAGTATTTTATTCTCTTAAACCCCGGGGGCCATGCATGCCATAAAGAACACATTAAATCTGGCTAAAGGGATTGCCTGCAACAGGTGTCAGCACACACAAAGCAAACTCCGAACAACAATGGTACACTCAAGACCCATGGCTGTGGCACAACATGAGGGGGGTAAATGGGATTTGGAGCTTATGGACATGAAATGGGTCCAAATGACACAAAAAAACTGTACAAATATCATCCCCAGAAGCACAGCAAGTCCTTCAAAACCATTAAAAGTACTGCAACACAAAGACTACCATATGTTTTGCAGGAAAGAAGACATATTCATGAGCATGCATCTGTGAAAAGGTCACCTAGATCAGTGGTTCTCAAGTCCAACACACCTGATTCAAATGATCAGCTCGTTAAGCCATTGCAGAGCTTGATAACGAGCTGATTATTTGAATCAGGTGTGTTGGAGCAGGGAAACGTCCAAAACATACCGGACAGTGGGCCTCGAGGACTGGACTTGAGAACCACTGAACTAGATGATGCATTTTTTTTATCACAGATGAAGGCAAACCAATACAGGAAAAAAATGTAAAGGTTTGTTTTTATATTCGACGTGAAGAAATTTATACAATTCATTGCTAAAATGAAGGTAAAATGGTGCAAAGGCCCAAACATGTGTACACTAACATCTATTGGCGTGAGCATGCCACTGACTCCACGTTTATTATTGCATGGGCTGTGGAACACACAGACACGCACACACCTCGCAGAACATACCACACACACACACGCGAACACACACAAACTGTGGGAGGAAGAACACGTGAGCATTCAGCAGCATAGCAAACCTCTCTTCCCCGAGATAAAACAGCATGAAACATTTAGAGGCTTTTTTTTTTTCTAGGACTCGGTTTGACATCTCCCATCTCCTGACTGTCCAGGAGAGAGATGGAGAGAGAAAGAGAGAGAGAGAGAGAGAGAGAGATGGAAAGAGAGTGTTCCCTTTTCGACTGTCCATCCCCCCCTTATGTAACATTTTGATTTAGTGGATAAAAGTGTTGAATGTGAAGAAGTGGTACCCTGGTCAGCGCTTTGAGTGTTTTAACATGATAGTTAACAGTGTGAGTGAAAGAGGAAGAGAGAGGAAGAGTGGAAGGGAGCTGAAATATCACCCCAAAGACAGAGAGTGTGAAGGAATGACAGAGAAAGGTGATAGTAACGGTCGGAAAATTAAACAGCCAAGCCGTTTGTCTCACCCTGTATTCTTATTGAGCTGCCTGTGAGTGGTAGGAATGAATATTTCAATGCACCATAAAGAAATATCAATAACAACTCCGATAAGACATTAATCATTCCTCTGGATAAGCAGAAGTGTGATATACATTTCTCAGAAAATACAGAGCTGCTGGTAAAATTCCCAGAAACGGGTGGGACTCTGTGGAGCAGAGCGCTTTTAGAGACACAGCAGAGACACAGCACACAAATAAATCTTTGTCAAGGAAGATAAAGTATTCCCTAATGAGGATCTGCTTGGCGTCCTCCTTCTACCAGAGACAATTGATGTTCACTCCACGGCTGCAGATACGTCCACATGCAATAAAACACTGCTGCTATGAAATGCATTGCAGGTTATATAATGCAATCACTTGAATGATCTGTCTCTATGATTTCACTCTGATAAGGTTGGCATGCTCATGCATAGAAAGACTGTGATATATAATGTCTTGCCATAGTATAATATCCTGAGTCTATTCTGCATTATATATTTATGTTCAAAGCTTAACCTCTGTCAGATTGCGCTTCTGCCTGGATTTAAGTATGAAGCATGTTAGATCTATTGCCGAATACGAACTGAAAATCTCTTTAAAACTATGAGACATGAACCATATAGCCTCCCTCTGGGGTTCCAAGCTCAGGTACAAATCCAACAATCGCTTCAGCCTTTTCTTTACACCTGCTGCCACCTTGTGGTCAAATAAAGAGCCACACATACTCAGAGCGACTACAGCTGAGGCTTTCTTTCTCTGGAGTTTGTCACTTTAATGTGTCCTTGAGATACCTCGCAGATTGGGTGACTCACAATGGCTGGAGCTGGTTTTCACTGTGTAATGTCTGCTAAACTGAGTCGCCAGGTCTGCAGGAGTCAGAGAGGAGAGAAGTGCGCGGATAAATGCAAGTCTGAGATGCTCTTTGGCACGCTGTGGAACAGGTCGCATAAAACAGTCAGTTTCTTTTTCAGCGTGATGCATATAAAGTATGAGTCAGAGCATGAAGACAAAGTTGTGAAGATGAACGGAAACGAAGAAACTCTCGGCTGTAAAGGGTTGCATTTGTTCAGGCCGTGTTCATTCTAAAATTAATCCAAAAGGGAACTTGGCTGGAGTTATCAAAGGCTTTCCATATATAATCCGATAGTCCTCTTCATCTCTGACTGGACTCCTGAACTTTGGCAGACTTTATGTAATCCAAACTTAGTGCAAGACTAAAGTTAGACCCCTGCTTTTAAGACATTTTGTATTTGTAATTTTTGTACAATTCAAATCACACCAATCTGGCATAACATAGGTGAAGGGAATATCACTGTCACCCATCAGTAGGTGGGACATGTCAAGCAGTAAGTGATCATTTTGTGCAGATATGGGCATCTTTGAAGAGGACTGAATTTTGATAGCTAGACAAGTGAGTCAGAGCATCTCCAAAACTGTGGTTCTCGTGGGTTGTTCTCAGTCAGCAGGGGTCAGCGCATGCCAATAGATTTTTAAGGAAGGAAAACCTATGAACCAGTCAACAGGGTCATGGGCAGCCAAGGCTCACTGAGAGTAAAGGTTGGCCTGTGAGATCTGTGAGCTCCTCAAGCTCAAACTGATAAAGTTTATGCTGACTCTGATAGAAGGCTGTCAGAATACAGGGTGCATTGTATGGAGCTGGACCTGTCAGGATGCATATGCTGACCACTTTCCACTATAGAAAGAGCCTTCAGTGGCATGTAAGCATAACAGACCACAGAGCACTGGAAGACGATACCTTGGAGGAACATGGCACTGCTGACTCAGCTTCCTATTTCCTCTGATCTCAATTCAGTCAAGTTTCTGTGTGATGGGCTGGACAACCAAGTCTGAACTATCCATAATACCCCTACACACAGGACTCAATTTGCTATTGTCTTGGTACCAGATGCAACAGCACACCTTCAGAGGTCCATTCGCTGGTGAGAGGGAGGCCTATACAATATCAGGCAAATGGTCATGAGGTCATGACTAGTGCATTTCAAATTTTCAGTCGTAAGCAAGTAAATCACCAAAACATGGGCAGAATGATGACAATCGACTGCTAAATATGAAAAATTAAGTACATCATTCGAACAAATCATGCTTAACAATTATGAAAAGCATTTGACACGAGGGAAAATGACGCATATCAGTCCACAAAGACATCAGCACTGACTCACTGACTTTTAAGTTTCCCAAAGCAGTGACTCTGCCGAAAGTGTCCTCAAGGAGCCTGACTAATAAGTAATAACCAAGGGAAACTAGATAAATTGTTACTAGAGCATTAATGTGCCCTGATAAAAATAAATTTTAACACTTCTTTAGCAATAAAAGTGTTTCTTTTTTTACTTTGTTTCCACCCACTGCACAAGTATCCTGGTTTGGAGAAATCCAAATCACTGTATTTAACTTTCCAACAACACAGCCAGGTGCAAACTTGATGCTACAAAAGGAAGCAGGTGCAAACATTTAAGCACACTCTGGAATATCTTTCACCGGTGCTCCCTGGGAGGTGATTTTGGCTCAGTGCCTGGGCCTGGAGAGAAAAATGCTCCTGCTGCTTTGCATGATCTTGCGTGGGACCATATCCCTGCAGCAGAGAGTGTATGCAGTCAGATTACCAGATGAACTTTTTGCCCTTTAATCTGGAAAGCTGAGCGTGTGATCCTTACATACCAACTCATTTATGTAGAATTGCTGATGCAGGACAGGCAACATGTTTGATATCAGGTAAAAGTGTGTGTTTAATCATCTGTGAGTAGAGCAGGGTCTGTTTGAAATTGGAAAAATGGTATTTCAAGTAAATTTAGATATGAAAGTTGTAATTTTAAGAGTAAAACAAAGACAAGAGTGGGGTTCTCTTACAAGAATCAAATGGATGATAAAAGTGAGAAAACTTGATTTTAAGTTTTTAAAGCAAAGACATCTTAACCAGACAATAACATTCATTTCTTGCACTAATTTATGTCAACATCTATGAGCTGAGTCATAAAGTTTTGATTGAGGTCATAAGGTTCATCTAACAGCCAGTACAGATGCAGGATAAGGACCGGTAGAGCCTTATATCAGAGTCCTACAGGTCCCAGTGTGTGTGCTGCTTTTGGTCCAACCACCTCAGAGGAATCAACTGTGCTTAATGGAGTTTCTAATTGTCTGGCCTGAATTTGAGAGCAGCTCCTCCTGCTCAAACTACAGGAGAGCCGACACACAACGAGTGATGAAAAAGGGGGGGAGAGAAACAGGAGGTGTTGCATTTGTCTCTAATTCAAACTGATTTTTACCCACTCTGGAAACATCAGCAGCTATTTTTCTATTGGCTCCGATAATAGAGTTATGTCATGGGTGAACAGCAATGCAGTGAAGTGCTGTGACATGATTAGAGGACATGGCAAGCATCTTCGGCTCTCTGCCAAACACTGCTGAGTGTTGATTTTGTGTGTGGGCATGTGTGTGTCATTGAGACTTAAAGCACCCTGTTTAACATGTTAGAAAGTCATTATGGAGCAAATTAAGTCACCTTACAGGGTACACACAGATGCTGTGAAACATCACTCTCATAATGGACCTTCTTTTTAAACATACATCAAAGTAATAGAAGCCAGAGTGGAGTTTGGGGAACTTTAGAGGGCCAAAAGCAGGACTTGTTGAGGGCTTAAAATTGTATGAAAGAATATATAAAGTTAGCTACTTTAACAATAAGATTTCTTTTGTGCTTGGAAATAGGGATTCATTATGATATATGACTAATTTGCTCTGATTTAAATCTGTTTAAACGTGAAAAAAAACTTTTGGAGCACTTCCACTATGGCGCTGTCCGTGGTGCTGGAAAGCGCTGCTTGTTTCGGGGCCCTCACAACAACACTGCCTCTCCAGGCCCCTGAAGTTTAATGACTTGATCCCTGCATTGTCCATTTTTTTGGCCCGCTTCAAATGCAGCATTGGATCATGCTCGCCTGCGAATTCAACCCTCAGTCTGGTCAAAAGTAACCGGAGTATAGTGCGGCTGCTGGATGCTGCTTTGCCAGCAGCTATCCGCAAACACCAAACTCGGGACAGATGCGAGGAGCACTGCAGACTCGGAAGATGTTACTCACGCACTCGAGTGTCCAATGAAACCCACTCCCCCCTCCTCCCCCGTCCTTCTTTTCCTCTCTTTTCATCTCCCATGTTTCTTTTTATTGATCACTCAAAAGAGAAAGCATGCAAAGAAGCGCAGGTAGCTACAAAGCTACGGTGCTATGTGTTGGTGTCTCTCACCGTTGGTGATAGTAGTCGACTTCGATCGTTGTCCACAGAAACACTGCAGCATATGCGCTCCTTTCTGAAGGAATGGCCTCAGAATCCTCATTGATTTGGGTTGATGGGAGCCTTCCTCAATCCAAACAATCGGACAAACGCTATCACAACACAGCAGCAGCAGCAGCAGCAGCAGGGTCAGGCAGCATAGCGTAGCCAGCCAGGCTCACAGCAGCCCTCAAAACGCCGGAAGGGCACAGTCTGCAGGACAAATTACGCTAAAACGAGGCATCTTGAGTGATTCCCCCCTTCTCTCTCTCTCTCTCCCTCTCTTTCCCTTTCTCTTTCTAGCTCTCTCTGTCTATCCTCTTCTCGTCCACCGACGGTCATTCGCGTTCACGGCACACTCCTCTTCCGCCACGGCAGGCAACGCAAGGACGTTACAATGTGCTCTTAATTGTACATCCCCCCCTCTCCTGTCTCCGCGTCTTTACCAGCAGCGGACGTAATAGCAGGAGAGGAGGAAGGGGGGAGAGAGGGAGGGAGAGAGAGAGTAAGAGAGAGAGAGGGAGAGAGAGCATGCACGCCAAAGTTAAACTGCAGGGGGGAAGTGGCAGGGCCAGCCACGAGTGAGGTAATGCGGAGCTGACAGTTCAGGCGACAACGGCTGCAAAATCTGACGCTGGCGGCACAGATGTTACAACCCAGGAGCCAATAGTTTCTCTTTTCTTTCTGTTTTTTTAAAGGCAGATCCATTGGGAACACGCGGACAACGCAGAGCTGACGTCAGCTGCAGCCCACCACTTTAAAGACAAAGGTGTTTTTTTTCCTCCAGATACTACCGTAAAGTTTAGGGCTCAGCTGTGTGGGGGCTGCGTGACCAGACCACCCAAAGGTGTCAACTGTGGTTATGAGCTGATGAACTGCACTAAGGCTGTGCTGTCAAAACAGGTGCACGGAGGAGAAAATTTTTAAAAAGTTATTATAAAAATGCAGCTTCTTCTAAGTGCAAACACAATGATGGGGCCATAGAGTGTATATACTATGGACAACTTGGTTCCACCAATATACGGATTTGAACCCGAAAAGCTTTCGGTATTTCATCTATTTTTCTTCATTTCCTGAAACCAACATTGCGCAGGACCGTTGTACGCTAACCACCACTTGCGCAGTAGCATTGTGCGCATTCGGCGGGAGAGTCGCCGAGGTTGTGTCCGAAAGGAATCACTTCATCCCTAAATCCCTAACCCCTCACCCACATATGGGGTTTCACTATATAACTGACTATGTAGTGAGCTCAATCATCAGAGGTTTCGGACACTACATGGGGCACCATTGTGACGTTGCTGCTCAGACTGCCGCATCTTAAGTTGCAGCTGTTGTTTTCACATCTCTTGAATTTTATGATGTTGAATAGATGTATTTTTTTCCAGGCTGTTCATGAATTCTAAAAAAAACACATCATATTGTGCACAAGACTATATGACAAAGCAAACACTTGTTTTCCGAAAACTGTACTGATCACAAGCGAGTGAAGTGAAGATAAAAAACCATACGCTGAAAATGGCAAAAAGAGCTCGGGTTCTGTCTCTTCTTGCTCTCGTCATGAGGCCACTGGAGAGGCAATGCATGACGGGATGCTTACCACCGGTGAGTGGCCATCGGATGGTCACTACATTTTGCAATGCTCTATGGGAAATTAAGAGTTGGCTCAAATAGCATATCCCAAGACGAGCTACGCAATCTTCGTACGCCAATAGGCTGTATCAGGTGTCAATCATAGCAAACATGAACCCCTAATAACTTTTAAAAATGGAGCTGTACAGAAAAAAGAGGACTTGAGTACAAACCAGTCTTACTGTAACTACATGTCAACTTCACAAGCAGGGGGGAGAAAAAATTATAATCTGTGTAATAAATTTCTAAAGTTTGTCAACAGTTCCATAGGAATTGCTGGAGAATGTGGGATTTATGACTTATACTACAGCCCATCACCAGAGGGCGCTCTTCTTGCAGTGGCTTCACTCAGCGAGGAGGCAGATGCATCAATTCTATATACAGTATGGATGGGGCACGTGCGCAGACTTGCGTAAAGCAGTCAGGTGGTGCGACATGTATGAATGATAAATAAGGTTGATCAAGACTCGAGTTTGTGGCACGAGCCATAGTAGTGGTGACCTGTTGATACAGACTGTTAAGCTCTGGTGAACAAATAACACACCAAGTGAGAAATGTGTAAATACAGCACCAAACTGTAAAAAAACAGCATAAGAAAGGTAAAAGTAATATACTGTATGTAGACCGACTCTGTATCAACATAGATTAATGAAAAACTGGAGAAGAATGGTGTGAAAGTGCTGTATTTCTCACAGCTGTTGCTAATGATAACATAATGGATCATTATAGCTTTTAACTGTTTGGTTTGGTAAATATAATGCTTATTAATATCATCAAATACATCAAATAAATTTTCAGATAAATACATCTCAAATTATCTGATGGCTGAATTAGAGCACAGTGTACGGTACTTTACTCTAAATTGTAGAGTAGCAGCTGCAAATGCATAACTAAATGGGAAAAGTCCAGTTCTTTTGAAATTGTACTTGAGCGCTATGTGACAGACTATTAGAAGTGACATGTTAAAAAAAAAAAAAAAACAGGTAAAAATAACAACAATAACATGAAATTCTGAGCACAATGACACTTTTTTTTCACTTTAGTTAGCAGCTTTTCTTCAGACATTTGAGAACCTGTGGCAATCAGAGATACAGCATGAACATTTAAGTCACTTTGACCTCAGTATTTTGATTAACAAAACAAGCATTGACAACCCAACAACATCAGCATATATACTTAACTTTTTGATTTTAGTCTAAAGTATGTACAAATTATGATAAAACAACTCACAAGACAAAGGTCTGGCATTGCAATTCATCCCAGGGCCACGGCTGTTGCTCCGATGTTTCTTTAAGGCAAACTATGTGCCACTTTGCACACTAGAGGGAGCCATTACATAAAGTACTTGGCCTAGAATAAAACAGAGGCTATGATTGAGAAATTCAAAGAGAGAGTGAATCAAACAAAGTATCATCACAAGTCTTAAAAAAGTAGTAAGAGCCTCTCAAGAAAAAACATCAATGTTAAGGTGTATTATATAGTGACACATTCATGTTAGTGCGGCTATGCAAATTCTACTGCAGCACTTAGTCAACACACCTCTGCATATGTAGTATTTCACTTCATGGCTTTTAGTTTTTACACATTCACCTTTACATCACCTTGTCCAACCTTGCACCAGAGTCAACAAATAGCATGGCACAAGCTGTTATGTGAACATGCCCTCGTGATGTCTAGTATATACAATGTGCATAAAAGGGCAAATTAAGTCAGCAAAATATCTCAACAACAGCATCCATGCAAACAAGGAAAGGTCAGAGAGGAGTAAAGAGAGAAAAGGGGGGGGGGGAGGAGGAGGAGGAGGGGAGCTGGCATCAGACCCAGAGTCACAGATATGGTGATGGTGCTGTATATTCAGCTCTAACTATAGTGTCCCACTGCAGAGCCAATCATCGCTATAAGCAGGAAAAGAGAGACGTGAGGAAAGAGATTGATGGAGGGAGGGGGGTGGGGTTACTAGAAGGGATTATACTGCAATCAAATATAACTAATTTACTTAACTTGACTGGTGATTAAAAAGTTTACCAGTTATGGAAAGTAATTTAGTAAATTTAGAGTTCTTTACTGTACTTTGCTTATTTGCTTGAGCATTGCCATCACATGCTTCTGTGTACTTGGTTATAAATATTCCAGCATAAAAGTAGAAAAAATAGCTAAATAAAAGAAGAAAGTGACATGCAAAAAAGATTGATACCTCGCACTGACTCTCAGTCACTCCCTCCCCTTTGGTCTAAAACCTCAGCATCATCTTGGACCCCACTCTCCTTCAAATCACATATCAAGAACATCACCGGTCTACTTTTTTCACCTCCTAAAACTGTTCCTCTTCACCACACATCCACATCCACACATCCATACCTTCACGACCTCCATACCAGACTTTTGCAATAGCATTCTCTATAGACTTCCCTCTACTGACCTCCAAAAACTACAATATTTTCACAACTCAGCTGCAAAGTTGCTCCAGAGACCACATTACTCCCATCCTTCCAATACAGCATCGCACTAACCTCAGGATCCTGCTTATCACCTAGAGAGTTCTTAATCACCTTGCCCCCTCATCCCAACATCATCACTCCCCAACTCATCACCTCAGACGCTGAACTCCTGACCCCTACCTCCAGGATCAAGCCTTTGCCACATGCTGCCAGACTCATTCCATTTATATAAATCCATACTCGGTTATCCTTTACAAATCGGCAACATCCGGCTCCCACTGTTAAGCATCTTTTGTTGTATTTGTAATTAAAAATTTGTAATTTTGAGAAGTGTGACTTCAACATATCAATTATTATTGCTATCATTACTATTATTACCATCCATCATATGATATAAAGCAAAATTACAATACTAAGTAGCTGCATTTTCAACATATTATTACAGTACCAAGCATACATGATTCATTCTTTAATCAAAATTAGGAATTCTACTAAATCTGTAGTTTGTTTTTTAAAGTTTCAGAATAATTTGTTGTGATTACCTTTGCACTTTTATTTGATTTTATTTTGAATTTTTGATGAGCTCACTTATTCATCTTAACGATTAAATGTCATCTTCCTCGCTGGTCAATACTTCAGGGGGTTCAGAATGATTGCACACTTGGGAGTATTATACTACATACTGTATACAGGCAGAAACCCATGGCTTTTACACTTTAGTCCTTTCAGCAAACTTCAATAAAAAGGTTAAGTAGAACAGTTAGTGAATGTAAGTGAAACGCTGCATATCGCCCCAACGACCTGCACCAGTAAGGTGAGGCAGACCTTCACATGAACGGAAGAACCTACAGCTTTTCAAACTCATCGCTTTAAGCTTTAATAGAACACTGAAGGTGAGTTTATCAAGCATTTATCAGCTCATCTCTCCTCTCAGCTGGAGAACTCTGGCTGAGCAGTAAGAGGACAAAGTTCAGTTGGACTTTATAATGAGTGCACCAGAAATAAAAACAGTGAAGGAGACTTTACAATGTTACAAAGTCATTCAGGGGACGCTTTTATCCATAGCGACATAATGTACATACAGGGGTAGGAAGAATACAAGCAAAGATCTAGACAAGAGGACACACCTTTATCTGACAATGCACTCCAATGCAACTTAAACTCTCTCGTCCAGCAGCCGCTTGTTTGTACGGAGACCTCTGGACGAGTCCATTGACTGCAGCGGGGTGACGCAGCTCAAGGAAGAACATTTATGATCATTTCTTCATGGAAATGCAATCAGACCAAGATGCGAAGGCAGAAGAACTACCGCGTCTCCAGTGCAAAATGATTAATATGATGATTATTACTTCAAGGAAATGATCAAGTAATTATCATAAGTGTTCTTCCTTGAGCTGCTTCCCCCTGCTGCAGG